GGAACAGCGAAAACAAGGGGGGCGGCGGCAAGGCGAACGGGGGGACAGGGGGGCAAGGGGCGCGGAAAGGCAAGGGAAGAGCGTCCAGCGCAATCGTTCCAAGCCAAAACATTTTTCAAATCTTTACCATTATTATCATTATGCGATATTTTTATTGCAATTCTTATTCTTTTACCAAAACTTTTTATTAATACTCAACTTATTACAGCAAATTTTAAAGATCAAAGTAATTCACAAGAAACTCTTTTTTCATTAAAAATCAAAACTTTGAATTTGATATTTTTTGTTAAGGTTTAATATTTGAATCTTCAATTGATTTTCTATTTGGAAGTTTAATGAAACGAATAAAAAAAGATGGAATATCGATAATTGAAAATGAGAAAAGTTCCATTGCATCATGTGAAATTGTGAATTTAATTCTTCAAACAATTCGTTATCATTTTCTTTATTCAAATTTTTTTTATAAAATAAATAAAAGTTTAAGTATAATTGAAAGTATTTATTCATTTATCTCGATTATCTTATTAATATTTATTTATGGAACATTTGAAATTTTATTTAAACAAATCTTTTTAATTCATTCTTCAATGAATATTTATTCTTATTTATTATTTTTATCTTTATTTTCTTCATTTTTATTTATTTTATTAACAAATCATTGTTTATTTCAATTTTCTTTCTTTATTTATTCCCAACAACAATATCAAATATCAAATCAAGTAAAATTCAATTCAAGAAATCTTTCTTTTCGAAATTCTTTTGCTTTTTTTAGTTAATTCGTTTATCAAATATTGATGATCGATATTTAATTGAAAAACCAATAACCAATTCTTTAATTTATTATATTTTATTGGTCATTTTAAGTGTTTTCTGTCAATTTCCATTAATCATTTATTCAATCAAATATTTTCTATTCGGTTTAATCGATAATTTACTGATCGTTTATGTCGTTACATTGATTTTGTTTATATTTTTTTCGATCATAATCTTTACATTTTTATGTTATTGTCCAATATCATTATGGCATGTGAATATGATTCAACAAGATGTTATTCAAATGAGTTCCGATGAACAATCAACAACATCAGAAAGTGTTTATAAGTTCGTTTTCTTTCTCTTTTTCAAAATATTCCTATCATTGAGTTTCGATTGAATATTCTTTTTTTAAGATCAAATTTAAATGTCGAAGAAAATTTATTTCAAATCGAAAGTCCAAACTTGATTCCAACTCGAACGATAAGTAGTTGTGGTCTAACTGTCATCGATTCGAAAGATTTCAATCAAAGAAATCATCATCCATCATTTCAACAAACACCAGGTGTTGCTACAGATACTCTTCTTGTTATGCATTAAATAGTATTTTGATCTTATTCAGCATATTTCGCTTCTTTTTACTTTGCTTTTGTAGAGAAATCTGGAAAAACTGATTTTCATTTGCAAAAGTTCATTGATTAAATAAAAAAATTCCATCAAATACGTATGTGACAGCAATTTTATTTTGAACTTTGAGATGAAATGATTGGAACGATTTGTTTGTTGTGAAACGACTTGAGAGGAAATAGGTTTGTCTAATGTGACATCTATAATATAGTTTATGGATTCATTCGTGTTTTTTACCAATAACTATGAGGACTAAAAATGACTGCTCTTATATTATTTTGTCTTAACGTTATTTATTGAAAAAAAAAACTTTGATATTATAGATAATGAAAAGAGGTATTCTTCATAAATACTGTACGTGCTCTTTTTTTTACTATAGATACTCAATTCATTCTTAACTGAGTCTATATCATGGAAATTAGATTAGACAAGATTAATATACCTACATCTGATATGATTTGTCCATACGAATTCAAGGATCTTATACATCAGCCAAAAGAGGAAGATAAAAAAATGTGAAATCGAAAAACAAATGACATGTTTCTCTCGCTATGGATGTTACAGGTACCCAGTTTATTATGGCTTGGTCGGTTCCAGCCGGCTAAGTTTGTTTTCCGATGATTTCCTTGCCGCCGAATTCCAGTCGGAAGTTCACATGTAGGTTCCAGTAATTTTCTAACCGTAGGTGTGCACATATCAACGAAGCTTGGCTGGGGATACTACATAAACGAAAGACTGCGAAAAATAAGAAACATTTACAAAGGTTTACGACAAATTTATCGAACAATTTTCATAGAGCACACTGACGTTCGTCGAAAGACTTTTCTCGCCTATGCACTTCCACATTTCTGCTGGCTGTTCTCAACCTGGTTCTATTTCACGGAACGTCTACTGCACAGGAATTAGATTGACATACTCGATTTATGGCTGGGACGACATTAACACACTGATATTAAGCCAGAAGAAAAGTTTGCGCGACTATCTCTATTCGTACTGGACACGCCTATGTTTACATCTCGAAAAAGCAAGTGAATCAGTAAACTTTCAACAATCATGGAAAGCATTCCAAACACTAACAGAACACGATACAGAATGGAGAAGAAATATTGATCTAGGTAAGAACAATTGGTTTCTTACGAGACTAATTGAACGCGTACAACATTCCCTAAGGGATTGGAAAATGTTTCAAAATGAACACAAACAGCAGCTAATGGCATACAAAAATGATACTCAATATCTAAACATGTTCATATACAGATATTATATACAACCGACAGCGGAAAGAACTTAGGAGCAGGAAGAAAAGCGACAAAGCACACGTTACACAACAACAAAAACGGAACCTAACCGACTCGAAATAAAGGAAAGCGATACGTACCGTACAAGGTTAAGTAATACAAGGATAAGGATCGTGCACTTGTTCGACCATTCCATAATTTGATAAAGCAGAATGAAAAAGTGCGCAAGTACAAACATTTTACACGTGTCTTTTGATCGAATATTGATTTGAATGAAATGTGTACACATACAGTAACATACCATTGATTCATCCAGCCGATATTGAATTAGCGTACTGGGACCTCCGCAATTAAAGAGAAGATGTCGTATGCGAGCCTTTGTCCTTCTTCTTTCATTGTCGCTATATATCACATACCACGTTTATATCCTTTCTGAATTCACAGGAGAAGGACAAGAAGAGAGCAGTGATGTTTTATTACTTTTCTTATCTATACTTTCTCCTCTTCTCTTCTTGTCTCTACTCTTTAAATTGTACAAACTCTTCTTCTTTCTAGCAACATGCATCTTTTCTCTTTTCTCCTTTCTTACTCTTTCTCTTCTTCCTTCATTTCTAAACATTACACTTGTGAACCGGTTGATGGCACATAAACTAAATGAAAAAAAAGTAATTTTCTAGCCGTTTCCTGCAAACTTCGAGTCGGAAACGATCACAAACTGATCGGATATTTCTCGCATAATTCCTGCCGGAATGATCGACCTGGGTGATGTTATGCCTACCATAGTGGATTGATATTTGAATGAATCGTTACTAACTCACCAGGCAATGGAAAAATCAAATGAAGCCATCGGAAAATGATGAATTGGCAGCTTAAAACTTTTATCTTCTCGTTTTATTCAGATATTTTTTGTATCAAGTTGATTGAAAGAAAAAATCCATAATTCTATTGATTAAAAGATTATGTGAATATAGTGGATAACTTACGTGAAAGATATCATTTCTTGTTTGATTTGGTTGCCTTTTCGAGTTAAGCTCTTGCTGTTTTTGTGGCAATTGAAGATTTATGAAACAAATTCATGTAAATAAATGCTGATTTTCTCTTCTACATAGATATGAGACGATCACCAGGTGTTGCTACAGATACTCTTCTTGTTATATGCATTAAATAGTATTTTGATCTTATTCCATAGATTTCTTTTAAAGAATTCTATTTCAAATAAATCAAATCTTTAAAATGTATATTTTTTCAATTGCACATTTCTTTCAACGCTCTTTATCGTTACATTTATCGAATAATTGATAATAAATATTGAAATTTTGTTCGAAATGTTAAACCATTTAATGAAGATGAACAATCGAATTGGAAATCTTTAATATTAACAGAGAAATAGTGATTAGTGTCTTCATATTTTATCTTAGAGAATCATTTACAGGAAAATCTAACGAAAAATGGGTTCTTTCTATGACTTAGAATATATATCTTCATAGATTTAAATAAAGTTCTTTGAGATAACCCAACGTAATTCTCTGTAAAAGAAGTCAAAGAAGTAAGGTTGGCGACAGGCAAAAGTGGAGCAGATTTTTTTTTGTTGAATTTTTTATGTGATATGATGCAGCTTGATGCGCTGAATCCGAATATGTATAATTTAGTTACATAGAAAGTCGTCTTCCAGGAGAAATCTTCAAAATACTACAAAAACCGAGGTTTTCGAAAAATCAGGATTTCCACTCGAAATTTGACAGTAGGGCTTTCCAAAAGTATGTTANAGACGACTTTCTATGTAACTAAATTATACATATTCGGATTCAGCGCATCAAGCTGCATCATATCACATAAAAAATTCAACAAAAAAAAATCTGCTCCACTTTTGCCTGTCGCCAACCTTACATTATTCAGAAAAACATAAATTAGTTTTTTTTATTAGATTTATTTTTCTTTTAAATTTCATATTATTGAGTGTTGATTAATAGAAGAATGTAATTTGTGCATATTGGATAATATTTCATGTGTTTACATCTATTTCAAATAAAATCTCATCAATGAATATAAAAAATATTTAACATAAGAAAATAACATTTATTTCAAATTCAAGTTAATGAAAAGTAAAGAAATTATTTTGTGAATTAATTTCGATGTTTTGATCCATCTTGACAATCATCAGTTGTAGTATCTTCTGACTTTTTATTTCTTCGTCGAATAAATTCCAATTGTCTCATCACATCTTGCCATCGATTTTCTTCGATTTCAATTTGATCTTCATCAACATCACTATGAACTGATTCATCATTATCAATTTCTTCAACTTCTTCAAGATCCTCTTCATATTTATTTTGTTTATCTTCTTGAATTGTATTTGTATGTTGTTGTGTTGTCGTTGGTGGTTGAAATAAATCTTGTGTTGGCACTGAAGTAGTTTGAGAGGAATTCGAAGTTTGTTGTTGTGTTAGAATAAATCTTGCTTCATCTAATGACCATCCAGTAAGATGATCTCGTGGTTGTTTATAAAGTGGTGAAGTGGGATCAGTGAGAACACAAATGGCTCTCTGAGCTAATAAATATCGATTGATTTGCGCTTTTTGAGGATTACATTCTAATTTTAAACGATGTGTACGAAGAGCAATTGGGCAACAACGTTGACAAACATCAAAATCTGGACAATCGACACATCGATAACGATGACCAGGAAAATTAACTTGAAAACAAACATCACATGTTATACCAATATTCATATTAATCCACATCATTTCTTTCGGAATTCCTATTCGAGGGATAAATTGATGATATGGTAAATGTTTTATTCGAACATAAGATATACAATTTGAACAAACGGTATAATTATTACAAGTTAAACATTGATAATAAATTTGTTTTTCAGCATCAAGTACAGCATAACACGAATCACAATAGGCAAGAAGTGATCGACCATAATTTGTATGCTGGAAATTCTTCATTTTCACTTGACTAAATTTCAAAAGTAATATTCATCGAAAATCTTTTTTTTAATATAGATTATTGAGAAAATAATTGAACTTACTTTCTTTAATAGACGTCAGTTGTATATTTGAGGTGTTGTCAAGAATATAAATAGAAAAATAGCTATTTGTATCTGTCAAATGTTCTATTTATGAATGAAAAAAAAGATTGAATCAATTGAAGCGTAACATTTATTTCTCGTTAAAATATCAGAGAATCGTTCTATGAAATTATTCTAGACAAACTTGTTTTCGTTTTACGGTCTGTTACTGTTTGTGTTCTATAAACATTAGTGGGTGGAAAGGTGACAATGTTTTCATGTTGTTTAGACGAGAGACACACGATATATCAATGTTCCTATTCTTTTACAAAATAAAACCGTCGAAAACGCCTGAAAAGTTCATAAAAACTATTTCAGTGTCATTATTGACATGATTTGAAAAAGAAACTTTGAAATCTTTTTATGTTTATCAAACAGATAATTGAACTTTATCTTTTTTATTCTTATTTAAATAAAAACAACACTAAGACCAGTTTTGTATAGTAAAGATTGCTCATACGATCAAAGGATGATGAGTGTTCCTAAATGTAGAATATACACATAAAAGCAATCTTATCCACCAGTATTGATGATTAAAAAAATGAACTTTTCTTCTTGAATCCAATCGATATCTTTACAATTAGAAAATCACATTTTCGTGCAAATAGAAGCCCAAATAGACTAAGAATTAAGCCAGACGAATTGAAAATGAGACGATACAACTTCACATTTGTTTCTTAATTACTCATCGATATAAATATTTTTCTTACATCTCTATAGAATCGAATATCATTGTCTATTTTCAAATTTAAAGATTCGAAAAAAGAGAAAGATCTTTTGAAATGATTTATTAAATAAAGAAAACAAGCTCTCAATTATATTTCACACTTTCATATCCATATTTATCATACTGTTCTCGTTTGAATTTATCTGATAAAATCGCATAAGCCTGATTCACTTTTTTGAACATTTCTTCCGCCTTTTTATCACCAGGATTTCGATCAGGATGAAGTTCTTTTGCTTTCAATAGATAAGCACGTTTGATTTCTTTGTCAGTTGCAGTTCGACTAATGGCTAACAGATTGTACAAATCTAATGGTACTTCTTCTTTTGCTTTTGTACTTGATTCTTTCGTACTAAAAAGAATATTATTTAGAAAATATTAATCTTCATAAAAAAACAAACCGTTGTTGTTGTTGTTGTTGTCGAGATTGTTGCTGCTGTCCATATGATTGATACTGTTGTTGTTTCTGTTGTTGTTGTTGTTGATATGATCGATATTGTTGTTGGAAAGGTGTTGTAAAATCATACGTAAATTGTGGAGCATTCGATGTATAATTTTGCCATTGTTGTTGACTGACTCGTTGCCGATAAATTTTCGGAAAGTTTTTGGCATAAAGACCAACGAGAGGTGCGAGAATACAAGCAATTGGAATAGATGTTTTAAAAGAAAGAAGTGAAGCAAGTGCAATACCAATTGATGGATCAATCATCGATCCAAGTGTAACAATTGATGCTAATGCTAATGGATAAAATCCAACTAAAGTTGCTAATGTTACTTTTGCCATTGAATATTGTCGATCACCTTCAACACGACCAGTAACTCCATCAACTAAACATGTAAAATTTGTTGAACCATATTCATAATCAATGACATAAATTGGATAATATAAAAGACGTTCTTTTTTTGTATTTATATCAAAATGAAATGAATCAACTTGGACTTCATTGTATTGTGAATAATTCTAAAGAAAAACGAAATGTTAAGTAATGATTCATGAAAGAAGAAAGGTAAATTCGTACATAAAGAGTTTGTTGAATTAAGATTTGTTTTGTTTGTGGTACAATATTGAGATCCCATCCGATTTGAAAAGCTGTATCTTTATCGACAGTCCATTGTTCAATATCTTTTTCTTGATTATTAAGATTGACAATTGAATTTTGATCAAATGATATATTCAATTTATTTAAATGATATCGATCCAATGTTTGACACGCATAAATATTCACATCAGTTAATGAAAAATTCTTTAATGTAATTGGTGCTGAATGCCATTGTTTACTCGGAACAGAACTTTTGCCATGTCGAATCATTGTCGTCTGTGCAAGTCGAACTGATGATTGAATTGAACCATAAAGTGAAAAATTCCAAAAAGGAATATATCGTTTTGTGATATGAATCGCTTCATCTTTGGTTTTTTCTGTCCAACCACCAGGTGCAAACCTCTTCGACAAAATCAATTTATTTAGAAAATGAGAAAATATTTGTATTTTTACCACAAAGATTTAAGCCATTGATCGAAATATTCTCGAGCTTGATCTTCACCGAATTTCACTTTGATTCCTTCATATTTTTTAGTTGATGCATATCGACGAACAAAAGTTCGTTGAATTAATAAAACATTCGAGAGAATTTTCATACTTATGAAATAACAAACATTTCTCTTTGTGCCATTGGAGTTATCCAATAGACTCACTTTCGACTTTCCTTTTCTCTCAATAAAATCATAGCGACATCTATGTTTTCGCTAAGAAAAAAGAAGATCTTTTCATTGTCAAATAGAAATTTGTTGTTCGTTAATTTGAACGAAACATCGACATATTCTTCAAATGAATGAAATAGAAAGTAAATAGAAATCGATGAGTAGGTGTGATTGTCAAATGAAGAAAAGAAGATTTGTCAATGATTTATTTGTCTTTGGACATGGAAAGAATATTGATCTTCCATTAAAGACAATCAATATTTGAAAAAGACAATCATTCTATCTGAAGATAATAGACATTTGCAACATTTCATTGACACTTTCTTTTTTTTTCTATTCGAAAATCTTCGTGATGAACATCGTTTATTCAATTTATTATTTTCTTCATTTATTTATTATCATTAAAGGTTTTCTTCTTTTTTTTTAATAAATTATCTTTTACAACTCATTTCATTTATTCAAAGGTCAATTTTATTTACCAAACGTTTGTTTTTTAACATTTGATAATGCCGTAGGAACTTCATATTCAAACGGAAGGTTAATCTTTACTACTTAAACGAATTCCAATGAGAAACTTTTGTCTTTTCTTTCTAATTAGTATCATCAATTGCCCATCGACATGTTACACAATGAGATATTTGTCAAATCAACAAGATTACCCTGTTTTTGGAAATGAAACTTATTCAGGAGTAAGATTTCATTTTTCTCAATTTTCAAAGACGAAAGATTTTTATCGTTGCAAAGAATTCTTTGGTATGTAAATCCGCTATGCATGATGGTCGTGTTGCACCATGGGCACGAGACTTTTCTCCTGTTTTAATTCAAAATAATTCATATCAATCGTCAATCTTTCCAAGTTCACTAAGAAACGGAATTAATTCAGCAAAGTCAGTTGACATTTTTCTCTTTCCCAAAGAAAAAAAATTTTCATTTGCAGATCAACATCGGGATTTTTCAATACATATTCATTTACAAATAGTCGAATTAATGGTTTGTATTTGTTCAAAATTGAATTTGAAATGTAAAAGATTTGTCTTTATGTTAGAAACAACGTTAGTTGATATTGCAATTGAACATCGTGTTTATCTTTATTCTCAAGATCAACCATCAAGTATTACATGTCGAAGTAAAGATGAAATTTCAACAATTCAACCAATTAATATTGATCAAGGATGTACGATAAATTCCATTTGTTTTCAAATCGAAATTTCCTTTTCTTTAAAGGGAAAACTTGGAGTGAAAATCGTTTGAAATATTTTACATATCCAACAAATATGACACGAGATGGAGCATTGAATTTTTGTATGAATAATAATGGAACATTAATGTATTGGGCAAATAAAACAGAAGAAGATCTTCTTCAAAGTAAAAGAAGACTTCTTCTCAAATTTCAATTCATTTTCGATATTCAGATGAAATTTCGACGGTTATTTCACAATTATTTCGTTATCAAAGAAATTTACAAGGTAATGATACTTTATCATTTTATATTGGATTAAGAAGAATTTCTCAAATAAAACAATGGCAATCCAATGTAAATTTTTCTTTTTCTTTTTCTTTTCCAATTCGAATCTATTTGATTTAGATAATCAATTATAATGAAATATCAATTTCAATTAATACAAATTCAGTAAATCCAAATGAAGATTATTGTACAATTATTCAAGCATCTAGTGCAACTTTTCAATCATATGGAATTTATGCATATCGTTGTAATGATACAACAATCAATGCTTATCCACTTTGTCGACTTAATCGTAAAATTCATCTTTTCTTCTAAAAAGACTTTCGTTTTTTATTCTTAAATTTCATTTTAGCATCAGTCATTTCGCAACAAAATGATTTTATTTATCGTCTTGAAACCGATACTCAAGCAGGAAATCTAACGGGAGTGATTAATTTCTGTGCAGAATTAGGTGGATATCCAATTTATGCAAATAATGCGTATGAATGGCAAATTATACAAGGTAAACATTCTTTACAAAAAACAAAATTCGTTGGAATTCTTTTTCTTTTTTCAGAAATCATGTTAGAAGATCCCAATTTCAATCAAAATTATGTTTATACCGGTTTAGTTTCTCAAACGAAACAAGTAACAAATGCGTTTTGGATGCCAAGAAATACTTCAGTAAACTCTCTTTTTTTCTTTTTCAAAAATTCATTTGTTTTCGTTGAATTTAGTATAACAGCACATTAAATTACATTCAATTTGCCGCATCTCGAGGCTCAAATCGTATTGGATATCATTTATCAAAAGCTCGTGATGAATCTTATTATTATTTATATGATATTGATCCATATACAACATTGAATAGTTTACGATTTTGTCGAAAACCTGATATAAAAAATCAATTAAATCCATCTCCAAATTGTCGATCAAAACAATGTTCTTCCAAATGTTTGAATATCACACTTCCAAGTCAATCCGATGATTTAAGATTTGGTTTCTATGGATGTTTTCCTAAATCAAGTTTAGCTTCAATTGTTTATACACATTCATTTCCAACAGATGGTAAAATTCAAAGATAAACAAATCATTTGACTTTTTCTTCTCTTGTAGGTGATTTCATTCGTCCAAATTTATCAATGGATTATAGTGTTAGTCTTCGTCGAAATTTTACTGATTCGTTGAGTTTAACTTTTAATGAAGTTGATCCAGATCTTCGTTCAGATTGTTTTGAATATATGAATATGGATCGAACTTCAACATTAAATGAAACAATTCAATTAAATTGTATTTCATCAACTACATCCAATAAAACAATCACAGGAATTAGTTTTAAAAGAAATTTTAATGGTTTAATTTCAATTGGTTTAAGAGATCGACGATTATCTTCACATCATTTTCGATTTATTGATTATTCGGATTGTAAGTTAAATACAAATTGAAATTTCAATTCCAAGAAAATCTTTTCTTTTCTCGGTTGAATAGCGGGTAGTCGTTGCAGTTATCAAGGAATTTATCATCCATATATAAATCAATGTATTTGTGCACCAGGTTTTTATGGTCAAATCTGTGAAAATAGTTGTCCACCTGGTTATTATGGACAAACATGTGATTTTCAATGTGCAGGCGATGATGATTATTGTAAAGGTTTATTAATTTGTTTACCTGATCCATATGGTTGTTCATGTTCTTCGGGTTGGTATGGAACTAATTGTAATTTAATTTGTCCATCTGATCGTTATGGACCTGGATGTGCTTATCAATGTTCATGTCCATCATGTAATCGTTTTACTGGTATTTGTAATTGTATTGGAACAGAATGTTATCAAGGTCCATATACTCGTAGTGAAATTGAATCTCGTTGTGGATCATCATCAAATTTAGCTCTTTTAATTGCTGTACCAATTGTTTGTGTTGTTGTTTTAATTGCAATTATTGGTGCTTTATTATATTGGAGAAAACGACGTTCATCAGACGAAGAAAATTTATTTGAAAGTTCCAATGTTCGTTATTCAACAGATTCCTATCGATCATCAATGAGACAATATCCATACGGAAATGATTATAATAATATTCTAAGTGAACGTCTGTGATAAAATTTGATTTCAATGACACAAAAAGCCATATGAACAAGGGATAATTTTATTTAAAATTCTTTCTGTTCTTTTTCTGTAGAAAATTCATTTGAAATTAATTAAAGATATTTAAACAAAAAAAAAGATTCATTTTCTATTTGTTAAGAGATGGATGATTTCTCAATCCATAATGTTTTTATCGCATTGACGTTCTCATTTCAAATCTTTTCTCAATTTCACTATGACTAATGAAATGAATTTCTCTTGACATACACGATGACAAAACACTTTTTTTGCTAATCTTTCTCTCCATATAAAAATAGAAAGTATTTCTCTGTATAAAATTACATTGTGATACTATTTTGACTCGATCATTTTGTCTTAATCCTTATTTATTTTCACCTAACATTGAATATTCGAAACAAAGGGATGTCACGTATGTCTGCTTGTTGTTATATTGTTATTGTTATTCTTATTTTCATCTTCTGTGTACAATGTTCATCGTTGTATGTTGATTCTCAAATATCCAAAATTGATCGACGTAATCTCTCTGATCCACCACCTTGTCCATCACTTAATGTTTCTGCACTTCGTTTAATCACATTTGATTTATTTGGTGCATTGATGTTAACCAGATCATCGTTACAAAGTCATATTGCTGAACTTTTACCATCGTTATCATCAAGTGATGTTGAACGCTTCACTGATACTTGGCTCGAAGCATATGTATCATATTTTGGAAAATCATTTCCAAGATCACAAACACGTCAACCATTTCTATGGGTTATCCATTCGTCATTGTTACAAATCTTAGAATCATTCAAATTATCAACTATCGTACCTGAAGATGGTTCTACTTTTAAATCATTGATAAAAGCATGGAGTAATCTACAACCACGTCCTGGTACCGTTGAAGTTCTATCAAAGTTAAGCCAAAAATATCAATTGGGATTACTTTCCAATGGTGATAAAGACACATTACAAACAGCCTTGCGTGTTTTTCCCTCATCAGTAAATATATCATCAATATTCTCATCAGACTATCCAATAAATTGTTTCAAAACATGTTCTGCAATGTATGCTCAAGTATTAGAAGCAGTTCATGGTGATAAGACACAAGTTTTCCATGTAGCTGGTTCAGCATACGATACTCATGGTGCTCGAACTTTTGGTATTTTCTCTGGTGCAATTGATAGTTCTGCAAAACACACGAGTCCACCACCATGTTTTGCTTTTGATGATATACGACAATTGATTTCATTTTTTAACGTTTAAAAATAAATATACTACTGATATTCTTTAAAAGACAAAATTTACGAATTCAATGTAATTGATAATGAGTCAGTTTTTATTAGATAAGAATTAAAAAATCGTTGTATTATAACACGATGTATAACATGGTGGAACACCAGAACAGAAATCCCAGGTATTTCCACACCAAGCTGAAGTACATTGTGAACATGATTTAACGCGTGTCGTTTGACAAGTTGGACTTGTTAAGACAAAGCAACATTTACACAAAACATCACCATTTGCGTAATTAATCATTATTAAGGAGCAAATGAATAGAAGAAATATGAATTGTGTTTTCATCATTGTTTTGTGATTCTTTTTTCTTCTTCAATAGTGACGATTCACTTTCAAAACCGCGTTTATATAATGATTTAAATAAATCTTCGTCATTGTTAGTTTTTTCTTCTCACTATCAGTATGATCGAAGCATAAACTTATCGATTATTTTGTAGGTGTGAGAAAAACATTGCAGAGACTGCGTGTATAATTTGAAAAAATTACTTCTCTCGACCGCAAAGTAACTTATTTCTAAACATATTCTTCTTCTCAATGTTAAAACTTTCATTTATACGATAAAATCTAATATGTGAAAAATCAAAATTCATATGTTCATTGATAAATATTTGTGAAAGTATAAATATTCAACTTGTGTATTTTTGATAAAATATAATTTGAAAATTAATTGAAATATCTTTTCGTCTATCATGCAACAATGATAACTCATCTAATAAAGAATTCGACATCTATACATTGTTACATGATAAACTCTTCCAGACAATTATTATTACTATTATCGTTTTCTCTCTTCTTAGAGTTATTCATTGTAAAGATAATAGAAAAGAAGATATTCTTATCTATCGTTTTTGTGTTCTTTCCATACATAATGTTCTATATCTCATTTTCATTTGATTGATTTTCCTTTTATCTAAAAACAAATATCTAAGACTGATGATTTTTTTCTCTATCGAACGATGACAGAATCTATTCGTAACAGATAATCTATTCATGTTGTTTAATACTTCTCTTTTTTAAACATGAATTTCATTATAATTAAATAGCGACGGTATCAGAATTTTCCCGCAAGGGGTGGACTTACTACAGAAATCGTACGTTTTTGTAGTATAAATGTTTGTTTTCTGTGGAAATTTGTCCAAATCACAATGAATTGAAATAATTCCAGGGCAGATTGAGTCAATTGTGATATCACCACTATAATTAAATGAAGATTTTCAATGTCTGCCGTTATTTTGTTCAATAATTAGTAAGAAGATGAATAAAAGAATTTTTTCTATTCTAATTGTGATCAATGATTTGAAATTGCTTTCGAAATAAACCTCATTTTTTCTTTTTTATCTCAATGAATATTCTTTCTTAATTCTTCTAGATAATGTATCATCATCTTCTCTCATTGAGGCGATCTTTTTACAAATGTCAACGTCTTTCATCACGAAGAAATTCTCTTTGTCTACTTCTCCTCCTAATTAGTTTGTGTTTCTTCATTATTCCTTTAAATAACACCTCATTATCGTCAACAGATGTGTTAAATGAATGTATGTTCGATAGAAGTCCATGTTCTTCTGATATTTCTCAATCGTTAAATCATTATTTTAAAGAATATCAAGAGAAATATTCGATGTTATTAACATATCATCCAAGAATTGATTGTAATTATGGTCGATATTTATTAATTAATAATTCAAAATTTTCACGTGTTCATGATGGAACAGGTTCTGTATTAATGTGGTATTTAGGTTTATTAAATATTGCATATAAATTGAATTTAACTTTGATAAATTTTGATTGGATTGTTGGACATACATCTGATGAAAATAACATTGAAAGAGAAAAATATTGGTTATTTGATCATTGGCACATTCCTTATTCAGCTTATCAATCATGTCCAAATAATTCTTTGATTAAAAAGAATTTCTTTTCTTATGATTTAATTTCTAATCAAACATTAGAACAACATTATAAAGGAAAACAACCATTTGAAATAAATTCTCATTTAAAAAAGAAATTTTCTCAATTTTTAATAAAACTTCCGATAAAAAATGCTGGTTTTACATTTTATTCTAATCGAACATTAACAATAAGTTCATCATTAATGGAATTAGGAATTGTTATGGAAATTCGTTGGTGGTTACAACATCGAAAATTATATCAATATCCTCATGGAGTTTGGGCAGGATCTTCTATTTCATCAATTAATCAACCAATAGATGATTTTTCTTCTTTTCATTCAAATCATTTGTCATCATCATCATCATGTTCAAATATTGATTTTGAAAAAAGTTTCTTAATTGGTGTTCATATTCGTCAAGGTGATGTTATCAAACGAAATCGAAAAGGTGAAATTATATTTGGAATTCTTCAACGTTATATTTCAATTTCAGCATATCCACCTTTGTTAACATTTCTAATTGAATCATTACCAAAAGAAATTCGAATGAAATATTTTCTAACAATTTATAGCGAAGGTCATCCAAATGATTTTAATTCTCTTCTTATTCAATTAAAAAACACTTTTCCTGAGTCTCATTGTCGAATCTCATTGGTTTTAAATGGACGAACATCAGAAACATTTAATCGTTTATTACGTGATGATATTTTAATTTATGCACATAGTACATTTAGTTTAGCTTCAGGAATTTTTAACAGTCGACAATTAAAAATTGGACCTTTTCATAATCGACAACGTGTTCATGGAATGAGAAATTTTATCGGATTGAAATTAAATGAAAATCATACGAAATTTTATTTAACCAATGAAAAGAAATCTTTAATTCAACAAAGAATTAGTTATGTTTGGAAAGAAAAACAAAAACAACAACATTCTTTTCTTCCATTATGGTTGAACAATTATTCAAAAAATTATTCAGAACAATTTATGTTTATTTGAATACTTTCTCTTAAACTCAAAATAAATTTTGAATTCATATCCACGATGTCATCGACGCGAAATTATTCGTATTGTTGAATTTTTCTTATCTCTTTCAATGTGAGAACATGTCGAACTTCTTCAATTGATCGTTTAGTTCATTGAAAAAGTTCTCTCCATAAGAATATCTTTCGATTAATAAAAAAATCAGGAGTCATTTCCTAATTGTTGAGCGAAATTCGATGTTTGAGAAATCTTTTCAACTCCATCAAATCATCATTTAATAACGTTTGTTAAGACAATCGAAATATTTTAAGTGTTTTTTTCGATTTTCTTCATTCGTAACGATCAAATTGAGAATTTTAATAATCCGTCTCTGTCAAATCTCATTTTTTCAATGTTGGAACATCATCAACTTTATCATCACAACAACATTTTAATGTTTAAACACATTTTTGCACATCAGTGACATTTTCTACTCCAAACAACTGCGAATCGTTGTTGAATCGCTTCATTTGTATTGATTGTAACATAAACGAGTCAAAAGATCAATGTAGTTAAATCAAGAGAGAAGATTCCGATTTATCTGATTTTGAAATCTTTAATATTTTCAATTGCTTTTTATTGAAGAACATCATTGATATCAAATGATCTATTCCTGGAGACTTGAATTTTGATCACTATGATCGTGCAATATTTGCTTCACATTGCATAGAAATATGTAGTAAGACGAGGAAGAAAATTCACTTTTTCAACATGTTCGTTCATTCATTCAAATGTGTAAGAAGATCGCCTTTCGACGATCAGAAAGTAAATTCGGCATAATGTTTTATACTTGGTGAGAAAATATGACACAAAGAAAGGTGAGTTTATCGAAATTTCTTGTTCGTATAAAAATGTAAAACAATGTGAATAATTGAAGATTTTCGTAGATATATTTTCTATAAAATCATATTGAATATTAGTGTCCTCTTTCATTCTAATATTTCATTGGTTACAGATGACAAAGTGAAACAAATGTTCTGCTATGTATGATATTATTCATAAATATCTTCAACATAAAAAAAGCCTGATTTTCTTTGTTGTTTTCTATTTGTTGAAATGTCTCTGCATTCTTCATATACATATCCATTTCGTGGAATCTTCTATTTATTAAGTCATCCATCATTATGGAGACAAATCTCATGTGGTTTATTAATATCAATCTTAGTATCGATAGTCACATCGGTATTATTCTTTGTATTTATATTTCCATTACAAGCACATGCATTTGAAGAATATATGTCTGATTGGTTATCATGGATAATCAGTTTTTTTATAACAATTTATGAAATTGGAATATTACTTTTAGTAATATCATCATTATTTCTCGCATATTATATGGATGTGATTTTTGATGCAGTATGGAGAGAAGAAACAATGGGATTAACTGAAGGTATTACTCAACGAATCTCTTCTACAACATATTCATGTATAAAATCATTTTTTATATTAATTTTATTTCGTGTAATTCTTGTTATTATTACATCACCATTAAATTTAATTCCAATTCTTGGAACAATTCTATTTATTTATGTAAATGGATATTATTATGCGTGGTCATTACATTGTCGTTATTTTGATTTACTTGGTTTAACATTTTTACAAGGTAAACATTTTGTTGAAGAAAATCGTAATGATTATTCTCAATTTGGTATTGTTGGTATTTTCTTGGAATTAATTCCATTTGTGAATCTGATTACTCCAATAACCAATGTCATTGGAAGTGCACTTTGGGCATGTGATATCGAACGATATAAAGAACCTTCACAACATCCACGAAGTTATTTATTGGCTCCAACACCTGAATTAGTTGAACAAGGACAATCAATTGATTATGGAACAATTAAAAATGAAAAAGAATCATTATCATTTGCTCCACCAACATATCAAGATGCTATGGAAAGTAATCATCTTTATCCATCTGCTCCACCTCTTGAAAAACAATAGAAATTATCTTTATTTGTTAAGTTTAAAATAATCAAGCGGAAATTTTTCGTTGTGTAAAGAGAAAAGAACGATGATATTTGCTTTCAAGTTGGATTATATTTAAGAAAAATAAATAAAAGAAGAATTTCTTGGCCTTTTTTTCCTTATAAATTATCGATGTATCATAATAAACAAAGAGAAAAGAAAAAAAGTCACCGGATCAAAATAAGAAACTGGTTAAAATTGATGAAAATCATCGAAATTTGTTCGTTGAAAATCTAAAATAGGTTCGATATCTAAATCAAATGTTGAATTCGATTGTTCGATGGTTGTTGGTGGTGGAGTTGAAAGAATTTTTTCTCTTTGATTTATAAATTTATTTTTATTCATTTGATGACGCATTATCGTTAAAACCATTCGACGAAATAATGGATTTGAACGATCAATTGTTTTTAATTGTTCACTTAATTTCGATGATATCATTTCATAATCATTTATTGAATAAATTTCATTGGAATTTATTTGAGATTTTGTTGTTGATGAACAAAGTTGATCAACTAGAAAAACAACGACAAATGATTTGAAACTCAAAATGCAACTTTTTCTACCTGAATTGGAATAATTTGATGATTGAAGAGGAGATGATTTTAACATATCATGAAGAATATTTGGCATTGTTTGTGTTGATAATTGATGATAAAATGATTTATTAACATCTCGTACAGATGTAAATGTTTGAGAATTATTTGAAGAATTTGAATGAGATTTAACAATTTTATTCGATGAATTTTCATTGGATTGAAGTTTTTTTCTTCCACGTATTTGTTTTGCTCGATGATCAATTGTCCACCAACTTGATTTACCTGCAATTTCATTTGGAATTCGAACAAAACAATTATGTAAGGATAAATTATGTCGAATTGAATTCTAAAAGAAAATAATTTGAATTGAAATGAAGAAAAAGAAAAGTCTCACTTTCCATCCGGTACTACTTTTCTTATCAGCTTTATCTCGAAAATAAGGAACATATAAAATCATCCAAGAATATATTTGTGAAAGTGTTAATCTTTGTTGACAACTATTTTCAATAGCTTTGGCAATTAATTCTGCATATGATAAATTTCCCCAAGCATTTTTTCGTGATGTTTGACAATCATTGAGACCAAGTTCATTTTCGATTAAATTCGCTAAATGTGGATCGTAAATTAAAGACTTTTGAGAAGAATTTTCACAAAGAAATCCTTGTTGATCCTGATGAACATCTTTTTTCTTGGATATTTCTTCGGAAAAATCATCAAAAAATGGTAAATCATTATTTTGAATATCATTTATCAACGAAATGGAATTGTTCGTTGACGAATAGAAATTTTTTTCATTAAAATCATCAAAATCATCAACAACAATGGATGAACAACTTGCACGCATTGATTCCAACCTGAAAACATGTTCATTTCATTTTGAAAAATTGAAAATATTTCTTCGAAATGACCTTGATAGAATCTTATATTTCTCCAAAAATGTCCTTGTCCGTTCTTTCTTTTTTTTCAGAAGGTATGATAAGCAAACAATTCTTGAGCTCAAGGACAAAAATGGGACAGAAAATAACATCAACTACTCTTCAAGGTCTCTTTGTTTTATCAAAATCTTTAACCAAATTTATCATCAAGTTCGATTTTAACAAAACTTAAATATTTTCTTATTCAATTCTTCTAAGGAAAGATCATTTCGATTTGATTTACTTACAAATGATGAATATTGAGTTGATAAGAAAAGAACTGCGATAATAATATTTTTATTGAAATTCCAAAGACATTCAAGAAATCTGAAATAAAAAACGAAATGATAATTGATGAAAAGATTGGTCATTTGGTTAAGAAATGGATATGACAGAAGAATCAATTTGAAGATTGACCTTGTTATTCAAGGATAACAAAGCTTAACAACAATTATAATCAAAGTCTATGTCTCAACATTACCCGCGGCTCTCAGACATCGTTAGTCCTTGAACAACACTGGAAAGAGTGTTGATAGCGACATGTAACGATACGTTGAGAGAGAGAGAGAAACAGAGACAGACAATTTACTTTTTCTTTTCTTTTTCTATCATTAACAAGCGAAGACAAAAATGATGTCGTTGATTTGCTTTTCTCTTCTTTTTTTCCTTTCTCTTCTCTCTTTTGTCGTTCTTTCATATTTCGTTATTTTCGTAGGAAAATTTATCAAGAAAATAATGAACTTTAGTTTATTCTTTTTCCAGATGTGAAATTTATCGAAAATAATCATTTATTTCAACAAATGGTTTGATGAAATTCGACTCAATTCATCATGAAGAATTCTTTTGACGAAAACGAACTCGATGACAAATGAAATCAAATCTCTTTTGTTGAACGATAATCTTCTATAAATATCAAAATCATGTAGATTTCAATGGGTAATTGAACTTTATCTATCAAAATAGATTTCTCATTCGATAATTGTTCGACAACGAATTTCTTTGTCGATTTACCTCGAATAAATCAAGTAAAGTAAAGTAAAGACGTGAAGAGAAAAAGTTAAAATATATGTATATCACAACCTGCGCGAGGCTTTTATCGCAAATGTAACCAAATAATATGACGTACATTGCGAATATAAGAGAAAGAGATAAACGTTTCTTGAGGGTGTTTTGTAAGAAAAATATAGGTCAATCGAGAGATATTCTTTGTAATATCTTTCAGAAACGACGGTATAGTTCTCGCTGTTGAGTTATGATAAAGTTTTAATTTTTCAATTAATTAAAATATAAAACGTATTTCTTCTTTCTACAGAACTGAATATGTCGACAACAGAAGAAAATCTTTCTGATCGAATGAAATTATTCAATCAATTGGATGTTGTTATTGTCGGTGCAGGATTTTCTGGTTTGTATATGTTATATCGTATTCGACAACTTGGATTGTCTGTTCGAGTTTTTGAAACTGCTGATGGTGTTGGTGGTACTTGGTATTGGAATCGTTATCCCGGTGCTCGATGTGATATTGAAAGTTTACAATATTCATATTCGTTTAGTGAAGAACTACGTCACGAATGGCATTGGAATGAACGTTATGGTTCGCAAATAGAAATTCTCAAATATCTTAATTATGTTGCTGACAAATTTCATTTACGAAATGATATTCAATTGAAAACTCGCGTGATATCAGCAATTTATGATGAAAATTCCGTTCGTTGGAATATTCAAACAGATACTGGAGAATCGATTTCGGCAAAATTTTGTATTATGGCAACAGGTTGTTTATCAATGCCAAAACAAGTGGATATCAACGGAATTAATAATTTCAAGGGTAAAACTTACTACACCAGTCAATGGCCACATGAAAATATTAATTTTCATGATCAACGTGTTGCTGTAATTGGAACAGGATCATCTGGAGTTCAATCTATTCCTTTAATTGCCGAAGAAGCTGCTCATCTTTATGTATTTCAACGAACACCATGTTTCAGTGTTCCAGCTCGAAATACTCCACTCGATTTACAAGAAGAACAGGCGTGGAATAAAGATTATAATGAACATCGACAAAAAATACTCAATACCTATGCGGGTTTTCACACTACTGGTTTGAGTTATGATCAATCGGCTCTTAGCGTTTCACCAGAAACACAACAAAAAGCATATGAAACACGATGGCAATTGGGAGGACTTTCGTTTCTATCAACATTCAACGATCTCTTTTTTAATAAACAATCCAACGATACAGCGGGAAACTTCGTAAAGTCTCAAATTCGACAATTAGTCAAAGATCCTGTTGTGGCTGAAAGTTTAACTTCGCAGGATTATCCAGTCGGCTGTAAACGTCTTTGTATTGATACAAATTATTATGAAACATTTAATCGCCCCAATGTCACTTTAGTTGACCTAAAAAAAGAAAATATTCAACAAATCACATCAAATGGAATTCAAACGACGAAAAATATCCATGAAATTGACTGTATTGTTTTTGCTACTGGTTTTGATGCATTGACTGGTGCTTTGATGAAAATCGATATTCGTGGTCAATCAGATTCGACTATTAAAAAGAAATGGTGTGAAGGACCACGAACTTGTCTTGGTCTGATGACGACTGATTTTCCAAATCTATTCATGATAACGGGACCAGGAAGTCCATCAGTATTCACCAATATGGTTGTTTCGATTGAACAACATGTGGATTGGATTGCAGATTGTCTCGATTATCTGAGAAAGAATCAATTTGACACGATTGAACCTACTCAAGAAAGTGAAGATGCGTGGGTTAATCAAGTCAATGCTATTGCTAATGCTTCCTTAGTTAACATGGCCAATTCATGGTATTTGGGAGCAAATGTTCCAGGAAAACCACGGGTTTTCATTCCATATGCAGCTGGAATTGTTCCTTATCGACAGAAATGCGATCAAGTGGCAGCGAATGGTTATGAAGGTTTTCAATTGAATAGAAAAAAAAACAAATAAATAGTAGAAGCTGAAGAGCATCATCAAATCGTATGTTTCTTCAGATTTCAATGTTTAGAGACAAAATATTAATATAATTGGATTTGCCTCTTTATTCCTTTAAATGATCAAAATTTTAATTGAATAAAACGCTTTTCTCTTGATTTCTATCTATCTCATGAGGCTGAGGGTGTGGGTTTCGGTTTGAGTGAGTGAGCATGAATATTCTGTATACCGTATGTTCGATTCAAATCTTTCATCTCCTAAGTGATTAAAAAGGATCGAGTCCGTATTGTCGTTATCTAAGAAGAAACGTATGCGATATAGCTCGTATACCATCATTCATGAAACATGGATGTTATGATTATCAGAGAATTGAAATCGACTTGCCATTTCTATTTGAATATTGAAATTAATCCGGCAATAATTATGAAGTTGATCGGAAATAAAGTGAGGAAATGATTAAAATTTCATCTCAAACATAAATCGGTATCTATCTCATTGTTTCCTGTCAGATGTCTTTGACGTGGATAACAGATGAAGAGGAGAACGGATTCGAAAGACAACCTTTAAGTTTGATTTGTTAACTTTATTCAGTTTAATTTGCGAAATACATCGATTTTTGCTGTTGTACTTTTGGATACCCGAATGAAATCATATTACTTCCAGTTGATGCATTTTGAATCGGTTTGATTTCCTGTAGTACTTTTCTTTTAGAAATATAAAAAGAGACTTCTTGTCTTAGCCGTTTGATTTTGGTTTGAATATGATCAGTAATACTGAAACAAATTTCAAAAATTTTTTTTTCTTCTAATTGTATCATATTTGAAAATTCAATAGAAATATTTCACTATTATGATTACATAAGTGAGTTTTTCAGCATTTAGTTATCCGAATGTATACTTGATAAATTATTCAATGAATTTTTCATAATGCATCACTCCTCGCGCGGCAATATAGATACATAAATAACTGAACTGAATAGAAGTATATACTTACATATTTGTATGAACAGTTGAATCCAATTCTCGAATATTATTGCCTGATATTTTAGTTTGGTAAGAAAAGAGGACTTCGGTATTTCCGAATTACGAAAATGTACTAAGTATAGAAAAACATGAAAATACGCATCTCCCTCAGGTTATTCTCTGCAATTTTGCTCACTGTCAATGTACATAAAATTTGCATTTTAAAGGGCGTACTTATAATTCAAGTTAGATAAAATGCACATTATAACAAAGTCATACGTTTATTCATGTTTACACCACTGATTTTTTATGTTTACTCATAAAAAATCATTTATTCTACTCTTTACTTCCTTTAAAATTCAATTAACAAATCTTCGTGATAAAACGCAAGAAATCAATAATGATTCATATCTTGTATTATAAATACCAAGGTAAACTGTCAATATAATGACAGTCAATCTGTGAAAATGACAAGATTTCTTGTACATTTTCTGTTGTTCACAATATCTTTTTCATCAGTGAACGCGGCGAAAGTTGGTTGCCGTTCTTATCAACAAACTGGACAAGTAGTTGCTGGTGGTAATGGTGATGGATCTGCATTAAATCAATTCTTTACTGATCGATTTTATTTGGATGATTCTACAAATATATATCTTCTTGATCGATCTGCTTCTGCTTTATGTGATTGGCGTTTTCTCCTATGGCCAGTGAATGCTACACAAGGAAGATTCATTACTGGCGCTTGTTTAAATAACGTACCTTCTGCTTCACAAGACATCTTAGTATCACCGGATGGCACATATAAAGTAACTGGGTTAGGCTTTGGTGATGCTGCTGTTTCTCAGATACGTCGTGTCAGTGGACAGAATGGCTTCATGCTTTGGTCAAAAGCGATTGTAAACAATGATAAAGATATTTATACTCTTGGATACTCTTCAACTAACAATCGTTGTGAATTACGGAAATGGTCTGCAAATGGCGTTAATCCTCTCACTGGAATTTTGATTGATTCAGATGAATCTATGTGGGGTATCAGTGATTTTGCTGTTGATAATAAAGGATCTGTATATACAATTGGCCCAAATTATGCCGTCGTAAAGAAATGGATGGGCGGTAGGACCACTTATTTAAAACGAAATGGAACATTGAATCATCCTACATCAATACTGGTTGATAGTGATGAAAATATTTATATCGGTGAAATGAATCAAATTACTTTATGGCCAGCAAAATCAAACGAGAGTTATTCAGTTATAAATATTAATCAAACAAATGGTCTCATCTTAGATAATAATTATAAAAATATCATACAAATGGATAACAACGGGTCTCTTTATCTTCTTACGACTGATCGTGCAGTTTTTGGAACTAAGATAATCAAATATGAATGTAACAGTAAGTCGAAATTTTCAAAAAAAGTACTAAATATCTTTCAATGAATATTCAAGATTGTCCATCATGTATCAGAAGCAATCGTTTTACAGCTGTTTATTACAAAGGAGTCTATGGACCTCAGTACAAAGGTCATCTCGAACTATCTGAATACCCCAGATGGACAGAATTTCTAAATTCTGGTATAACAACAGCAGATGAAAAAGCCATCATCATCGGTATGGCAATAAATGAAGGAAATCTCGACAGTGTGCAAGCTTATGACAAAGTAGTTTTAACTGCAGGTACGATGCAAAAAACTGTAGTTGCAACAGGTGGAGGTGAATTTGAAGTGCAAGTTTACGAATTCAAACAGGAAAATCCACAAGTTTATAGTGAACTGTTTGAAAAGTGTGGATGGAATATTTCTTCAAACAAAGTCATGTCATTTAAAGGAAAAACAGGTTCAGCATTAGGCAAATATTTGAGAAAAGATTTTCCAAAGGGTTCAAATAGTATATCTGAAGCACTTGGTCCATTAGTTTGTGCAATCAGTTCTCCTGAGTTTCAAATGAAACAAGTGAAAGATTTCATTATTCGACTTCGTAATGTACTCAAAATTATTCCAGTTGGATTTCAATATACAATAGCTGATTATTTTAAATCTCATCTTGGTCAAGCGACTGCATTAGATCAGAGTGTTAATCTTCCTGAACAAGTCAAAGTAGATGTAGGTAAAGCATTGACAAAGTTCTATATGAATAATCCAAGTGCACCAACAAATCCTAACACTTGGACAGTTCAAGATCGATCAAAATATGAGAGAGCGATATTACAAGACTACGGTGTGCACCGTATAATGAAAGATCCTGGTGTTAGATATACAAAATTGAAAGCTGTTTTTTCATTGCCTTAATCTATTTGATTATTGTTCATTTTTTCTATTATATTTCCGAAATAAACTTTGATTTTCCATACGAGTGCCAAATAACAAGATCAAGTTCAAACCTCCTATGGCACATTTGACTAATTAGCAAATCGAATTTTAATAGTGGATTACTCCAGGCCGTGCGAGCCTTGAAAATTTGAATTTAAATGCCGAGTTTCATACTACTAGTGAGATGAAGAAAAAGGAAAAAAACAGTCATTTATTGTAGAAAATAAAACTAATTTCAATATGAATCATTTAAAAAAATGAAATATCCCTAGTCCAGAAGCCATCAACCATATTCAGAGAATGACGAAAAAGTCGAACACGACACGAATTGTTTCCATTTTCTCATTGACAACTTATATATCATTTCTATACGTCGGACAAGAACAAAGAAGACGACAGGTCATTTACAGCGGCAATGTCCACTATTGGCGTTCATAATCAAAGCAAAACAAGAACACACTTGTTTTCAGGAGAAAAGGGGATTACACATGATAAGACACCTTCATTGGTTTGAAATTGAGCATCGGTTGCATTGTTAAAGAACAGGAATATGTCATATACTTCATTTTTTACACGTTGTTAAAACCTATACAGTTGACTTTGTATTTGTGTCTGTCTTCATACAAACATATCCGCTTCTGATTGAATAGAATTAAACTGACCAGGATTGATGATCATTGATCAATTGTCTGAAAAAGAAATTAAATGTAGCTTCGATATTCGAGTCGTTGAACTTAGTTCCATCATCATTTTTTATTTTTTCGCAGAAAGCTGATTATCTTCATCATCTGGTCCCCGTTTGAATGGTTATTTTCATTCTGCAATACAGCAAGTACTTTTTCTATTGATCTGTGCTTTCTCAACCAAAAAAAACCAAAGTACTACAAAGTAGTAATCGGTACAAAAAGACTAACTTCAGCTTTCTTTTGTTTCTATCCTGATAATTTAGACAAGAGTGTAAAGTACTTTCCGTCAATTTCATGGTAAGATGTCGACAAGTGTAAACATCGAGAGCTCAAAACGTGAAATTTAACAGCAGTTGATTCATGCCAATTGTGAAAGTTAAAGTTAAAGAAGAGCTCATGGAAACCTTGAGTAATCCAAGAGAAGCTCGGCTCGGTCAGCTACAAATGCCATCATGAAAAACAAATTCAATTCATCGAATACCATGATTAATTGTCTTTATGACTTGACATGAAGTTAAACTTATCTATCGAAAGTACGTGCAGTAGTATACTATAAGATTTGCTTTGATTTTCTCATGAACGTACATTCTATTTCCAAACGTTGCACATTGCGGCACCAGTTGCGCTCCTGGAGTCGATCTCGGTATCTTCTCTGACTACGATGTCATATACCTTGAAGTTGAATTCATGATTTCCTTCACGGAATCTCACCCTCGATGAAACCTTGAAGACAACAATAGAAAGTTTCGGATATGTTCTTTTTATTTAGTTTGATAGAATCAACTAAAAGCTTTTTTCGTTATTTTTAAAATAAAAAACATCTTTTCGTTTTCGATGAAAACGATCAGTTTTCTCGACGCTCTACAAAAAATGAACTTGTTTACATGTAGAAAATTTGATCAATCAACTTACTGTTTTCTTCAAGTTTCTTGGTTATGCACCGCAAATATTCAACTTCGGTACGAAATGTAGTCACCCTCGCGTCTCTCCAGGTTATTTCCAACTTATGCTGGACGCAATCCCCATTGTCAATGGTTGATACCATTTGTTATTCGAGCACCCGGATGATCTCCTCTTCTTCTTTACGGTCGAAGATCCAGTTTGTTCATTCCGGCGACTGGATCCGTTGAAATCTTAGTCGGATACGGTACAGCTTAGACAACGAATAATAGATTATAATCCACCTTCTAAACTTACCTGCTCATTATAATCATTTAGTTTTGAATCTGATTGTGCCATCACGATGATAAATTTACGAGATCTGAAAAAGGAAAATTCAGTTCATACAAAGACAAAGGGTGAGAAATTGTCTTATCTTTCTCATAAACAACTTGTCCATGAAGTACAACTTGTATCAATTCAAAATTACCCATTCAGATTTGACCAAATCTGATACAATTTTATGAGTCTCTTGTATCAGGGGATGTAATGAAACCTCCAGCTACCGACTATATCGTAAGCTGAATCCACTAATCGAACGAATGGTCTGATGTAAGATCAAGACTCACGTCGTGAAACCTACCTGAGGTGACTGGAATTGACGAGAGATGAAGAGAATGGATGTGGATCAGATGATAAGGGTGTTTTATTGGATGAAATCAAATAAAACACTAAAGAAAACGAAAACAAAAGGCTGATCTAAAAGAGAAAAAAACAACAGCATATATACAGATCGAAGATGATCTGAGAAAAAGAAGAAACATAATCACAGAGATCATCATGAGAACGGACATGATAATCAAACGAAAACCAAAACGACAGGAACGAAAGAGAAAAAGAAATACATATATATGTATATGTATAAGAAATGGAAGAAAACAACTATGTAGAAGGTAACGTCATGAAGTAATATCCAATGACGCTAACAAATTCAACAAGATTTTCGTTTCCTTCATTATGACCACTGAACAATATAGTCGAAAGATGTCACCATGAGTAAAATTTAAACAGTTCCATTGTATCAGTGTGAAGCTAGCACAAACAGACGATATGTTAGCTAAAAACTTTTTTATTAAGCATGTTCTGTCCATGCAAGCTACACCATTCGACTCAAAATTTAATTCTGCATCGAATGGTAACACTTTTATTCGCTGGACAAACTTTGGAAAATTTTCTATCTATATCGTTGTTCGTTTCCTTTAGGTCTATTTATAATTCAGATAGAATTTTTCCAAAGTTTGCCCGGTGAATGAAAGTACCATCATTCAATGCAGAATTAAATTCTGAGTCGAATGGTGTAGCTTGCATGGATGGAACATATTTAGTAAAACGTTTTTAACTAACATATCGTTTGTTCGTGCTTAGCTTCACATCGATAGGCAAAACTATTTCCATTTTGAGGATCTATTTTTGTGATTATAGGATATGTTATCTTAATTGATCTTTCAATTGTTGAAAATTATGCGGAACGGAAATATATCTTATTTTAATTATTTATTGAAAAAAATAAAGAAAATGGATGAAATGTTTATTGTACACAAAAACATCTGATCCAAAATAGTTTCGAGCATAATCAGAATTGACTGATCATGGCAAGAAACAGAACTGTGTGCTTGCTTACAGGAAATGGTTGTAGTAGAAAAGAAATGAATAAAGACGCGTCGAAAATGGGCCACACAAAATCCTGTTCATCAACAAATTTTAACTATTTTTCTGGAATATTAACATTTTGATCAGATGGAACTGGATCCAATTCATCTCAGCAGAAACGACGAAATCGAATATAAATTTTCTATTTTATCGTGTGTGAACTTCTCGAAATCATTGAATAATTCACATAGAGAATTGTTCGATCGCGAATTGACCTGTGATCGTACTTTTATCGTACTCGCTTATCGGTCAGAGGAAACAAAGAGTTTGACCGTGCGAAAAGTGCGTTTTAGAACATGTCTGGGTACGCAGTACTGTACTATATAAGCTTGGAGAAAGAAAGAAGAAATCGAAATATTCGAATCGAATAGACAACGTTATTCAGTCAAAACTTTTTGTTGGGGAATTCATCCATCGTCGTATCATTCCAATGGAATACTTGAAACAATTACCATTTTCATCATTGACTGGTGCTCTTCAATATCAAACACGAACAAAACCAAACAAAACTGCTGTATTGTATCCTGATCCAAAGAGCAATTGGAAAGAATATTCAACTCTTACGTACAAACAATATGATAATGTCACCAATCATTTAGCAGGAATTATTTCCAAATATTTACCATCTTTATCATCATCGAATGAGACGATCACCTGTGGTCTATTAGCAGCTGATAATATCAAATATTTATTATCTGAATATGCTTTATTGAAATTACCCAATGTGATTATGTTTCCAATTTCGTCTCGAAATTCTCAGGCAGCAGTTGAACACTTATTAAAAGAAACAAAAACCATTCTTCTATTGACAACATCTCAATATTCATCAATGATGGAAATGGTTCGACAGAAAGAAGAATTTCAACATTTGAAAGTTCTTCTTTTGGACAACGACGAATTTGATTTAGAACAGATCATGGCAAAGAAAGATATCGAATGTAAAATGACGTTCAAAAGTGTTTCAATAGGTGAGAAAAATGACGAAGAATTGAATAAAAAAGTTGTAATTATCCACAGGTAAGATTTTCACATTTGTATAATGGATTCAATTTGAGATTTATTTTAGTTCTGGAAGTACAGCGTATCCAAAACCAGTTTATTTAACAAATCGTTATTTCCTAATCAGTTCAACTGTATATCAATCTATCAACACCGATTTTTGGCGAGAAGATGATATTGTATTAGCATGGGGTGCATTGTAAGTTTACTAAGTCATATATTGAGTGATAAATATTTTCATAATAATAGATTTCACGCTTTGGCGTTCATTGCAACAACACGTGCAATTATCAGTGGATGTACATTCGCATTACCACTTTGCGTTGGTTTTCCACCGAAACCCAACGAATTGCTCCACAATTTACAAGTGAAAAACGGTATTACGGTTTTGATAACCGTGCCCAGTTTACTTGAACAACTTGTACAGGAAATACTTTCGGGAAAAAATCATTCGGTTAATTTTAAACCATTGGCGAATTTGAGGGCTGTCGCTTACGGTGGCGCAAGCTGTCCAGATGAATTATGTCAAATATTAGTCGACAATGGAGTCGTTCTTTTAAATGTTTATGGTTCTACAGGTGAACAACACATCCATCATAGAGAAAAGGACGAGATTGTAAAATAACTTTTCTCTTTTCTAGAAACTGGTCTTCTTCTCAGCAAAAATTTCAATCCTTATGATAAAAGATGGAAATATGTTGAAATTGCTGATTCTCGAAAACCTTATGTTCGAATCGAAACAGCGCCGAATACAGAAAATCCCAATGAAAAGATCTTAATTCATCAACCAGATGATCCATACTTAGCTGAAAATGTTTGTAATTATGCCGATGGTTGTTACACTGCTGGTGACATATTTCTCGAAGATCCACCCAATTCGGGACAATATCTCATCTTAGGACGTCAAGATGATACTTTAGTTCATGTTAATGGCGAAAAGACAAACGCACTTGCAATGGAAGACTCCATTCGATCTTCACCGCTGATAAAACAAGTTGCTATTGTTGGTCACAATCAATTTTGTGCAGCCGCATTGATTCAATTGGATATTGAAGAAGCGTTCAATTATGAATTCGACGAAATTGAAGAAAAAGTGTGGAAAGTCGTTGAACAAGCGAATAGCAAAGCACCTTCTCATTCACATATTCTTCGACAACTTGTTAAAATCATTCCAATGAATAAATCTTTACCTGCAACACATAAAGGCAATATAATGAGACAAAAAGTGAATCAAGAATATTCAACGTTGATTAAGAAGATCTACGAGAAGTTTTTCAATCAACAAAGTGAAACGACTCGACATCAATCCGTTTGGACAAAAGAAACAATCAAAAAATATTTAGAAGATAAATTAAGTTCATTCGTCCATGAAGACGATCGAACCAAAATCAAGAATTCATCACGATCAATCTTTGATTTCGGTATCAATTCTTTGCAAGTTATTCAATTGAGAAATTCGATTTGTCAAGATATTCATGAAATATCGAAGAATTTTATTTATGAATATTCTTCAATTGATCAAATGATTGAAGAATTAATGAAACATTTCAAATCAGAGAATGTCAACGATCAGTGTGATGATCCTTATCATTATCAATTAACTGAGCAGATCATCGATAAATATATTCATTTAATGAAAACAACAGAAGTTCCTCATCCTTTAAAAGAAAATCAAGGAAAAGAACGTGTTTTTCTTATTACAGGTGCCAATGGTTCTTTGGGAAATTTTGTAATTCGAGATCTACTGAGACAATCAGAATCGATTGTTAAACGTGTGTTTTGTCTCTTACGTGGTTCAAATACACAACAACGTCTTTTCGAATCATTCGAACAACGACAATTAGATGTTTCAATTCTCAAAGATTCGTTAGAACAACGATTAATCATTTTACCTTCATCGATGAATTTAAGTGACGAACACTTAGGTCAAACCGAGGATATTTATCAACAATTACAAAATGAAGTCACAGATATTATTCATGTTGCATGGAAAATGAATTTCAATCAAACAATTAAAGATTTCGAACAAGATTCAATTTTTGGAGTTTATAATCTTTTACGATTAGCATCTTCCAATCAAATGCAATTCCATTTTATTTCAAGTATTGCATCGGCTGGCTCAGGTCTTTTGTCAACTATTAAAGAAGAACCATTACCAAGAATGGCACAAGTTGCATTACCACAAGGATACGGACAAAGTAAATATGCAGCTGAACATTTATGTTGGGCAGCAATGAATCTATGGCGTAAGTTTTTCGTGTAAAGCCATCTATTCGCATATTCATGATTGATTTGTTTCAGATATACCAGTGAATATTTATCGTGTTGGTCAAATAAGTGGCGATACACAAAATGGTGTTTGGAACACAGGTGAAATGACTTCGATGATGATTTATGCAGGTGCTGGACTATTGAAGAAAATGCCAAATGTTGGAGAAGATGTTAATTGGATACCTGTTGATATTTGTAGTGCTTCATTAGTTGATCTAGCGTTAAAATCTTCTTTTCAAACAACAATATCTGACAATGAACGTGTTTATCATCTACTCAATCCTTTTCTGATTACATATGATGAGTATTTAACTTCACTTCGGGCGGCAGGTTTAACGTTCGACACAGTTCCTCCGAAATCGTTCATTAATGCAATTTCAGCATTGGCAAATACAACGAATCCATTGGTCAAATTATTGCCTTTTTTTGAACAATCGTTCAGTGAGAAGGGTATTTTGAAATTGTCCAAATATGAAACGACTAAAACAACTGGAAAATGTGAAATTTTGAGAAATTGTTCACCGATTGATTCAAATTTGATTGAATTATATTTGAATTACTGGAAGAAATGTCAAGTGCTACAATATTAAACCAAAAAAACTTTATAAATAACTACTTCAAATGCTCTTTCGCTTTATAGAAATCTGCTTGTGCTATGTATTTCTTAATCAATCTTGTACTTAAATTAGAATTTAGCTTACAAAATAAAATGCTATTCCTGTACAATCAATTTTTAATCGACTTTAATGAGAATACATCCTATTCCATGATGTTCCACTTGTCTGGATTATCTGGAAAAGGTAATTTAATACTCTTAAACCTATTCATGGAAAGTTAGGATGTATAGATAAATGAAGTTCAACGCTATCTTTATGGTACCTATTTAGTATTTAACAGCAAATGTTCCTGGAAAAGAAAGTGACTTTATTCTATATAGAATTTTCCGTTATCGACAGGACTGGAATCAGCTAACAACAAGTGTTTCTGATGATTTTCAATGGAAAAAAACGAATGGATAAAGATATTAATAGAAGTGCAACAAATCCAAATGGTTTAAAAGAATAATCAGTAAAGAAAATTGTCTTTTAATAGAAACTTTTCTGTCGCAAAGATTAACAGTATGATGTCGTCAGATAGTCTTTCCTGAGTTTGTCATCATTGTAAGAATTTATTATATTTATCTTTGTAAACAAACGACGCAGCTCGACAACGAATATTATTAATGTAAAAACATCAGGCTGAAATCTCTTTACTTCAATATTAATAATCCATCCAATCCTCTTTACATTCCATTCAATGCATATTAAACAAATCTCTTCCACTGTCGGAGCCTTATTGATCATATTATCTGAAATTCAATGTTATTATCAAGCCAAAAACTTCATTCAATAGATCAACTCATATTCATTTAAATATTCAAGTTGTTCATTCGTTCGTTTCTCTTCCACCTGTTTCAATGCTAAAATATAAAAAAATTGAATTGCACATTCATTTTTACGAAATCTATCGACTCTGGTTGATTAGGAGATTCAGTTAACTTTTCTATTCGAAAATAAATTCTTTCATAGCATTAACATTGTTTTTCCGTTGAACGTTTTTTTAACTACTTTCAATTATTAATCGAATGATATGACCATTATGGATTATCAAAATTATTTATTGAAGAAAATAAAAATAATTTCTGTCAGAAATTTTCGATTAAATAAAAAAAAACGGATGAAATGATTTATCAGTCAGATGGAATTCTAAAGTGGAAGAGACGAATTTTCATGTTAGGCAACGAAATATGATCCAAGATGATTTCGAGCATAACCACGATTAGTTAACATTGTGTGATTACTCTCTACAAGAAGAAAGAATTAACATTAGTTTGTTTTGTGAAAAGGAGATATTTACGTATGGCTTGTTTTGGTTCTGATATATGTTCTTTTCGTCCATTTTCGGCAATACGTAGTGGATGATTTAATTCATTTTGAACGGGAGCTTTGTAAACAACTCGATTTTTTAAAATACGACTAAAAACAATGATGATGAAAATTTATCGTATTGAAAAGAATTTTACCCATGATCATCGGAAACAGTTTCTAATTGAACACGAGTTCGAGCTTTTCCTGCAAATGTTTCTCCATGGTGATCGTATTGAGTTTTAAGAAGAAAATCTAATGAATCTAACGGAGCTTTTGGATCGTGTGTATAGATTTCATGTCGACCAGATGAAAGTGTAGCTGTTGAATATAATCGACTCCACGGTTCATCGCGTTGAGCAATGTGACTTTCACCTGCTTGAAATGGAATCTTTTGTTTTGCTACGCGACCCGTAAACGTTTCTTCATTTTCAAGACGTGGATATGATAATGGATCACGATGGTTAACGGCTCGATGAATTGTGTGTGTCATGTTGTTTCTTTCAAATGGCTTGACTTTCTTTTGGTAGATGTTTGTTTTTTAATATGTTATGTTATGCGTCTCATTTCCATCTCAAAGCTTAGTGATGTTGCTTAACAACCATCAATTGAGTTCATTGTCTTCTTTTAAGAGAATAGATAAATCATTTTATCCCAATTATTTCTGAAGTAATGAGTCAATAGGACTTTTAATAAACTCGACAAGTTCACTTCTCAATAGATGGCGCCAAAAGTCAATTGTTTTGTTTTTTTCGTTGAAGAATACTGATTTGTGTGCGGAATTGGAATTGATTTCATATAATTTCCATATCCCTTTTGAATAGTATGTCTACTTAGTTCAAGCATAACATCTATTTAAGAATAATCTTTGAATTGCAATGGAAAGTGAAGGACGTTCTTCATATTCGATTATGATCTTGTGTTTTTTTTCTATGTATCGAATACGTACGATTGGGACGAAGAATGACATATGACGAAAAGAATTTCTATCTGATTTGAATATTTATTATTGAACGTGTAATGACTTTTTCGTTCGCTTCGTTTATTAAATTATTTTCTAGAAATGCTTTTTCTCGTCATACAATTGAACAACATTATTTTCTCAAATCGCTTCACGTCTATTGTGGTTTTAGTTGTCATTGTTAACTTAATAAACTATATTTTGCTTAGTTTTGACAATTTTTTTTGGAAATACGAATCAACAATGCAATGTGTTAAATAACATCAGGAGCGAATCCTTGTGTATCGAGGTCGTGATGGAAATAATACTGTCAAAGTCATCTGATGGCATATATAAATATTAGATGAAATTGCTTCAGGTTGACAATTAAAATGAACTTTTTCGTTTATCTCTGCGAAGTCATTTCCAAGTATCTTCTTTTCCTCGATTTTTTATTAATTAATAAAATAAGAAAAGACTTGTTGTTCGAAGAGACAAATCTGTTTCTGTTAAATGATTTCGTTTTATATTCTGTTTTGTTCTAATAATTCGATTATGAATTGCTCCAATAAGTCTAAATAAGACGGGAATAGAAAATTGTTCAACGAAGAAGAAAAACAAGGAGAACTAAACGATTGGTTACGATATTATTCTATTGAAAAGTATTTGTACTCTGAGAGATTAATTAGAAAGAAAAGATTCCTTTTTTATTCTCAATGTTCGTGACTTGATTTGAAGAAGATTTTCCTTTTCTATTCCAATAATTCTTTATCTTCTTGTTTGAAATATCAGAAAGAAAATATATTCATGATCATTTTGTTTTTCTGTTCAAGTTGAGAAAAAGAAAAAGAGAAATTCTTTTTATTCTCTAAAGATAAAATAAAAGAGAGAAATGATGATCAGTAATGTAATGCTTTCTTCGATGAAAATGTGATGATGCTTCTCGTTCATTTGATAAAAGAAAGAAAGAACTCGCCTTTTCTTCCGTTTTTCTTTCTTTTCGTCATATTGTATTTCATTGAATGTTGACATGGCTTTTCTTCTCATTATTATTATCATCAATAAAATTCATTTGAAAACTTTTTCATGGAAAGTTTTCTTCAATTATTAATCCATCGTTATTTATAAAAAATAATTTTGAGAAGTGTTTAGTTTCCTTCTGAAAACTGTAATTTTATTTCATCGGAGTGATTATTGAACACACGAAAATAGATTTCTAATTGATAATCCGAAGATTTCTTTGCTTTAGCGAGTTTGACGATAGGAGAAAAAGAAAACATTAGTTAGTGATGGGAAAAAAAAGGGATGAGATGCAAATTGAAGTCATGTAAAAAGAGAAATGTTAGTGACATGGTATTAATAATGATGTTTAGTTGATGTATTCTAATGAAAAGGTAGAAAAAGAATTTGACTTCCTGTTTATTTGCATTGTTGTTGAGTATTCATTTGCTCCATTGTGCCCAATTATCTTTGATAAGAGAAATAGTAGGACATCCTTTACTTTTAGTCTCGTTTTCCAATCGGTATGTTTTGTTTCTTATTTAATTGGAACACAACATCTAATGATCACTTTTACTGTTTCTTTCTTTTTCCGTAGATTTTTTTCTCTTTAGTTTCCTTTGAGCTTTACAAGAATCTGTAAGAAGAGAGAAAAACAGAAGAAAAAGGAATCCGAAGACGAACGAGTTGTAATGAACACAGAAGAAAAGAATCTTAAGAGAAAAAAAAGATATTGATTGAAAAGAGTAAAATAGAAAGACAATGATCTTTATCAAATTTCTTTCTCTTTTTTTTTTAGATATTTTCATATTTGAAAATAAATCTTCCAATGAATAAAACAATTGAAATATTCAAATTTGATGATGATGTTTATCGTTGGTATGCAGATGCCATTGTTTATCGTGGTTTTGGTCCATTAATAGCGTGTCTTGGTTTCGTTGGTGGAACTTTATCATGCTTAGTTTTTCGACGCAAAGCTTTACGAAAAAAATCCTGTTCAATTTATTTTCTATTTTTGGCTTTAGCCGATCTTCTATGTATGATTTGTTGGTTAATTCATTTTGTTTTACCAACATATAATATTCAAATCTTGACTTTGTCAAATTTTTCATGTAAAATCTTTGTCTTTGCTATGTATTTTGCATTTGATTTGGCTAATTATATTTTAACAGCATGGTAAGTTTCTGTTTTTGCTTCTTATTGAATAGATTTCGTTTGCAAATTGAACGAGACACTGATGGAAAAAATGATTTCTATCAGATCTGACAAAGTCCATCATCTTGTTTTTCTTCACTGAGAAACCATCAAAGAATCGAACAAATTTCTCTTCTTTTGTCTACTTCTTTTATCTTCTTAAATAACAAAAGACATGAGATTCTCTTGTAAATTCAATTCGAATTGAACAAAAACGAACTTTTTCAACTCTAAAGAGATGAAAATTGATTTTTTTCGAAAATAAATTCATTTGATCAATTGAAATTTTTCTCTTTTAGTTCAATTGATCGTGCAGTAAGTGTATTATTTCCCATTGGAAGTCGACAATTCTGTCGTCGACAAATTGCATATACAATCACATTTGTTCTTGTTTTTATTTTAACAATCTTAAACAGTCATTTTCTTTATGGATTTGTCATTATTTCTGCTAATTCAACATTAAATACGAAAATTGAATATTGTTATCATCGTGATGATTCTCTAACATATCAAAAATTATTCGCTGCTTATGATTCTTATGTTGATGTTATCAAAACAAATGTTATTCCATTTATAATTATGAGTATTTGTAATTTAATTATTATTTTTCGTGTTTGTCGTTCAAGTTCATCAGTTTATTTAACAAATGGAAGAAATGTTAATCGAACAACGAAATCAAAGAGAAAATATGAAAAAGATCGACAATTAACATTTATGTTACTTGGTTCAGCAATTGCCTTTCTTGTTTTAACACTTCCAACAGAAATTAATGATATTATTCGATCGCATTCAGGAGAAAAACTTGTCAATGAAAAGAAATATTTATTATCTGCAATTCTTCTTTCATTTGCACATCTCAATTATGCGGTAAAAACATGACAAATTTCTTTCTTTACATCATCAATTTATGATTTTTAGATTCATTTTTATATTTATACTTTAACTGGTGAAGTATTTCGACAACAATTAATTAAATTATGGCCAATAAATATTATTTGGCCTTATATTCTTCGATTACTTCGATGTAAAAAGGTTAATAATTCATCTGTATCAACAAATGAAATGAATTTAAATCGTAAAAGACAAGGTGATACGACTGAAATGGATCAAACATTTTTTCAAACGGCAAATAACAATGATGATGATGATAATAGTCCAATTCTTTAGAGAGAATTTTCTCAAACCAAATACTTTTTTCTCCGAATTGATTCTCGAAAAAAATAGTTGCTTTTCTTTTCTTTCATATAAATATCAAATTCAATTCAACTCGAAAACATAGATCATCACAATTTCATTTTCTTTGCAAAATATTATTGAGAAACATTTCAAATTGAACTTCAGGATTCTTTTCATCTATTCAGACTAATTCAATGATATTATTAAACGTAGAGAAATTTTACGTTGATATAAATAATTTACGAATAAATAGATCTATGTGAAATACGAATCTGATAGAAAAAGAAAAGGTGAATGAGTCTTCAAACGGATGTCACTTGTTTTCCAGTCTAATAAAGATCGGTAATAAATCTCATTTTCGGAGATGAAGAAGAAAAAAAATGTGCCTTTTTTGTTCCTTCTTTTATCTTTGGTTCATTAACGATCTCTCCTTGGGATAGAAATGATCTTTATTTCTAATTGAAGTAGAAAGAGAAAGAATGAATCCCCACGATTGATTTGTATCGTCTTTGTTTATATTTGATATAATGTTGAGCTATGGTATATAACATATAAATGATGAGGTTTCGATTAGAATAACTAGACAGAACAAACAAAATATATTTCTTCTATTATTCTTTTCTTAATGAACGTGTTGATTGATGAAAGTTTACACATTTTTTTTCTCGTTCGTTTTATTCAAAACAAGATTTTCAATTTGATTCAGTTCATTTAATCTGATCTAAAGAGAAGATCAACGTAAGTCTCTGACGCATTTTTTCTTGTTAAAGAAAAAAAATGTAATCTTCTTAAAAATAAGAGTTCGTTTATTTCTCAATTTAATCCTCAGAAATCAATCATTTGGAATAAAGATAAATATTCTCTTCTACTCATTTATTGAAAATATATTCAAAAGAAATTTTTCTTCTTAACAATCAAAGAATCTTTATTTCTCTGTTGGCAACTTTTTCAGACGTCTTTCACTTTCTTTTTTTTTTTGAAATAAAAATCATTTATTTACAACAAAAAGAAAAGAACTTCGTTCAATCGAAATTTGAATTTGTCATTTGAGATGTTCTTTTCTCTTCTGATATAAAAGAAAAGAAAAAGAAATGAATTGATCGAAGTCAAAAGTATTCTTCTTACGATTCGCTTATCGTATTGGACATTTTCTTTTTCATCATCTTTGTTGCCTAAACAACGATATCGAATTGTATCTCTCATGTCTTTTCTTTTTCAAAGATAAAATGGAATTAGAAACTGAAATTCCCATTTGGTACAAAGGAAAAGTCAAATGGATTTCAAATTTAACAACACGTTCAACATGTTTAGATGTTATTCAAGCAATTTTATCATCTTTAGCAATTGATTCTCGTCAATCTAATATAAATGAAGATTTTCTCATTTATGAATGTTGGCGAGGTGTTGAACGACCATTGAAAAATCGTTGTCGATTATTAAAATTATGGAATTCGTGGGCAGGTGAATGTGAAAATGTCATATTAACATTACGATCTCGTCAAGAAGAAACAATTCCAACACATATTTTAATTCGACAACAAGAAAAGAAATTAAATAAATTAAAACGTCAATTAAATAAAACAAATAAACAAATTGAATATTTAAATCACAATGAAAATGAAAATCAAATGTTAATTTATTTAAATCTTTCACGTTCAATTCTTCGTTTAAATAAAGAAATTCAAAATGAAGAAAAATTCATTTCATCTTTATTAATTGACATCGAACATGAAAATTTAACAAATAATTTTAATCATGAACTTTTAAATAATGTTAATCAAACTTTAATTTTTAGTCGACAATTAACTTTACTCTCTGATCAATTAGACCAACAAATCATTCAAATTAATCAAGAAATTGATCAAAAATTACTTTTACTCGATGAATTAGAATTGGATTATGCATTACAAGATAATATCGATTTAGATAGTCTCGATGAACAACAAACATCTCCGATTATTTCAGTTAAATCAATAACAGGTTCGTTTTTCTCTTCAGATTTCTATTCGATTTGTGTTAATTCATCGAGATTTAATTATTAGTTCCAAGTCGACCAACAGCAATTGTTGAACCAAATTTTTCGAGAATTAAATCGAAAGAAAGTTTGGGAACAAATGTTTTATCGAGATTTTCATTGGATAATTTGAGAAAAAGAGATGAAAGTTTATCGAATCAATCTTCGATTCATCTCATTCCAATTTCTATTTCATATTGTAATTCAATGAATAATGATGAATCAGATACAGGAATTAGTTCAACTCATTCAAATGATGAACAATTAATTACACTTGTTTAGTTTTATTACGACTTTTCTTCTTCTTCTTCTTTTCGAAATAAAAGAAGACTATCCATTGTTTGAAGTTCAAAACATATAAAACGAACAGATGGAAAGTATTATATGTGGCGCTCTCTATCGCATATAGATTCTGATTGTTCAATAAATCGTTAATAAACATACGTCCTTCGTGAGAGTGTCATCTTTAGGTTAGTGCAAATGTCATAGACTCTTTATTTTATACTGCCTGCTGATAGGAGAAAAAATAGCCGCAGTCGGAAAATAAGCATACAGGAGATGTCTGCAGTGTTTTTCCTATTATATTATCGATGTTAATTTCAGATGTCTGCTGCGCTACATTTTTTTCTTAATGATTTTGTTCCAGCACATAAAACTGATGATTTCGTTGATCTATCTGATCTAGCGGAGCATTTAAAAAACTTCACACCGATTCCATTGAAATATACAAAACCTGAAGAAGCTATTCAGTATATTTTGAAAATGTTGACTCTTGTTTGAACGTTCACAATTTAGAAATCTGGCGACGGTTATTATCATGAATTTTTGCAATAATTACGGTGAAAGATTGAAAATCTCACTTCCGTGGTTGCAATTATTCAACGTCATAGTTCAGATATTCATGTTCGTGCGCAAATGACGTTAGCAGTACACATAACAAAAATGAATATGCCGTTGTGGCTCACCGTATTACTCTTTATGAAAATCGAAAACTTATTTGCCCAGGTTATTATGGCACGGTTGGTTCCAGCCGGTTAGGTTCGTTTTCCGACCATTTTCTCACCGCCGGATTCCAGCCGGAACTTGCTGGTATCGGCGAAAACTGTGTCAGAATCGAGAAGAGCTGTACCGGAACCGACTCAGATCTCAACGGATCCAGTCGCCGGAATGATCGACCTGGGCTGTCCATACAACTTTGACGAAAAATTTAGAAGAATGGAAATCTGTTGCGTGGAAAACGATCAATCATCCTCAAGTCACCTTACCCGACGCTATATGTTTTTGGAAAACCTTCAATGCCTATCGTACTGCAAAAGAAAGAGAAAGAAATTGGACAAAGGAGTTAGGGATGAGAAAAGGAAACAAATTCCTGAAAAGACTGAAAGAGAAGGCACGACATTCTCTGATGGACTGGAGCGAATTCGACGCAATGCAAGCGTACCAGAGAGACTTCTTCATCTCAGATTGTGTCCGAATAAACGAATTCATATACAAATACTTTATGAGGAAATGAATGATAACGCGTGACTCTACCAGACTTCTCTCTATGCGGGTGTTCTCATACTCATTTTTCTCTTATTGTTGTTTTCCTTCATTACTTGTAACAACACCTCATGTTGTATCTTTCACTTCGCTTTGATTCCTTTTTTCTTCTCTCTCTTTTTCTTGTCTTCTTTGAACATGATATGTGTGAACCTTAAAGGCACAATAAATGTGAATGAAAAAAAAAAATCAATCATCCTCAAGTGAGTGAATTTTGAATAATTCAAATAAGAAAAAGATTGAAACATTTTCTTTAAAGATTATCGAAGTAATTGAAGGTTCGATACGTGAGATCTTTGGTTCGAATACAGAAATCAAGAAAATCGTGCGAACTCCAATGCAGATACATTTTATTTCAATTGATTATCCATCATTACGTGGATTTTCTGGTATAAATGAAATGTTTATCAATGAAAACTATTTTTTAACAAAGATCAATTCATGCAAATCGAATAGTTCTTTATCGAACTCGATGTTAAAAATGGATTTAGCAGCAATAGCGTTACACGAATGTGTTCATGTTCGAATAAGACAAAAAATAATTATTGATTGTATCTGGTATTTTCAAAGCGAAAAAAAAGACATTATCTGTTTAGCAAGTTGATGACATTAATATAAGTACATCCAATGTTCTTCAATTGTATCAAGTGAATAAGCCGAATTAAATCTTTTCCACGAACAAATTGATTGGTTTCAATCAATTGATACAATCAATGCACATTATGTGGAGAAATTTCTCGATGCAATTGAAAATGGAACACATCTACCATCACTTACAAAAAACGATGGAGCTATTCCACGTCAACCATCAACAACTATGGGTGTTGATATAATCAATGATATGTTTATCTGTTAGAGATTTCATTTGAGTACATCAATGAAATATTCATCGATGCACTACGAATCATAATGTGTCTTTTTCTATGTCACGAATTAGCTTTTAAATTAAAAAAAACCTTTTAATTTTATCCACCTTTTTGTATGACGTCAAATGATTTCTGCTCTCTCAAATATTCTTGTTATCATTGAAAGATAAAGTGACACCATCTTCGAAATGAGAGATAAAAATATCATTTTCAAGATGTCTCTATGTCTCTTGAATTCGTTGCCTGTTGAATTAATTCATCATCTCTTGGAGTATTTTCATTCATATGAAATAATTCAATCGTTTTTCAATGTGAATGAGCATCTAAATCGTATCGTGATTAATTATGATCGTTATATCTGGGATTTTCGTGGTATACTCAAATGTCAATTTGATCTTGTGTGTCAATTTTTACAACCAAACCGAGTGATTTATTTGAGATTATGCGATGATGATGAAACACCTGAACAATGTCATATTTTCTTCTCTCGTTTTCATATCGAACAATTTGTCAATCTTCGATCTTTGGAAATCATTTCACATAGGAAAAACATCGAACCATATTTGACTGATCTTTCAAAACTTTCACGTTTATCTTCAATTATTTTATCATTAACGCATCGAATAACTTCGATAGTTAGTATTCAAAGAGTATTTCCTCAACTACATCGATTAATCATAGATTCGCCTGAATTTCTGAATATAAAAATGCCTGAACTACGTTATTTAAAGTTAACAAAATATGAACGAGCACCGTTTTCATATCTGTCCAGTAATCTGATGCCTAATCTTCATTCATTAGATATAACACTTTCATTATCATCAATTCTTTCGACAATGAATTCAGATTTGATTTGGTTTCAAATAAAACGTTTATTTCTTAAAACAACAGGTGAGTCAACGTCCATTTTCACAAATGAATTTTCTCATTATTTAATTAGATTCGGATATTTCATTTTCCATGTCACAATTTTTATGTAAACTGATCAATTTAAAACATCTCGAAATTGATGTTCAAAAGGCAACAAATGTTCCTGATGGTCAACAATGGGAATCACTTGTTTCACATTTGATTCGATTTGATTTTCGATTTACCATTTATAATCAAAAACTAGATAATGATACTTTAGAAAAATATCTCAAATCATTTTGTTCATCATTTTGGTTGGAAGAAAAACGTTGGTTCGTTGGCTATTACAAAAATCTATCTTCAGATTCATTTTTTACACTACCACGTTTTGTTCCAACAAGTATCGACACATCTTCTGTTTATCAACCATTATCTACATCATCAAATTTCTCATTTGATCAATATATTCGTTGTATTACTATTTTACAATCTTTTTCTTATTACGATCGTTTCAACGAATTAACATCGTTAATTTTTGGAGGAAAATTTGATTTTAATAGTAAATCACAATTCTTCCTAAAAGATCTTTTACAACGATTACCTCATGTTCATTCACTTTCTTTGCAAAATTCACAATCAACTTTGTATATTCTAAACAATTCTATATTAAATCAAATTCGAAGTTTAACGATACGTCATACTTCTTGTCGATCTCAATTTCAATTGTCAATTGAACCGAAGAAATGGTGCGATGTTTTTCCAAGAGTTGAGCGTTTATTTGTTTCAATCGATATGACAAGAGATATGTTTATTTTCATTGATGAATTGAAATATTTATCAATTGCAACATTTGAAATAAATGATTGGGGCAAATCTCGAGATTGGTCAAATGAATCAACACGAGAATGGATTAGAAAATCGAGTCAACGTTTAAGAAAAGATCCAAATTTTACACTTTTATATTCAAATGAAGAAATTCATTTCTGGATGAATGAACAACAAGTAAATGATTTTCATTGAAAGAAACAAAAAGAAAGTTTCTTTTGTAGATAATTGAATATCAATCTTCAAGAATTTCATGGTGTTCTCTTCTATGAATCAATGATTTCATTGAACATAGTTCAACGACGACATCTGTAAAATGAATGATATTGTTTCATTGGTAGAGAACAAATGTGACGCTTGTCTTCATTTCGAAAATAAATAAAAATTATTATTTGAATATTGAGGAAGAATTCTGTTTAATCAAATGTCTTCTCAATCTTGTCTTTTAAATTTATTTCCTGTTGAAATAATTCATTTGATATTTGATTATTTATCAACTTGTGATATTTTACATGGATTTGTAAATCAAAGTTTATATTTGGATTCAATTGTTTTCAATTATAATTTTTATCGAATTAATTTTCGTTCGATATTAAAAACCGATTTTGATCTCATATGTGAACAAATTCCAGCAAAAAACATCATTTCATTGGTGTTATCTGATGAAATGGACACACCTGGACAATCGAATTTATTTTTTTCATTAAGAAAACTTGAAGATTTTCATGTTTCTTTACGATCTTTGACACTTTATAATCTTAATCTTCAATCAATTGAATTGATTTTGAATCAATTAGATCAATTCAATAATTTATCATCGTTAACTATCATAAATGATACATCAATATCATTTGAAACATACCAATATCATTTGTTTCGATTTGTTCGATTGAAAATCTCATGTGAATGTTTTTTTCATAATTTAATGAATTTACCTCGACTTAAATATTTAACCATAACAAATCCATGTACATTTCATCAATTAAATTCTATTTTATCATATTCACCAAATTTAAATTCTTTAAATCTCTCTCTCGAACATGAAAATGGAATTCATATCCAACAATCAATTTGTAATTTAACTCAATTAATTGTAAATATGACACGTAAGTTAATTGAAATCATTCGAATCTGATTTATTGAATTTGTATATCTTTGAAAGAATGTCCAATGAATATGACTTATATGAAAGACTTTTTAAATTGGTTTCCAAATTTGAAATTTCTTGAAATTGAATGTCGAAGTGATTTGGATCTATGTGATGGATATGAATGGGAAAAATTTCTTTCGAATCAAATTTCAAATCTGAAAATATTTCATTTTAAATTTCAATTACGATCAACAATAATTATCAATACAAATGGAATTCAAAATATTCTTCGTTCATATTCCAGTTCTTATTGGTTAAATGAAAAACAATGGTTTATTGCTATTGAATGGAATCGACGATTAGTTTATTCAATTCCACGATATTTATGTGAATCAGCTGATTCGGATTTTCGACGTCCATTGAATTGTACAATCAAAGATGAATCGATCTTTTATAATCATATCAATGCACTTGCAATTTGGGGAGAATCAAATGATTATTTTCCCAATGTCAAAGAACTGTGGCTTGTTGATGATCCATTAGTAATTAATTTAGAATCAATGATCAATTTTAATCAAATTGAACGTTTAGTATTCTCATCAAAACTTCATTTATCCATTGACACTTTATTTAATCTTATCAAGAAAATGAAGAATTTGTCTTCAATACAATTTTATCATCTTCCATCGTCATTTAATGAATACAAACAAAATGTTTCTTTTGAACAAATTCGTTCAATTGAATTTTCTCGAGAAATTAAATCGATTTCATTGATACAAATTTTAAACGAGATTTTTCCTCGAATTCAACGTTTAACAATGAAAATAAATTCGTTTGACGAAATAGAAAAGATTTTCCAAACGTTTTCATCGTCATTATCAATTGTCTGTTTTCATTGTGATACGTCAACCATTTCAACAACAAATGAAAATTTATTCCAAAAGATTTTCAATCATTCGAATTTCACTTTCTCAATTCAATCAAATTCCATTCATTTTTGGATTGGCTCGAAAAATATCACCGAAAAAGTTCGTTTCTTCTTCTTCTTTTCGAGAATATCATTTTATCAACTTCTCTTTATAGATATTAAATCAACAAGTAAAAGAGAAGAAAAAAAGAAAACTATTCCAGTGCTTCTCATGGTGTTCATCAAAAAAGTATCAAATTCAACAATAAATATTTTATTTGTTGTCTAAATTAAGATGAATCAAAATGAAAAATTCTTTTTTTATTTAACACACGCGTTTAATCAAGATTCGGATATTTACATTTAATTTCATGCAATTATATTAAAAGTCATGGACTTCAAAATCCCAAATTCGAATTTTGAAGAATTGTGGTTCGAAAGGATCATGATCATTCATAGATATTGTATCGATAGAACTTAGCTTTTAATTTATTTCATATGGATCTTCAATAATAATTTCCTAACAGAAAGAAAACAGTTTGTTTGAAAACACTTTTGATTATCAATGAAGTGGAGTATTAATATTAATGTATTTTTTTTATAATATAAGATTATTAATACTGTTACTTTTTCTGTCAAATCGATTCAATAAGGCACTACAAATGAAGGCCAACATTCTTCAAAAGCTTTTTCACATTTACATTCAATTAATATTTTCAGTTTTCAGTGCTAATATATTTAATCTGTATCTGTGATTTTGTCGTACATAAAGGCTAAATGAAAGAGAAGGGTAATGAAGAAGAACAATCCGTTCGTAATACGGAAATGCTAGGTGTAAGTTGTTGTGTAAGAGGTGGTGTAGGTGAGTTCTGTTTATTACGGTAGTATGAACACGAGAACACACGCACAGATAAAACGTAAGAGAGAAGAGAGAGAACGGTGATAGAGGGCGGAAGGTGAGTGCTAAGAACGACAAGAAACACGCGTATATATATGTGTGTACACTGGATAATCCCAACATATGTTAGGCATATGTGAAGGAAAACTCCAACACATGACGTAATGGAATAGTCCATCCAACACTAGGCTTTCCAAGGCGTCACTGACGTAGAAGTTTATGAACAAAAAAATTTGAATCTGTGGCGATTGGTCATATCGTTGAATTTACAACCGTCAATGTCGTTGCGTATGGAAGTGCATGACGATAAATTGATGATGATATTCGACTATAGTATCTCCGGGAGATAAGTTATTTCGTAATGGTGATAATAACCCTTGAATAGTATAAACCATTTACTGGTATCTGACGTCCTCTTTCGCTTTATATCAAATGTAAAGTTCTAATCGAAAATTAGAATTCTCATAGTGATTCTTTCGTTTTCATCAAAAGTTATGGCAAGCACGACAAATTCAGCGCGTCTTGATGATCATGGCTTTTCTACTGATCAGTCATTAAACACCAATAGTAAATTAGTTAACGATGTTATTGTGATAAAGAATCATGGTAAGCGTGCATTTGTTTCTCAGTTATCCAATTTTTGTTATCTATTCTATCTTTATAGATGGTTTCAAAATCGGAAGGATCAATGACAATCACCCAGGTTATTACGGCACGGTCGGTTCCGGCCGTTTCCTGCAAACTTCGAGCTGGAAACGGTCAGGAACTGATCGGATATCTCCTGTGCAATTCCGGCGACAAGAAACTCGCTGGAATCGGCGAAAACTGTACCAGAATCGAGAAGAGCTGTACCGGAGCCGATTCAGATTTCAACGGGTCCAGTCGCCGCAATGATCGACCTGGGAGTATGTTACTGATTTCATTCCAATACTGTTAGAGCACATTCATTTTCTTCCAGACTTTAACACGTCGATGTCACTTATTGGCGTTGGCTGATATCGAGAAAAAAAAGGAAGTAAGTTCCGACTGAGAAATGGTTTGTTTTTCATGACCACCGCATAGAGCAAATAATCATCAGTGTGAAGCTAGCACGAAGAAACTGTGTGTAAGCTAAAAACTTTTTTCCAGAGTTTGTCCGGTCCATAAAACCTAGACCATTCGATTCAGAATTTAATTCTGCATCGAATGGTGGTATTTTTATTCACCGGACAAACTTTGGAAAAAAATTATCGGAAACATAAATAGACCTATATGAGGCAAACAAAGATGTGGTGAAACTTTTTCCCAAAGTTTGCCCGGTGAATAACAATACCACCATTCGATGCAGAATTAGATTCTGAATGGAATGGACTAGGTTTTATGAACCGGACAGACTCTGCAAAAAAGTTTTTAGCTTACACGCAGTTTCTTCGTGCTAGCTCCTTCGTGCTAGCTTCACACTGATCAAATAATCTTTATCGTTAGTCAGGTCATTCTCTACATGTCCGCCTATTTGATTTTTTTCTTTTCGTATTCTTCAATGAGTATTTAGACGTCTTCGAAAGGTGATCGTATTTATTCATCTATTTTTTTCTAGACTATTCTCAATATGGAATCAATGATCAATCTTCTTATTCAAAAGTTAATCACTATGCCGAGTTCTTCGGAAATTATCAAGATTTTGCTCAATGATCAATCGTTCGAATTCGATGATATTGTCGCAAAAATCTACGCTCATCTTAATCAAATCGAAAGTGAAGAAAATCTTGAAAATTTGGCACAGATCGTAGCACACATTAGCATTGATAAAAATCGTCTTCCCGATATTGGAAAACATTTATCTAACGTTTTGGATCATAGATCGAACAAAGCGAAGTTTACGCGAATTCTCGTTGACGAAATTGGTAAAAATCCAGTTGTTACTATCGCCGTTTTGAAAGAATTTATATTTAGGTCGTTTTATCGAAGAATCGAATCAAACGGACGTGAAACATACATTTATAATAGAATACGCGAAACTTACCAGATATATGATAAAAACATTATCTCAATGTTGATGATAGAATGTGACGGACGATCACAATATTCTCACAATGTATTTTTTGTCTATCGGAATAAAACCGTGGTACTCGAGAAAATAGGATTTGTTGCCTACTTGTACAAATTACCGACGAAATTGTTTGAGATGGAAAACGTCTTTGACTTCCGTAGTTTTTTCATTTTTCGTCATCGACGAAAGCTTCGAAGAATTTCTTTACTTAGACGTTCTTTCATTAGCATACGTCAGATACGCGAGAAATCTATATTTTTCTTAGAGAACAATATTAGTCGATGTTTAGCATTTCGTCCATTCATTATTGATTTCTTTTTTCAATCGAATGATTCATCTTGCGAATCTTTTTCAAAGTAAGAATATTTCCATTGATATATTTAGTTCAATGGAAATTGAAAAATCTTTAGTTTCGATTAGAAACATTTCTATTTTCTCTAACGACATCGACATGATAAACTAATTTCATCAGTTTTTATCGCGTAAGATTTTCTTAGGCTGAGACATTTTCTTCAAATAAATCAATTTTCAATGAGAATTTCTTTTCAGAAATATTTTTCCAACTGATCTTTGTTTTGTTCTTTGAACAACATGAAAGATGACTTCATCCCACAAGACTTTACTCAAATAACATTAGAATATAAAGCTCGTCTGAGTTTTGTGTTACAGACTCATTCGAAATATGTGAAAGAGAATCTTCTATGCTCTTCGTTACTATTTTTGACTACGAAGATTTCTAAATTTAGATGTGATTGATTAAAAGATTTGTTATTCAAAGAAGGAAATTAATGTGTCATTTAGTAGAAAAATTCATTTGATTCCAGTTGAAATTCAAGTCATTTCCACGATATTTATGTGAATCAGCTGATTCAGATTTTCGACGTCCATTGAATTGTACAATCAAAGATGAATCGATCTTTTATAATCATATCAATGCACTTGCAATTTGGGGAGAATCAAATGATTATTTTCCCAATGTCAAAGAACTGTTTAATCAAATTGAACGTTTAGTATTCTCATCAAAACTTCATTTATCCATTGACACTTTATTTAATCTTATCAAGAAAATGAAGAATTTGTCTTCAATACAATTTTATCATGTTCCATCGTCATTTAATGAGTACAAACAAAATGTTTCTTTTGAACAAATTCATTCAATTGAATTTTCTCGAGAAATTAAATCGATTTCATTGATACAAATTTTAAATGAGATTTTTCCTCGAATTCAACGTTTAACAATGAAAATAAATTCGTTTGACGAAATAGAAAAGATTTTCAATCATTCGAATTTCACTTTCTCAATTCAGTCACATTCCGTTCGTTTTTGGATTGGTGCGAAAGATATCACCGAAAAAGTTCGTTTCTTCTTTTCGAGAATATCATTTTTATCAACTTCTCTTAATAGATACTAAATCAACAAGTAAAAGAGAAGAAAAAAAGAAAAGTAATTCAGTGCTTCTCATGGTGTTCATCAAAAGAGTATCAAATTCAACAATAACAAGTTCATTTATTGTTGAAAACAAAGCCTTTTTTTTAAATCTAAGTTAAGATTAATAAATGTAAAAAAATCTAATAAAAATTCTATTTTTATCTCATTCACACGTTTATTCTCAAGATGTAGAATTTTTTATTCAATTTTATTATTTTACGTAGTCATATTGAAAGTTTTCTACTTCAAACACTCATGTAAGAACTTTGTAAATTTGTAACTCACGGATATCACTGTAACAGATACTATTCAATCGTTTTAACGTATATTGATTTCCTAAGCGTCGTCGACATAATAATTAGATTTCTAGCAAAAATGTCCTATAAGAACCATTCATATCATTGAGTCTTTAATCAATAATGAATAGATTATAGACGATATTTGAAGTGATCTGCAGAGAAAAGTTATTCGGTCATAATGATAACACTTGTGAGTGCTTGATAAGCATCATTTGTTGATATTTAACGCCTTCTCCTTTGCGTCGTGTCAATTATAAAACTTAACTCTAATAAAGATCAGTAATTTCCTTTCTTCAGAATTTATTACTTAACTATTTATACACTTGCCTTGCGCATTCTAGAAAACTTACACTTGATGTTGAATGAAAATATTATCCCAGAATGGTCGTTCAGGCGACTAGATCTGTTTGAATATGAATCGATTTCAGCAAGTTCCGATCCGATTCGCCAAACCTTTTTAACTACCAAAATACTACATGTCTTGTCATCACAATTAATCGTTCCATTGAGCGCTGTGGTAACGTTCACATATACCACCCATGAATTTATAAACACATCAAAAAGTCATTATGGTTTAGGATATGTCTTGAGAGTCTCGTGTTTGATACAAACAAACGAAAGACATTTCGACGATGAGGATTTATATACCCATTTCGAGACCATCGTACCTTACCGAACAGTAACGCCATCTATGATTAATAACAATTACTGGTTTATGTCATGGGATATAAAAGAAAATCGAATAGCAAGTAAGATGTGATGTGATCGAGATAATCATTTCAATACTAGAGATCATTATAAATAATATGAGAGTTTTGAAAAGTAGCACATTCATCTTTCATACTGTTTAGATTCAAGTCAAATGGCTGATCCAACAGAACGATATTCGAAACGAAAGAGGAAATACACGACTTCATTTTCAAATGTTTCTCAAGAAGAAGCGGAAGATTCACTTGGATTTCGATTCCAGAAATTCTACAAATCTCAAATACCAATCGATCAATTTATCACGAAAACAGCACCAGAAGAATTGAAGAAAAAAATATATGATCGCTTGATTGATGGAATTGCATCAGAAGGATTTCCAGAGGCAACAATTGCACCGATGAATGAAGCAGTTGTCACTGATTTCGTTGGAGATATTTTGATAGCGATGGTGGCTCATAGCAATCGCACGATACATCATGATGAATTAATATTATCTCGAGAGAAACAAATCATCAGCAAAGACGAAGAATATGGTGGAAATATGGAATTTATAGTAACTCATAATATTGATAACGGGAAGGTTCGTCATGTCATTGTAGTTGAAGCCAAACGTGATGCATTGGGAAAAGGACTAACTCAACTGTTATTAGCATTGAAATCAATGTGGGAAACAAATAACGATCAGAAAACAGTTTTTGGATTTGTAACGACAGCCACCCTATGGCAATTAGTCACATTTGATGGTCAAATATGGAAATTATCAGAATCAATGATAGTTTTATTTGGAAATATGCCTAATGAAGAAGATCGATGGTTGAAAAGCAATACACAACTCTTAGACGTGATTTACACAATTTTGTCATCATTGTGAGGTGTTTTATGGATATTAGATTATTAAAAAAATAGTAAAGAACTTATAGATATTGTCTAATTAAATGTTGTTTGATAGTTGATGTAAGAGAGAATACATGATTCCGTCAGAGATGATGATCTAAAAATATGTTTCGTTACAAAATTATTTGTGTTCGGATGAAATATTTACAAGAGTCAACAAAATATATCAACTGCAAAAACGAAAACGAGAAAGTTTCTCTGCTGAAAACGATTTTTGCAAAACAATTTCAATCGAAAACATCTTTACAATGCGATGAAGATTGATGATTACTATAAGAAACTATCGATACTAACGTTTGTATTTCTCCTGATGAATATTAGTCAGAATTAGCTGTGTTTTTTAAAGCAGTGTTTGTCTTAAACATTGAGATCTGCATGTCAGTGAAATATATGCAAAACGTAGATTTATTATGAGTCAACTGTTCTCTTTCAAAAAGAATCATTTATTGAATAACGATAATTTGTCGATACTCAAAGAAATATTCGATACAAATTTTCAAGGAGAAAATATTTTTCAAATATCATAACAAACAACTGAATAGCATTCGGATAAGAAATAGATTTATGAATGGTTCAATCACAAAGATTATCTACAAAAGCAATTGACAAATTTTGTAGTACAAAACTGAAGAGTCAATGTGAAACTAATGCGGCGAAACACAGGTTTTCTGTCGTGCTACGGTCGAGAAAAAAGAAGGCTAAAATACTTATTTGAATACGTGTCTACTGTACTTTTTTTTGTTTTGAAAACTTTGCTTTTGAAAAAGTAAAATGAATAGACTGTTGATATTCTTCGAAATTTGTTAAAACTTTTTCAAAGGAAATCTTATTCGTTAATGGTTCATTTTCGCGATCACAAATCAAAAAAGAAAAGCATTTTCCATAACAAAATTTCTTTATTAAATGTAAATAAATTCTTGTTTCGGAAACCAAAGTAACTAAATGTACTCAAAAAATCGTTGAGACACTATTTTGCCTTTTATATTAATAACGGAAAATTACAAGTCATTTGAGACAATAATTGATGCTATTTACAGAAATATGGGAAGTTACTGATTCTCATCTAATGGAAATCAATATGTTTTGCTTTGATTCGATTCCAGAGTAATTAGTCACACAATCATCATACATTGAAATTCTCTGTATGACGTTCTTCTATTTACAATGGCTATGAAGACGAAAAGCACATCGACTAATTTGATCTATTTGAATATCCAAGAAATTCTTAAGTATTTCGAATATTAATTTCTCTCATTTTTCGTGCATATTTAATCAAAGAATTTCTTTGTAATATTGATAATTAATTATCTATTGATAGAGATCAAATATAATATTAAATAAATAGATCGAAACTAATGAAAAAATCTTTTCATGGATGAAGATTAAATCGTAGATTATTTTAAGGAAATTATTAAAATATTATGAAGATCTTATCAATGTATATGAAAAACATTTTTCTAGTTAATGAGAGTCTTCCGTAGAGAAGATTTTCTTTGAGAAAAAAAAAGAAGAAAAGCAAAAGTAATGTTTCTAATTCGGAAAGAACTACAAGGGGAAAAAAGATATTCTATAGATAGTTTTCTAATAGCAGGAAGTTCGCAGTTGTGACATATCTATCTATCTAAATATTAATGGAATATCTTCTCTTTGTCTTCTTTTTTCAAGTTCTAATGGAAAACGATCGTAATTAATGATATTTATCGAGAAAAGGTCGAGATTTGCAGTCAATCAAAGACAAAAGTTACATCGACATGAGAGAATGGTTGAATGGAAATTATCGACGAAATCGTTTGAGATGGAAAATGTCTTTGACTTCCGTATTTTTTTCATTTTCCGTCATTGACGAAAGCTTCGAACAATTCTTTACTTAGACGTTCCTTCATTAGCATACGTCAGATACGCGAGAAATCTATATTTTTCTTTCTTTTTCTTCATAGAGAAAACGAGAGAAAAAGAAGAGATTTTTCTTAGAGAACAATATTAGTCGATGTTTAGCATTTCGTCAATTCATTATTGATTTCTTTTTTCAATCGAATGATTCATCTTGCGAATCTTTTTCAAAGTAAGAATATTTCCATTGATATATTTAGTTCAATGGAATTTTAAAAATTTTNCATTCCCATTGCAAAGATTTCTCGTCGTTCAAATGTCAAATCTATTCCACCAAAGCTGACTGTGATATGATTTCGTAATTATTCTACATAAACACAACCAATTCGAGGAATAGATTGCTTTGATAAATACGTTCTAAAAGATATTCTTTCGAATAACAAAATTTCACAAAGACATTCTTTGGAAAGACAGACTAGTAAGATGAAATTTCCAAATAATCACATCTCACTACCCATGTCTTTCATAGAAGATCCTTTTTCTTTTTGCAAATCAATCTAGAAATGTCTACTTACAAGAATTGATTCGTTTTTAAAATCATCACAAGCTTTTTCTAATTGACACAAAGCAGGAATAATGTCATTTTCAATTTCATCTGCTTTGATTTGTTCTAATTCAAACAAACGAATTAATGCTGATTGACTTGCTTTGCGTATTCGATTGTTTCCATGTCCGACTGTTTGGATTATTGATTGAAATAAATATTCTTTTATTAATAAATCAGCATTTTCAACGTTAGATATTAAATATTCAATAATTAACACAAATTTTTCTAATGTATCGATTTGAACTTGTGTCACTTGAAAAGCAAGACGATTTCTTTGAGCTTTATTCAAGAAATTTTCTTCTTACCAATATCGTCCGCTAACTTTTTCGTACATGATAAGATTTGGTATAGACTTTCTACATCATTAACCAGACGAAGTGCGTCTAAGATATATTTAACAGCATTTTTTCTAGAAAGACAAAACAGAAATGTAAGAGAATGGTGGAGAAAAGCCATCTAACCTATCGTTGTAATTTGAATTTGAAGTATGAAGGTGTAGAAGACGTTGAAAGGGTGTTTCACTATTTTCATCGGAATCATCATCGACATTTAAATTAATTGGATCTAAAGAAGAGAAATTTATATTAAAAAGAAAAATGAGAGTAAACAATCTATGTGATTACCATTGTTACTGGTCGAATCAAGAATGTCGACTATGTCTGACATGCGTTTGATTTGTATAAGGACAGAGAAATAAGAAAAATTCAAGGAAATGAACAAATGAAAAAGAACGAGAAAAGAAGAAGTAATCTTCGACGGCCATTCTTTAACCTTGACCTCGTCCTCCCTGATCAATTTCCTAGCCAATAGAATCAATCAACTCTTCTTTCTTTTTTCAGACTCATTCATCTTTCTGGCTTTATTCCAATTTCTTTTTGTAGACGAATTTTTTTAATTCAAAAGGTTCCATTTCATTTTTATTCTTTTATTTAATATCGAATAACGCTCATCGAATTAGATTTATTTTCAAACAATAATAAGAAAATTTCATATATACTGGCGACATCATCCAACAAAATCAACCATTTAAAAAACATACATTTTGTTTCATATCGATAGACGTAAAAATGAATGTATGTATTCAAATACTTTACGGAAACATTCTTACACTCTTATACATGTTTTCCGCCTAGTTATTAATTTCGATTAATGTCTCGTCGACATAATTGGTTACTGAGCATGATTTGGCTAAAGTTTATATAATTTTTGGGCCTTTGAATTGGTTAGCGAGAGTAGAGATCTATCTTGTCGAGATCGAAATTCAATATTCTGATAAGATCTCGTTGAATCACGTGACGTGAGGGAAACTCAGCATGTTTGAACACAGCTGATAAGAAATTCTCTTCACAACACTATAAGCATAGAAACGGCTAGAATTTATTTATTCTCTTTGTCGTATAGAAGAGCCTTAGAAACATAAATTGTTTGTCTGCTTGTATGTCCGCAGGGTAAAAAAACATCGAAAATCCATTTTTCGGAAAAGATATTTTCAGATGTACTTCATTGCGGAGAGTTCGAATCTGATGCTCGCTCTTCGAATTTTTTTCTAAAAATTTACCAAAGGGTTTTTGGGGTCGAGGAACTCGATTGTGATGTTAATTTTTTGAGAATTACAAAAAAAAATTTGAAACAAAGGGTGCACATTTTCGGAAAAGACATGTATAACCATATGATATCGGATATAGTCAAGTGTATTAGTATGGTAAATGAAATATTCTGTCAATCTCTGGTGCTCTAATAGTTAATTATTGATCTTCATAAACGAACTCTGAAGTAACGTAGCTGTTGTTCATATACACAATAATGCATTAAAACTATGGCATCTGATATTAATATTTCTACGGCAAAAAGCTGACGAGGGAACCGCCCGAGGTGATTAACGCGTTTAGGCCTGATATTTTGATGGTAGATAGTCCTCGATGAGGTATGAAAAACCTCAAGAGGATTCGTGCCCATGGACCTTTTATCTAGAGTTATAGATCTTTTACTGAAATTTTTGCATATAGCTAGGTATCTACCAACAGATCGAATATCAGTATTTAGAACTGAAACTTTGGTTACAGACACGTCTATATATAGGAACAATGCCCTCAAAATTTCAGTTCTAAAGAAGCCTTCCTTCCCAAAATATTAAAGCTTGAAACAAGGAAGAACTCTAGCATCTTTCCTAAGATATGGATGATTTTTTGAAGTTTTCGTATTTTGGAAAGGAACCCTTCTTTAAAGCTGAAGTTTTGAGAGCATTGTTCCTATATATAGACGTGTCTGTAACCAAAGTTTCAGTTCTAAATACTGATATTCGATCTGTTGGTAGATACCTAGCTATATGCAAAAATTTCAGTAAAAGATCTATAACTCTAGATAAAAGGTCCATGGGCACGAATCCTCTTGAGGTTTTTTATACCTCGTCGAGGACTATCTACCGCCAAAAGATGAGACCTAAACGCGTTAATCACCTCGGGCGGTTCCCTCGTGAGCTAGTCTAACGACGAGCGTTACTTGTTGTTATCAGTGGAATCAAATCGTGGAAAATAATTCTAGTAAGAGAGAATATGAATTCGCATCAATTAAGCGACAAAATAGATTTTCAGGCAAATTATATGAGCAATATGTATTTCAGCAAAAGAAAACCGATGTTGAAGAACTAGAACAATGTAGTTCCATTCGTTTCATAATTTATTGCAGAAATCACAGAATAAAATCCTATGGAACGATATAACATATACCACGTATTACATAAAATACTATCCTCCACAGCCAAATAATAAATCGGGTATTATTTTTGCTCTTGTTGTAAATGCTCGCATATGTATGTCATGGTTATTGTATTGTAAGAAACTAATCGGCAGTTATCTGTTAACAAAACTACGGGTGTTTTAAAGTAAGATATTACAGCGTTCTTGTAGATTTGATGATTGTCTTTAAAGCCATCTGTTTGGGCATATCGAAAAGCGGCTTAACTTGTCCACTAAGCTAAACGCCTTGTTTCCGAAGAGAATCGATAACGTTTGTTTTTTCGAAGATTTTCCACGTTTTCTTATTTACGAAAACGCGATTGGGTAATTATTGATTCATCAAAATGAATTCACAACAAATTGTTAGAGCATCTCGGTGAGGCAGCTGACATTCTATTGCTGTAAAAGATGCTGACTGTTCTAACTCACTCTTCAACACAAAAAACATATATATATTTTAGGTGTGGCAATTTATATTTTCTGGGTTCAAAAAGAAATGAAAGATCATGTGACTGGTTTTTCAGGTTGACAAACGATCAGTTTTTCTTGTTTCTTTTATCTATCATCGAATAAGATTTGGAAAGAATGAAACGAACATACTGAGAGATGCTGCATGAAGCTCTCAGCAAACTATATCGTGAAACTTTTTACAGTCATATGCTTTTTTACCGAAAAACGTCAAATCGTGCAAATCAATCAGTGAAAACTGACTGGTTAGCATTTAGCGTTCTTGAAAACAAAATTTACATAATCAAAATAAATCTCTAATGTAAGCTGTAGAGTTTTTATCTTCCAATATACTTTTTAGCTAAAAAATTAATTTAAAGGTGTCAATTTCTTTTGAAGAAAGTCGAATCGGCTTGCAAAGGAGTCAAAGGCATAAAAGATTTCCTACTTTTAATTCTTAAAACTTCTATTTCAAATGTCAAAACAGAATTCAATGAGCGTGCGTATTTTAACGCCATCTTTCTGCGCACGCCAACAGTTCGTCACTGTTGACTTGATTACACGTCATTTGTTTTCGTCAAAAACATATATAACTATATCACTACCGTGAGTTACTACTCATAGCGAACAAAATCGAACATTTTTCATCGCTTCCAGCCTCTACGGTACGGTCTACTGCACGATTGAAATAGAACATGCACACATTTTCCACATTACCCATCGAACTTGTTTATCGAATTATGGATCATCAAGATGAGCTGACGCTATTTTATTCAATGCAAAATATTTGTCGACGACTCAATAAAATACGCAGTACATATGAACGCTATCGAGTAAGTTTGCTTGACATTTTACCACTCGTGTCGGTTGTGCTACACATAAGCTTAATGATATTTGACGCCGTAAATTTCCTCATAGGAAGAGGTAAAGTAATCTCATAATTCACAAATAATTTGATCGAATAAGACAGTCATAGTGCGAAGTCATATGAAATCAAGCACTCTTTCACTCTCTCGCCTTTCTGCTATGTATGTTGAACCATTAGATACAAAAGTGCATCAATTATCACTTTTGATGAAACTTCCCAAATGAAACAAACTGAACTCCACAATTTCTGGACCTATGTCTATATTACTTCTCACCCTCACACACACCAAATCCAACTCCCACATATTCCAACAGTAGGATTTCAATTTCATTGGAGGGCGCCCTCAAAAGAGATACCTCGCAACAATCAATAAGTATTAATACTTATATCTTACTCTTTCTACTCGATCAGCTCGCAGTAATCTCATGTCTATATTGCCAACACAGCACCTCTTCTCTGAACGCAGTCTTTCCTGCGCAACAACTACCACGATTATCCACACCAAAAAATTGACAATCTAGATCCAACTGCTCCCTAAAAATCGTCCCCAAACATGACTATTTCATATCACACATATACAATCGGAAGTGTCATCAAAGGTTCTCTTTGCTACTTGTCCTTTTCATAATATATTGCTTTCATGTAGACACTCACCGCACTAAGCCTTTCCGGCCGCAGAGTCAGTGTTGAAGGAGTACGACGCATTGCGGATACGTTGCGAACAAACACGGTAATATTGATCTCAATTCACGAAAGGTGAAGTACTCAGTCTCTCTCACATCTACAGACACTCACCGCTCTAGATCTATACTGTAACAGATTCTTTGCTGAAGGAGCACAACACATTGCGGATGCGTTACGAATCAACACGGTAATATTGATCTTATTTCACGGAAGCTGAAGTACTTAGTATCTCTGACACCTACAGACACTCACCACACTAAATCTCGGCAATAACAGAATCGGTGCTGAAGGAGCACAACACATTGCAGATGCGTTGCGAACGAACGCGGTAATATTGATCTCATTTCATGAAAGGTGAAGTACTCATTCTCTCTCACATCTACAGACACTCACCACTCTAGATCTGGACGGTAACATATTCCATGCTGAAGGAGTACAACACATTGCGAATGCGTTGCGAACGAACACGGTAATATTGATCTTATTTCACGGAAGGTGAAGTACTCAACCTCTCTCACATCTACAGACACTCACCACACTAAACCTCGAATGGAACGGCATGGGTGATGAAGGAGCACGACAAATTGCAGATGCGTTGCGAACGAACACGGTAATATTGATCTCATTTCACGGAAAGTGAAGTACTCAGTCTCTCTCACGCCCACAGACACTCACCACACTAAGTCTCGGCGATAACAGAATCGGTGCTGAAGGAGTACAACTCATTGCGGACGCGTTGCGTAGGAATGCAGTAAGACTGATGCTTTCTTGGAACAAAATTTGAAATATCTGATTTATCCGATTCTTAGAGCGTCAATATGGTGTAGATCGTGCGCTGAATGAAATGGGAGAACAAGTGATAGTGCATCTGGTGACTCTTTTCGTAGAAAGGATGCTTTTCGATCGAGAATTTAGTCAATATTATTTGCTGTGTGATTTTAATGACATTAAGTAGTGAATGAATAGAAAATGAATGCTTTCATGAGAAGCGAATGTGACCTGAATGGGAATGCTTTTTGTTCTGGGAAAATATATGTGGAATAGCGGAAGTAATTGCTTTATTTGCGGACGTGTAACAGAGCAATGTTTGATGGAAGATATGTGATGGTACGATGCGTTTATGGGAGGTTCTCTTGGTTTGGAATTTGTTTCTGAAAGTGTGTGATTGACACGAGAACATTACTGCAGACTGCTGGACTGTATTGGAGATATGGCGGAATTGTATTGACAGGAGTACAGCACGTATGTATTTTACATGGCAGTTCTCATAAAGGCAAAGTGATCAGACCAAGGTACATTGAATGGGAGCGATGTTTTATCATCATCTAGCTGTTTTATGTTTGATTCCAAAGGCTAAATGTATTGAGAGCTTGATAATGAAGTGTTATGTTTGTTTGTAATCTGTTTTTGGAGAGGATAGTATGTATTCGTTATCTATGAATTCCGTGGTGCATTGGAAAGAAACAATGTATTATGAAGTGGCTGAAATGGCACAGTGAAGAGAGAATGGTCAAAAAGTTGCGCACCAAATCGCACTGTTAGACTAATCGTTTCCCACGATTAGCGTAGTCTGAGAAGAATTTATTTTGTCGATTATGATCAGCTCGATTCACTCTCAGTGTTGATCCATAGAAAAATATCAGAGAAGTATTTGTTGCAGCATTTTATCGCGGAAAAAGCGCTGGAATATACTCTCGAAGTCGATTGTATGTTATTCTAATAACAGGGTTTTTCGTTTATGATTTGCTCACATGTCAAATCTTTATACTGCTTGAAACGATAGCAAATTTGAGGCCGTAAAAAAACGGAGGATAACTAGTTTGACAAATTTTCTCAGTCAGACTCGGACTGGTACATACAATAGCTAATGATAGGCAGCTATTGTACCCTTGCTCTAAGATCTATCTTTCGAATGATGACAAAACTGAAACCAGTTAGTTGTGCATCATTCAACATCATAGCCTGTGCGCTGAGATATTATATATTCGTAGCGTACCTCAACATTACACTGTAAGAGAACGTGCATTTCGTTCGATTTGGGCACCTGTCTTTGATTTCTAAGCACGTATCGGCAATTGAAACCTCCACGAAATGATGATCATTGAAGAGAAGTGGATTTCGGCTATCTGAAGTCACTCCAGACTGATTTTGTATCTGTGGTGTTGCTAGGTTTTGAGATGCATCTGAAATGGTGTGTATATATACCGCCTTTTTGCATGGGGTTAACAGTACTTAGTCAAAGTACACTCATATAGATCGAGTGAACTGAAAGTATGCAATTATCAAGATATTTGTGCACATTTAGCCTCCGTTTTTTTTAACAATACGGCATTCTCAACGAATACAACTGTTTAGTAATAGTCTGTACGTGACGCAGCTAAAAAGTAGAATTTGCAACAGCCAGCACTGGTATCCACGAAGTCCGATATAATGCTATCGACAGAATTTGTATATACAGATATATAAAACAGTGAAAGATAAGCGTACCCGTAGTCAAAGAAAGAAGATATGTGCATTTTGTTTTAAGTAAATAAAACCACGCCGTGCAACATAAAAACTTTTTATTGTCATTGTTAAAATGAGCTAAACATGCTTACCCAGATCGAATAATCCCATACTCGGATTCGATCGGTTGCAGCATCGGATTTGTTAACCTGGGTATCTGCTATTTGATATTTATCTATCTACGTTGCTTATGAACCCAATGATATCAATCTCGTCGTTTAAATTTTTTAAATATGTACCTCCTGGAAGAATTGTCGTCGAATATCAAACGAAATGCTGGAAAATCAACATCAATGTGTTTGTTCGCCTATTAAATGATATTTTCGTCTGTATCGCATGGAACATTGAATTTCTGCACTAAGTTAAAATATATTAAAGTTGTATTGAATATTTTATGAAATATTCGATTTTTTTCTGTTTGTCTGTAAGCTAAGTGAAGAAAAGGGTTATTGTGTCTAAACTATTGCCTAAAAATGGTCGTACTGCTCTGAAACAGTGTATGCTCGAAATAATATGTGAACCGAACGTAACACATAAGTTAGCTAATATGAAATTGTTTTCTATCATTTTTTTTTCGTTTTCTGTCATCACCATGCTATGATTTGTCTTCTGATATTGTTCGTCATTTTTCGTTGTTTTGTTGCCAGATGTAAAGACGCCCAGGAGTGCGCCCATCTGAGTGGGAGGGAGTAACAATATTGATACCATCTCTTGCTGTTCTCTATCTTCTCGCTTCGTTACACGTTTATCTGTTCATCTCTCTCTCTTTCTCTTCTCTATATAAGCGTGTGACTTATTGTGAAGTAGACACATTCTGGTCATTGTAGAGTATAGTCAATAAACATCTATACCGTGAGAAGCGGTCAGCTATTCAACCAATTTGTCGTTGCAGCACGATTTCTACGAGAAATAGCTGAGCGGGTCGCTAGACGAGCGTTACTTGCTCTTTATTCATTAAACAGGTTTGAGATAAAAATAATGACTCATACCATTATATACCCGTATGAGCCAACTGTTCTATATTATAACTTCATTTCCTCATCAATGAATGAATAAAAAAGTACAAATCTTTGGAAAGTAAACAGATAATCAACAAGATATACCTTTTACTGCATAATTCCGAAATTAGTAGACGATGATTTGCTTCATTTCATAAAAAGTAAATAATCTCCTTTTTTGATTTTATTAAAAAATACTTCACAGAGAGAAAATATTAGTAAGTACGTTTGTCTACAATCACACATAGCTTTTTTCATGAAAATACCATACTCGATCGTTCATATATACACCCGTTTACCATCTTCAGCACCACAAATTACATAAACGTTGCAGCTAGCACTTGAGTATTTTGCATCGTTGGTAGCACTCTGAAGCTGAATTCAATTATTGGACTATTCAGGTGTTCAACCTTATATCCATATTATCAAAGTTGTGTCGCTGTATAGATTCTTCTAAATAAGTATGAGTAGCATGAAAATCCATACGCGTCCTATGATCAGTGTGAAGTTAACACCATTTAGCTAGTACCATAAAACGAAAAATCTTAGAAACCTTATGTTCAAATGAATTCTCGTCCATGAAACTCAGCTTATTCGACGGAAAACGATCGAGGAAATTTTATCTGGTATCTGGATGCTTTTCTACTATACACTAACATATAGAAAGATTTATGTAAAGTTTTGCTATCCGTTTTCTGGTGCTAACTTCACACTAATTATAAAGTGTTAATCAACATGACAAAGTCTATGGAATAAATATTCTAGACTAGTAAGTGAGATTTATTTATTTGAAGTTCTATATAATATTTAAAACATAAAAAGAACAAAAATTAGCGAAAAAGCATTAAAAGAAAACTGAAAAAAAGTACTGAACGAGAGTGTTTTGCGAGAATCTAAAAAAGACCCTTTTTCGTTGATTTCCTAAAAAGAGAGAAGATAGGAATTGAAAGGAAATAATGAGAATCAACTCACGAATGAGAAGAGTTTTGGTCGTAAAATCCTGATTTGTTAAAATTTTCCTCCCATTGTCGTCGATTTCGTTCGAATTCCTGACGCTTTTGCTCGATTCTTTGTTCTTCTTGTTGAATATTGACTTGAAATGTTTCTTGTGTTTTTAAAAGCTAGGCAAACGAAAATAATTTTTCATCGTATTGAGAAAAAAAATTCGTTACATTTTGTTTATTTTCTTCTAGTCTTTGTAATTTCTCTTCGACTTTCGTTTGATAAACATTTTCCATATCTCTCGACATTTTATCCAATCTTGCTTCGGTTTCCATTCTTTCATCTTCGAGTTGAGATAATAAATTCCTTTTTCAAAAGAAAAAAACGTCAGTTTTTTAACTGGTTCGAGAAAAGCAAACAAACTTATTAATTGATGGTGCCTGTAAAAGTTTTCCATTTTTCGTTTCATTCGCATTGAATGAGCTTAACTTTTTATAACGATAATTTTCATAATGATTATTATGTGTTACATCTCGTAGGTCATTCAGATTTGTTTTGATTATCATACTTCGTAAGGCAATAAAATCACTATGGGCTTCATCTTCAACTAAACGCCAAAAATGAAGACAAAGATGAGAAAAAGGCGATAAATATTTACCATCAACAGTTCCCCAAGCATACTGTCGAACTCTTGAACGTTTAGTTCCACGTTCTAAAACAAAATTGCTTCCAACAATAGCAAAAGGAACTTTGTCTTTATAAGTTTTATTGAGTTTATTTTCATCATTATGATCTGGAAATTCGTAAAGTTTGATTTTCTCATTTGTTATATCTTGCATAATGGATTTTTTGAATAAACGCAACTCATCGGATGTTAATGTATCAGCTTTAGCAATAACAGGAATAATATTGACACGATCATGAAGACGTTTCATAAATTCAATATCCAATGATTGAAGACTAAACAACGAAAAACAAAATCAATTGTTCATATTCACCTTTTATTTTTGTATGAATTTTTTCACCTGTGACCAGATGGTGTGATAAAATAAAGGCAAGCATGAATTCGATTATCAATAATATGTGCTTTGCGTACAACGCGTGATTCTGCATTGAGATATTCTTCGTATTTAGAATCGATATAATCAATAATTGGTTGCCAACTAAAATTGAAAATTTTTGATTAAAAGGTAAAAAGTTTTCTTTAAAGCAAACCAATTTGAATTATCCACTGAATCTCCGAAACCAGGTGTGTCGACAATAGTTAAACGTAACTGAACACCTTTTTCTTTTAAAATAATTGACGACGAATCAATTGTAACCGTTTTCTTTTTTCGATGAACAGTCGATGGAAAATCTTGCCCATAAAGTTCCGTTTGAAATAGAGTATTAATAAATGTCGATTTTCCTAATCCAGATTGGCCAACAACCATTAAATTAAATTCAAAACCTTTTTTCACTGCTCGTCGATGAACTTGATCGGGTAATGAAACAAAACCAACATTTGAACTTATTTCTCTGATGCGTGGTGCTGTTTGTTGTTGATCTTTGTTCAATTCCGATTCTCGACGTGCTGAAAGTAATTTTGATATTGGTGATGATGAACTCAACGATGGTAACGGACGATAATAGTCACTATTGGATGACGATAAACTTTGAAGAAGTGGAGATTGATGAAGATCATCGATTGTTATTCGGTGTGGCGAACTTTTTCGGTTTGTTAACGATGTTAACGTTGAAGTTGAAGTTGAAGTTGAAGAGGGTGGTAAAGGTGGTGGAGGCGGCGGTGGAGGAGGGACTGGTGGTGGACTATCAACTATGGAGTTTTCAGCAGTTTTCGTTCCGTTGGAATTGGATGTTGAACGCAGATATTGATCGGAACGACGCTACAAAGACAATTTTGTTAGTTTCTATTCGAAAAACTTTAACAAATGTTCTACTTTTGATCTCCAATCCAAGTATTTTTCTAGAGTTTCTCGTAAAATAACTGAATCTGAAACAATATTTTTCTCGCGTCCACCAATAAACATTTTTTTTTCAAAAAAAAATATTTTCTTTTGATCTTATCTTTCTTTTTTGTGATAAAACTATTCATGGAATGTCAAATGATTTCTACGTGATTACAACTCTTTTTTTCCTATGTTTTAATCAAACGAGAATCGTTTTGTTAATTGAATAATCGTTCGATTCGGTTGAGAGACAACTGAACAACAGTCTGAACGATCAATCAATGGGGGGAAAAACGATGAACTTTAACTTAAAATCGTTCATAACATTGAAAAGATCATCAATGAATAGATTTTGATGATGCAATTCGTATTTTCTTGATAATGAAAAGATTAGAACAGTGTGAAAAGAGATCATCAATTCTCACTTAAATAAACGAGAAGATTAAAGAAAACGCCTACGAATCGAACAACTTCATCGCAATCGATATGAAATATGAAGCGAAAGACAAAACATATTTTTGATTGAAAACGAAATTCTAACATATGATTTCAATCTGAAATTTCTCGAAAGCAAAACACTTCTCATCTACTTGTGTTTTTATCAAATAAAATATTTTTCTATGTAAATCAATGTCTAATTGACAATGAAAAAATAATAAAGAAGTTAATTTCCATAAAATACCTGTTGTCGTATTGTAGTCATTTTGGTTTGCGGTATACGTAACGCCATGAATGATGTTCAACAAGAAATGTCTCACCTAAAGAAATGTCAAGAAGAAAAGAGACACACTTTTCTTCTTCGTTTTTTCCTCTCCTTCTTCTTCTTCTTCTCTTTACAATTCTTTTTATCAAATAGTAACGATAGTCCGTGATGTAATTTTCGATGTCTATGAAGGNTTAAATTAAATTCAAAACCTTTTTTCACTGCTCGTCGATGAACTTGATCGGGTAATGAAACAAAACCAACATTTGAACTTATTTCTCTGATGCGTGGTGCTGTTTGTTGTTGATCTTTGTTTAATTCTGATTCTCGACGTGCTGAAAGTAATTTTGATATTGGTGACGATGAACTTAACGATGGTAATGGACGATAATAGTCACTATTGGATGACGATAAACTTTGAAGAAGTGGAGATTGATGAAGATCATCGACTGTTATTCGATGTGGCGAACTTTTTCGGTTTGTTAACGATGTTAACGTTGAAGTTGAAGTTGAAGTTGAAGAGGGTGGTAAAGGTGGAGGCGGTGGTGGAGGAGGGACTGGGGGTGGACTATCAACTGTGGAGTTTTCAGCACTTTTCGTTCCATTCGAATTGGATGTTGAACGAAGATATTGATCGGAACGACGCTACAAAGACAATTTTGTTAGTTTCTATTCGAAAAACATGAACAAATGTTCTACTTTTGATCTCCAATCCAAGTATTTGTCTAGAGTTTCTCGTAAAAGAACTGAATCTGAAACAATATTTTTCTCGTGTCCACCAATAAACATCTTTTTTTCAAAAAAAAAATCATTCTCTTTTAATCTTATCTTTCTTTTTTTGTGATGAAACTATTCATGGAATGTCAAATGATTTCTACGTGATTATAACTCTTTTTTTTTCTTTTGTTTTAATCAAACGAGAATCGTTTTGTTAATCGAATAATCGTTCGACTCGGTTGAGAGACAATTGAACAACAGTCTGAACGATCAATCAATGGGAGGAAAAACGATGAACTTTAACTTAAAATCGTTCATAACATTGAAAAGATCATCAATGAATAGATTTTGATGATGTAATTCGTATTTTCTTGATAATGAAAAGATTAGAATAGTGTGAAAAGAGATCATCAATTCTCACTTAAATAAACGAGAAGATTAAAGAAAACGCCTACAAAACGAACAACTTCATCTCAATCGATATGAAATATGAAGCGAAAAACAAAACATATTTTCGATTAAAAACGAAATTCTAACATATGATTTCCATTTGAAATTTCTCAAAAGCAAAACACTTCTCATCTACTTGTGTTTTTATCAAATAAAATATTTTTCTATGTAAATCAATGTCTAATTGATAATGAAAAAAAAAATACAGAAGTTAATTTCCATAAAAAATACCTGTTGTCGTATTGTAGTCATTTTGGTTTGCGGTATACGTAACGCCATGAATGATGTTCAACAAGAAATGTCTCACCTAAAGAAATGTCAAGAAGAAAAGAGACACACTTTTCTTCTTCGTTTTTCCTCTTCTTCTTCTTCTTCTTCTTCTCCTCTTTACAATTCTTTTTATAAAATAGTAACGATAGTCCGTGATGTAATTTTCGATGTCTATGAAGGTTATCACAATCGTCAAGAAGAAAAAAACTAAATCGAATTTGATACACTTTACAAAAATCAATCGATTACAAGAAGGTTAAAAGTAGAGAGAGAGGGAAAAAGAACAAAATCTATTCCGATTTATCAATAAACAACCTATGTGAAGATCATCTCTTTTTACATGTTTTATTGATTTATTCTTCTCGCTTCTATTTGATTTTCATCACACGTTTACAACAAAATATCATCATGCTTCAATAAAATCTCGATCGATTAATACTTTTTCTCTTGACATGATTTGACACAGGAAAAAGAAAGAAAGAAGACATTTTCTTACATTTCTATTATTCATTGTTGTTTGTTGATCAGATAAAATCTGATTGAGCTGTTTCAGAGTTGAGAGCGGATGTGTGAAATCGGATTTGAGTAAATTTGGATATTTATTCATCACTGTGGATTGATAACGAGATGTCGAAGTAGAAAATGATGATGAACTAAGAGGATTTGTTATATTAAAATTAGTTTTTTCATTTGAATCTTGTGAATAAGATTGATCTGAAGTTAAAGTTGATGACATGATCTGAAAAGAAAAGAGAAATTTCATTCGATTTCTTAATTATCTTTTCGAGAAAACCAAATTTATGTAAATCAAATACAACAGTCTGAACTTTGTTCCGTTCGTTCTCTTTTTCTTCTCGTGGTATGTCGATGTCTCTAGTGAACAGTGAATGAGAAGATTACTCGGCATCGCGTCTTCTCATTTCTCCGATTATATAACATTTATTCATATTTTATCATCAATAGAATACTTATTAAATTAGATACAAAACTCTCTCTCTCTTTCTTTTTTTTTATATAAATAGAAAATGTGTCAAGGTCAATACATACCACTTTATATATGTAGAAGATGTTTCGCTCTACTTCGAATGTATGTGAGAGTTTCAAAAACAAATGAAATCTATGATAAATATATCGTTTGAAATGAACTTCTATGTTACTTAGCATTAAATAAGACTAATAGAAATACACGAAACTCAAAATATATTTAATTCTAACGAACAGTTTAATCTTCATTGATAAACGAACTTGTATATGGAATTTTGATTATTTCATATCTACTTACTTGAACTTTTCTTCATTGTGGATTAGAAAAGAAAGACACAATGGTCTTCTGTTTATTTACCTAAAGCATTGTTTGAATAATTGATCTGCAAATGAATACAGTTAGTCAGTATTTCTTTCGAAAGAATAAAGAAGTTTATTTGATGAGTAAGAGCACCTCAAGATAGAAAAAGAAAGTCAAACGAGATTCACTCATTTGTACTAGTGAATAACGATATAGTTTATGCCTTTCTCTTCTCTTTTTGTATATATTTGATAGACATATAAACGCTTCTGTGCAAAAGAGAAAAAGCAACAGCACAGGTCAAATAACAGCTGGATTTATAATTGATAACAAAATCTATTCAATGATAATCACTTTTTTTCATTGAATGAAAAATGATATCAAATTATATCGTAAAAGATAAACAAGAGAATAAAAGACATGTGAACAAAAGAAATGTATTAACAATATTATTCAGTTTGAAAATTATCAATGATTTTATTCAATATTCAACAGTCAATTGAAATTTTACCGAAGATATTATTTGAGAAAACAACAAAAACATCTATAGATTGAAAATATAATATACAATCAATGTGAAACCACTTCTATATCGATTTATTTCTTTTTCATCCAAGATATATAACATAAAGAAAATAGTATACCGATATTTTTCGGCCATTGTCCAATAATCACAATAAAAGAAAATAATTCTCGCTGGAGAAGATAAGTATTGATTTGTCATTTCGAATCAATTTCTAACTGAATAATTTATTCATATAAGGATAAAGAATGTTTGATGAATACGAATGATTATAATGAATATATTAAATGGCGTCTCACTTTGTTTTTCTTCAGATTTTCATTTTTATCTTATGATAATAGAATCAACACCACCATCAACAAGTTCAACATGTTTAAAGAAAGAAAAAGATATTGGAAAAGTTCTTCACAAACAAAACTCATTGAGAAATTAATAAGTCGATCAGAAACATTATAATTATTCACTTTCTAATGATAGTTAACGATTGGTTGACTTTGATTCTGACCAAAACTACACAGAAGTATTCTGTAATGCAATTGACGGTTCGAAATATGAGAGTATTGTGAACAAGTATTCTCACATCTTGATTAGAAAAACAACGACAAGAAGAAATCCGTTTTTAAAATTCAATTTTATATGAAAAGTGGAGAAAAAAAAAGTTTTTTTTGAAAAGGAAACCTTGAATAATAATAATAAAAGATGAAGAAAACGTGTACAGTTCATGGATGATGAACTGGTGATAAGTGGAAGATGAGAACATAATTTGTCTGGAAAAAAAACGAAAAGAACATGAAAAATGGTTATTTATGTTTGAATATAATATTATTAAAGTTCTTTCTTCTTTTCATTATCATTTGAAATGACATCTTTTGCCACATCGGTTGGATTTTCATTTGAAGTTAGTTTTTTCTCTTCTGTCTTTCGGATTTTCTTTGTTTCTGATTTAGGTTTTGCTTTTCTCTCTTCATAAAGATCTTCAATGTCATCTTTATATTTTTGTTCAATGGCTTTTCGTTTCAATTTTAATGCATCAGTAACCAGACCCGTTTCTGGTGTCCAAGGTTCAGTAACAATTTTTATCTTTTGTGGAGTTTCAAATCTTTCAATGCCACCTTTGCTACAAGCTTGTTGAACTTCTTTCAAAACTAATTCAATAAATTCATCATCATTAACCAATTTATGCCAATCTTTTTCTCCGAAATGTTTCTCAGTGAAATTCTGAAATGAAATCAAACGAGTAGAAAAGAAGATTTGACTTTGTAAAACTGACCGACATAGTTTTCGTATTTGGACAAATCAAAGCCACTGTATATTCAGATGAGGCAGATGCGCATAAACAACAATTTTCAATGATTGGAATTTTACTCATTGCCATTTCAACTTTAGTTAATGAAACATATTCTCCACCACGTAATTTAACAAGATCTTTCTTTCGATCTAAACCAATGGAAAGTGAATATCACAAACAAAAACGAAAAATTCATTTTCTTACCGATAATCTTTAAAGTTCCATCAGGAAAAAATTCTCCAATATCACCAGTACAAAAATATTTTGTTCCTTCGATTTCTTTGAAATTTTCATTTTCTTTTTTTCCAGCTTCACCAAAATATCCATCAGCAACAACTTTTCCTCCAATAAGAATTTCTCCACGTGGATTTGGTTTGTCTGTATTCTTGTATTGACCTTCAATCCAATCGACTAAACGAATTTCACACGAAACAAGTGGATATCCCGCACGACCAACTGTAACATCATATTCTACAAAACAAACAAAACTAATCAAAATCGTTTCTCAACTATTCAAAACCTACGATCAGCAATTGTTCCTGCTGCACATGTTTCTGTTAATCCATAACCTTGAAAAAGTGTCACACAAAGTGCTGCTTGCACAAAACGTTGTGTATCTTCACCCAAAACAGCTCCACCTGATAACATAGTTTTGACTCGACCACCAAGAACTAATTGATTAAAACGTGAAAAGACCAACCTAAAATTTCAAAGATGCATTTCGACTTTGTTTAGACAAAGAAATCGTTACTTGTCAAGATGTGGACTTTCCAGGCCGAGTTCTAAGCGTTTAACTTTGATTTTATATGATAAATGAAATAATTGTCGTGTAACGAAATTAGATTGACTAATCTTTTCATTGACTGCCTTATGAATACGATCGAGAATGGTCTTTAAAACAAAATGAACGACAAATTTTCAATTGAAAAATGAAGCGAAATAACATACAGGGACACAAGTCATGAGATGTGGACGAAGAATTTGTAAATCTCCTTTTTGACCACGTTTGATCGCAGTTGATTGATCAGTTAATGTTTGTGGTGATGAATAACCCATTTTAATCCCCATGAAAAATACGAGAATTTCTACAAATATTCATTTCATTGAAACTACCAATAAATTTCCTTCACAAACCACAACAAAGTTCAAGAATGTGTGCCAATGGGAGATAAGCAATATAAACGTCATTATCAACGTTCACCATTGGAAAAACACGTTCCTTTTGACCAGTCATTGCTGCAATGATATTTTCGTGTTTAATCAAAACACCTAAAAGAAGAAAATTGATGAATTGCGTTGACAATTTGCAAAGAATTAAGTAGTATTTTATCCATTCCAAATTGAATCTACAAATTCTTATGCAGAAATATCTCAACAGTTGAGAAAGTCAATGTTTGAAACTTTTGTAATTAGATTGAAAATTGTTCTTCATTTTACCTTTTGGTGTTCCAGTACTTCCACTTGTGTACATTATAACTGCTATATCTTTCTTTCCCGGTCGTTTCTTTAATGTTGTCTCATCTAAATATGATCGAACTGAAGAAATTCTGCTCATGGAATCGAATTCTTTATACCGATTTGTGCATTTTCTCCTTGTTCTTCTAATTGTTTCAATGAAATGAAGTTAATTGTTTTCTTATTCTGTGGAACTTTCACTGAAGCTGGCTTGGCCATTGCAGGAAAATAAACCACATGTTGAACGTTTTCCATTTGATCCAATGCTTTCTAAAAGATCAAAGATTGCTCAATTAATCAAACTTCAAGTAGATCTTACATCAAGTTTCAATGCTAATTCTTGTGATGTGATGATAATTTTCACTTGAGATTCATTAATTCCATATTTCACTGCTTCTTCTCCCAATGTTGAATAAAGTGTAACAAGTGTAAAACCATGTCGAAATGCTGCGAATGCGGTTAATAACCATTCAGGACGTGTCTCAGAATAAATTAAAATTCGATCACCTTGTTTAGCACCCAGGGATAATAAACCACGACCGATCGCATCAATATGTTTACACGCTTCACGATATGTCGTAAATTTATATTCACCCAAAACATACTTTGAAAAGAAAAACAAAAGATTTTTTTGAAAAATTACAAATGAAAAGACAAAACCTTTTTGAAAACTTTTCCATTTGGTTGTTTCTCATCTTCAACATCAAGAATTTCTCTCACACCCATTGTTTCTTTATCCGCATGACGTTCAAGACAAAGATCAGGTATTATCGCTAAAGTTTCCACATCTTCTTCAGGTTGTGATCGCAGTTCATCAAGAACTTCAACTGCTCGATAAGGTGATGATGGATTCGAGTCATCAGACAATTTCGCTCGAACTCTTCGCTGTCTGTCTCGTTTTCGATCATCTTTTCCCAATGTTGTTATATAATTCCAAAATGTTGGTAAATGAACAAACAAAAACGCGATTATGTAGATCAACGTTGCTCGAATTAATGCCAAAAGAAATCGACGAAAAACAGTGTTGACTGTCGTACTAAATACACGAGTAAATGCACCTGGAGACATTCTAAAAACAAATCCCGTTTTTTTTTTCGAAGAAACGATCTATTTTTATCTTACGTATTTACTGAATTAAAACCATTTAAAATTAAATCTTAAACAAAGAATAAAATACTTTCCTTTAGAAAACAAGAAAATATCCGAAAGAATATCACATGTAGCTTTCCATTTATTCTAAAAAAGCAATACTGTAACGGATGCTCTTTTTCTGAATCGATTCACATTGTCGATGAACGCTGGAGTAACATTCGATCATTATCTGAAAAAGAAAACAAACTTTTTGTAATTTCATTTGGAATTCGTAATGTCATTCGTTTTAATAAATCGATACAATAATGGTCAATCGATCGTAATAAATACACTGATGTGAATGAAAAGTTTTAAATGGAAACGAATTAAATTTACCAAAAGATTTTTAACCGATTGATTGGAGTCAAACGATTTTTCTCTTCATCATTATCATCATCAACAGATGTTTTTAAAGTGAATTTGAATGGTAAATGGATACATGATTACAAAATATCATCAACAAGACTACGAGAAAAGAATTTGATCCATATCCATACTATTAATCATTTTGATATGTTACTTCTAGTCGTTTCTGTACAAATTTTTCACTAGTCAGCGATCAAATATGGAACTGGACATTCTTTTTTGATCATGATCATGATCAAAGTCAAAATGATTGGATGAAAGCTTTACAGAAAATCAAGCTAAATTTTCTAATGACGGATAAATTTGTATTAAATCGTGCTGATGAATTGTTTAAAAGATATTTACAAAATTAGCGCCCTCTATAACATACTTTAGTTATCAGGTGACCTATGCCAAAAACACACTATAAATAAACTATCGGTATTTTAGCGACTCCTTTTGTTTCTTTATCATTTTGTTATCAGATAAAATTATCAAATAAAAATTATTTATCTGAACTATTTAATTTATGGTGAACAAGACATCTATATCATTGTGTTGTATCATTTGCGACATAGATCAACCAGTGGTTCATATATTTTCTTTTTCTCTGTCTTAACTTAAATAAAATGAATAAACTGAATGTAGATGGTTCAAGCTAAATCAAAAATTTCCACTAGTAAATCTTTTCTTTATTACATATTTTAAATCCTATATGTTAAAAAGTTCGATTAACATCAAAGGTCCATTTTAAATAAATATCCTCATTGATCTATGATCATTTTGCCTTTGGTCTTCAACAAAACATGTCAACTATCAAAGTTTATCCGCGTGGTATTGATGATAAGTCCTTCAAAGTTCCCATACGTTATCAGTTTTATTTGTATTACTTTATGCCATATGTTCTAATTGCTGATTTGAAAGATATCTACGCACGTGCCCNGATTTTCATCTGAAAATATATTTCAAAAATTGAAATCTCATATGCTGTTGATGTTGTACCTTGAATGCTTCTACTTGATATGCACAACAATCGATTAATAATGCCATACAAATTATCAGATAAAATAAGGAGAATAAATGCAGTTGAAATCGGTAAGAAATATACAATTGTATTTTGTCGATCACACTTACTCTTCACATTTCAATCTTTCTTCAAATGAAACAAATGTTCTCTTCTCTGGAGAACATTCGTTAATTCCAGCCATTGATTGAGCAATGTAACTAGTTCTGTGTAAATAGGAAAGTAACAAAATGAATGTGACTGATGACGAAGATGACAGTTTGGATGTGAATGAATGAGTGACGATTTCGATATGTACAGATCGTAGATTCTTATCCCCATCTATCTACACTTGACGTTCAAATTGTTTCATTTCAAAATCGAGGAGAGAACTGTACTAGTCGCATCAGATGATTAAATAAGTCTCTGTGATTCCATTGATTAATCATTTTTTTAACACACATAAGACGAGATTTCGCCCCGAAACAAAACAAATAAATTGTAAGGCCCATCTCTTTTGTTTAACGACTTTTCAATATTCAAATCTAGTCAGTTATAGAAAACATCTTTGATCTCGAAAGAAAAAAGATTTAATTCAACTGTAGATGCTTCAATCGATTGGTGATATGTCAATCAATCTAAAAATGATTCTATTATTTCTTTTATTGGGATGCAGAATTTCAAGATCAAACTCTCATCGTTTTATTTTTATGTGATAAACGAAATGATGATCTTTTTCTCATTCGAGTCGCTTGATGAATATAATCAAGAATTGTCTTTCACACAAGTCATTATATCTGTAGACATCAAGTGATATAGATCTCAATCGTTAAACTATTGAACGAAGTTTATCTAATTGATATTCGTCAACTGGATACACGAATTCTCGCATCATCTGAATCGAAAGAAATGAATTGATTTTTTCATTATGTTGCGAATTTGATGACAAATGATTACTCGTTTCGATGGAAAGAAATTGAGCATTGGTTATGTCTTTCTACACAACCTCGATCAATTGAATTCAATCTTTTGGGTTTCGAAAAGTTAAACAAAAAAAAGTAGACAAAATCAACCCAGGTTATTACGGCACGGTCGGTTCCGGCAAACTTCGAGCTGGAAACGGTCGGGAAGTGATCGACCTGTGAAATCAAGATTATTCAACCACCAATTAAATCAACAAATACCATTCTATTATTCAATCGGTCTTCATCGATTCTTTGCTGACCTGGTTTTATTTGGACTATATAGAAATCCATAAGTTAATCCAGATGAATTAACAAACAAAATTATAGGATTAGAAATGATTCAACAATATGCTCCTTTATTGTTTTGATTATACAAACTGGACCAATTCATTCTCACATATTAAACATTTGTTTTATGAATCATAAATAAAACTCTTGAAGTAGGATATTTCTTTGTTTCTTCAAAGAATTTATTCATTTTTGCCAGAAAAAGGTGAGGTACTCTAAGTGATTTGATCAAATATGATAACTAATGTTTCAACATCCTCGTCAGATTGGATTTGAAGTTCGTCGTGAACTTCCACAACTCGATATGGTGATGAAGGATCAAAATCATCGGTTAGTTTCGATTGAATTCTTTGTTGTTCATTTCAACAAACAAAAAAGCTATTGTGTAGATCGATGCAGCTCGAATCAATCTTCTTCGATTTCTGTAGACTTACTTCTATTCTACGAAGCAATTCAAATCTTGAAAAAGAAGAAAAGGCTTTGTTTGGATTTCTTTTGGAAAACACTTCATCCAAAAGAATAACACATTTTCTTTTCTATATTCAATAACAAAAACAACATCTTATCAAACATGTTCTTCATCCGAATCAACAGACATCGTCGATAAACGCTCAAGTGACATCTGATCAGTTGATTCATTTTCTCTACAACGGAAAAAAACAATTTTATTTGAAATCAAACCAGATAACGAAACAAACTTTGTTATTTGATTATCAGTTGGTAATAACATTCGTTTTAATGAATCGATGCAATAATGATCAATTGATGGTAACAAATACGCGGGTGTTGATAAGAACTATTCAGAAAAACGTTGATTATTTCATTTGTTAGAAAAGAAAAACGAACTTGTTGATTGAGATGATTAATTCTTTGATTTAATTTCGTTAAATCATCGAAAGATTTCGGTTTGTTGTTCGAATTTATCTCTAAATCATTTTGTGATTGACGAATTAAATTAACTAAAAGATTTTTCTCGGTAGTTTCCATTTCTAATTTTCCATCGATTGGAATTAAACTATTTTCTTCTTCATCATCATCAGCAAATGTTTTCAAACCCTGAAAAAAACACAAAATTCAAATCTTTCTCATTATCAAATCCAACACTTTACTTCTTGTGGAATATAAAAAATCAATCTTGAATGTTGCAATGGAACAAACGAAGAAGATTTTTCATTCGGAATATACGCAGCTGATGTTACACGACGAAACAACGAACTTTTCCGCGAATGACATTTTCCATCCGAAAACGAATAGAAATGAACTGAAAAGGAGAAGAGAAATTTATCCAGAAAATCTTCATGGAAAACTTACGAAAACTTTTATCAAAAAGTGCGATAAATGATGATCTGGGATCTTTGGCTAAAGCATGAACATGCCATGAAAATGATTTAATAAATTGTCCATTTAAACAATTCCAAAGATTAACTAAAGTTTTATGACAAACGAGAAGTTGATCGGCTGATGAATGAAGATATTCAACAGGATTCTTTCGATCATAATGAGCAAAACAACGTGAATATTCATAACGAGATTCATCGTTTTTTTCATTATTTGTATCGATCCACACAGTGACCAAATGTTCAAATGAACAACACAAATTTATTTGATCAGATGAAGATAATTTGTAATAACATAAAGCATTACTTGTATAAGAACGATGAGTATGACCAGATAAACAACGCCAATGTGATACGCGTTCTAAAAATGAATAAAGAGAATTTTTATTTGAAAATATTAAATCATTATTTTCTCACTTGTTATTGGATTTTCTTGTATAAAAGTCCAAACTTTGATGAATCCATCATTGCCTGTTGTTGCTAATTCAAGTTTATACGGATGAAATAACATTTGATTTAATGTTTCTTGTCCATGTGGATAGGTAATACTTGTATTCAATTCGAATTGATTGGAATTAGAATTAAATTTCCAAAATCGAAGTTTTCGTTCATTTTGATGATCATCATTCATCGAATTTGTTGAACGTTCTTCAAATGTAACTAACCACGTATCTAAACAAAATCTTTTTCAAGATCTTTTACTAATTCAATTGAATAGAAACCTGTTGGATCAAGAATTAAACGTTTGATATCGGTGAAAAGACATTGATCTGTTATTTCATTGGGTGAAACATAATTTTCTCCAACAATATCCAACTAAACAAGAAAATTTCACGATTTTTATTGAAATTTATTTTGATTTTTACATTATAAAGTAATTTTCCATTTTCCATAGACATAAATTGAAGATAACCAGGTTTTCCGCTATTCATAACAAGTGCTTGTTGTCGTGCAAACACATGAATACCAGCAGGCAAAGATGCTTGTTGTGGAAGAAACATTTGATTAATTCCTCCAATTGTTTGTAATATCGAAAGATTACTTCCAATCAGATGAATTGCTGAAAAACTCAAAATAAAATAGAAAAAACAATGAAGAAAAATCTTATCATACTATTATCTGAATGAGTTGTGACATAAAAAGTTTGATCATTCGATGAATTAACATGAAGAATCGATGCACCAAGACGAGGACAAAATGTCGGTTCACTTTTTCGATAAAGCCATTTGACAAGAACACATTCATGACCAGCAGAAAATAAATATGAACCATCAAATGAAAATGTTAAACAAATCACAGGTAATGAATGCCAATGTAAATACGAAATTGTTGGTTCTTTATTTGATGAATTCAAATAATTATACCAAAGAACAATTCGTCCAGATTGAGTTCCTAATGCTAAACATTCTTCGGTTGGATGAATTCGTGCACATGTCACTTTCTCATGATATGATAAATTTTGTTTTGTTATTGAATAAGTTTTTATTTGTAAATTTAATAAATTTAACAAATAAATTGTGCTTCCTTCACTATTGATAAACAATCCATATTCACCCTCAAGATAAATAATTTCTTTCAAAAATTATCGAAGAAAATCCAAGTTTACTTTTTGATCAAATGAAATATTTGTTGGAAGACATGGAAGTTTATCAAATAAAACAGTTGGTGAACATTTATGACGAATTGATTCGATTCGATTGAGAGAATATACTAAAACAACGGCGATTTCAAAGAGGAAAACGAAATCTTCCTTTTACCATTTTTGGTGTTTTTCCCGAAAACGTATAAACCATGATTGGATATCGAACTTAAATGAATCAATTCTATTTCAAGTTTGATTGTCTAAATAAAGAAATGTTTGATTTGATATGAAAAAAGAAACAAAAATTCATTTTACATGAATCAAAATTCCATCTTCATAATCCCAAATATTGATAAGACCATTTTGTTCTCCAATACATAACTAAAAGAAAACATTTTGGAAATTTCAAAGATAAATATTTTTCTTTGAATCAAATAACTTGTAAACGATTGTTTGGATTAATAGCCATACCAATAATTGCTTGTTGATCAACTGAATTTTGGTTAATTAGTCTTAAACATTCGCCTGTTTTCACAATCCACACATAAACACAACCATCACCAATTGTAAACACATATCTAAAGATTTCAAATCGTTTTCTTTCTTTTAAATCTATTCGAATTACTTGGAATCTGATGAGATCAATGGGGGATATTTCAATAAAGTTCCTATACCAAATGAACGAATGTTTAATTTCTTCATTTTCCAATTAATCTGAAATAATTAATCATCAGTCTATATTACTTTTTGAAAATGACTTTTTCTTCATTATCATGTCGAAATGAAAATCAGAAACTTCAATTTCAAAAAAGGGATCCTTTTCTCTTTTCAAACAATAAGAATTGAAATTTACTTGTAACTGCAAGTCCAATAATCTTTCTTCAACGAAATACGTACAAATAAGAAGTCGAGTCTAGCGACATCTATATTTTTATTTTTTAATAAAAACAACGAGGATATTTTGAAAACAAAAATTTTCAACTAAAAATTCACATTAAATTATTGACTAATATTAAATCTTAATGAATCATAATCGACCAATTAAAGAAAGATCATGAATTCGTGTTATGTCCGAGATATTGCTTCGTGCAATCAATATCAAACGTTCTTCTCATCACATAGTTTCAATCACTTTGTTGTAAATTTCTATGACAAAGTCAAACTGAGCTGAACAAATGGTTATTTAATTCAATGAATGTGATTATCATTGTTGGAGAAATAGATAAAATTTTATAGAATATATTTCATCAAAACTGGATTCAGATTCAGAGTATGAAACTTTTCGTGTTCAAGTGTTTGTTCAGGAAATGGTTTTAATAGAGTTCTATGAGTGATGAACAATTTCTTGAAAAAAGATTTTCTCCAAGCAATTTCGTTACATCCTACTCCGATGTCATCATTAAATGAAGAAAAATCTTTTATGTAAAATAAACTTTTCGTTTGACAAAGATCATTGGAGAAGAAGATTTATTTGTATTTAGAATTCTTTATCAATGTAATTATTTGTTTGTTATCATAAGAAAATATTCCAATCGTTTCTACTCATCGAAAACCTTTCTTTTATTATCATAATTAATCTAAATGTCGTGTAAATAATTGCTGATTAATCAAGAACTATTTGCGCACAGTTAGATTTTGATTGAATGAAAACAATTCAAAATCGAGTGACAAAAAAACATCTTCATCTTACTTTCTTTTCATTTAATAGATATGATTAACTGAGTTCGATCGTCTAAACAATTGATTTTTGTTATTTTCATTGTTATGCAAGACAAATCCAACAGTTTTCTTTAGTCAAAATCAATGACATAGATGAACAAAATTCATTATTTACTCTCAACATCTCTATTCTTTTCAATAATTTCTATCATCGCTCTCCGTTTATCTTCATAATTCAAACAAGAAAAATCATCAAAGAAGAAGAAACTTTGACATTTTCTGTGCAGAATTGTTTTGTAATCATAAATGCACTTAACTTTCAAATATTGTCCTAGTAGCTAATATATCGGATAAAATGAGAAAAATATGAATAAATAATTAATACGGTGCGACCTTAAGGAGCATCGTATTATTGAGTTTCTTCGCGTCTTTTTATACTCTTTCTTTCTAGACAAGCATCCAAAGTCCATTTTTAGTGACGCGGTGATCAAAGGATCGGAGCGTCGTTGGACTGTAGGATAAACGCTGTCGAGCAGTTAGCTAGGTGAAGATGAGATATTTTTTCTCAGAATTTCATAAACTATTGTCGTTTGCCCAAAATAAAACACAGACTCTGCGGTAAAACTGTGGCGAACATCTCTCAAGCAGTAGAGATAATTACTAGATGGGCTGTCAGGNCCAAAAGGATAGTTTGTTTGTATTTTATGATTAGTTGATAAAACGATGATTTAATGCAGCGACATCATTATACAAGGTTTTACGCGAATCTTTTATTTAATTTTCTCCTATAAAAAGCTCTTTGTATTAGCCGAAAAATATTTTCGACGATCTCAGGAACTATCGACTTGTACACTAACTGGAAAATAAATGTTCAATAGCATACACTTCCTCCTATGTTCCCCAAGACTCGTCGCACCGTATTCTGCATTTAGGCGAAGCATGAATGCCGTCTAGTTAATTATAGAAATGTAATAAAGAAAGTAAAAGTTTTGTTAGTTGAGATCTTACTGAATTTTGTTTCTTTTCAATCTGAAATTCACTTTGTTGATTAGATTTTCTCGCATGATAACGTATAGTTCGACTGTTGTTTTCCTTTGACTGAAGTTGAATTTGAAAAGTAAGAAAAGAACCAACGTAAACAATAAATATTGATGTCTTTATTAACACAAAGATGATTACGTGTTGAACAATATTTCAAAGAATTCATAAGCAAATAGAAGCTTTTCATTTGAGAAAGTGTCGAACAGGTAGAAATCAAGGATATACGTAATTAATATAATGAGAGTGAACAAATGAAAACTTTTGTTTTTCTATGTTAGAAAACAAAGGTCGGTTAAGACGTTGATACTTACCTGTTTGATATTCATTTCAAGTTGAATTTCTCTGTAAAAACGATCTAATTACAATTCAATGGAACTCATCGTGTCAAGAAAATTTTTCCTTAAATTCTCAATTTTATTTGTATATAAATTATTCCAGATGTATTCATTGTCTTTTTGGAATATCTTTTTATTGTTATCGATTATCACACATTCATCAGGTCTGTACTTTACAAACAACGTTTTTTTATTTTGTAAATCTTTATTCAGCTCTTTCGTATAATCAACCGAAATTTTGTCCAAATGCAACGTGGAATACAACTGCAATAACTTTTGCAAGTTCAGGAACAGTTGGTGTTAGTCCTTATGGTCTTCATATCGATGGCAATAATACCATCTACGTTGCTAATCGACAAAAAAATATGATCAATGTATGGAATGAAGGAAGTAACATACCTACCAGCAATATTTCAGGAACATTGAACTCTCCAGCAAGTGTCTTTGCTTTGGATTTGAATAATATTTATATTGATAATGGATTAACAAACTATCGAATTGATAAATGGTCAACGAGCTCATTGACTATGAACCCTCAAATGTATGTCTGTGCATCGTGTTATGGAATATTTATTGATATTAATAATAATCTTTATTGTTCGTTATATCTTAAACACAAAGTTATTTCAAGATCATTAATAACACGTTTAAGTATATGGAATACTGTTGCGGGAACAGGAACAGCTGGAACGACAGCATTGACTCTCTATTATCCTCGTGGTATTTTCGTTGATAGATATCTTAATCTGTATGTGGCCGATAGTATTAACAATCGAATTCAAAAATTTCTATATAATCAAGTAACGGGAATAACAGTCGCAGGTGCTACAGCATCAGGAACTATTACACTTTTATATCCTTCGGATGTTATTCTTGATGGAAATGATTATCTCTTTATTGTTGATAGTGGTTACAATCGGATCGTTGGATCGGGATTATATGGATTCTATTGTATAGCTGGATGTACAAAAGTTGCTGGTGTAACAGCGGTTCTTTTATATAACCCGTTATCTCTTCGTTTTGATAGTTATGGAAATATTTATGTTACCGATCAAATTAATGATAGAATACAAAAATTTGTTCTAATAACACAATTATGCAGTAAGAAATATTTCTCTTATTTTCATCTAGCTCCTTTAAAATTTCTTTAGATAGTACCAATCCAACAACTACTACTGCAACAGGTATTGAGTAGACTTCTTACTTATCATAAATATCTTTCGATTCTTTCAGTTACCGCGTCTACAAGTATCGTTGGCTCAACTACTGTATCATTGTCGCTCAATGGTACGTTGAAATAAAATGTATCGTTACATATCCTACATTGTTTTTCATTTCTTTTCTTTCAGCCATATCATATAATTTGCCAAGATTTAGGACTAATGATATATGGAATGGTAATGGAATAACATTTGCAGATAGTTCAATTGTTGGTACTACACCAAATGGGATCTTTATCAGCAATAACAACAATGTTTATGTCACTAATCGTGCCAATAGTCGAGTATGTGTTTGGGCGGGATTGTCTGGTGCACCTACAATATTTACGAATGGATTATATTTACCTTACAGTATTTTTGTTACGATTAATGATGATATTTATGTTGATAATGGATATACAAACAATCGTGTCGATAAATGGACAGCAAATGGGACAGTTTATGGTACCGTCATGACTGTCACAGATGCGTGTTATGGTCTTTTCATTGATATTATGAATAATCTCTATTGTTCTATGAATAATGATGATCAAGTCATTATGAAATCATTAAATAGCAATTCAAGTATGTGGATAGTCGTTGCAGGAACAGATTGTACTACAACAGCTTCGTCGAATACTCTTCAAAATCCTCGTGGAATATTTGTTGATACGAATCTTAATTTATATGTAGCTGACTGTGGAAACGATCGAATACAACAATTTTTATCGCAACAATTGAGTGGAATAACAGTGGCGGGAAGTGCAACAACAATAACACTTGATTGTCCTAGTGGAATTGTTCTTGATGGTGATGGATATCTTTTCATCGTAGATACTAATAATCATCGAATTGTGGCATCCAGACCTGGAAATATCTTTCAATGTATAGTCGGATGTTCGAGTATTGCTGGTTCAACTTCCAGTCAATTATATTCTCCATCGACAATGAGTTTTGATAGTTATGGAAACATTTATGTTGTCGATAGTAGTAATAATCGAATACAAAAGTTTAGTTTAACTTCGAATACTACCTATCGTAAGTAATTATATGAAAAACTTTAGTTGCATCTTTTTATAGTTAAATAATAAGTTTTCATATGTTTCAGCTTATTCGTTCAATCAACCGACTCTGTGTCCAACTGTAACATGGTCTACAAATGGAACGACTTTTGCCAATCAATCAATGATTGGAACAAGTCCTTTTGGTATATTTATTAGCATAAATAATACGGTGTATGCGGGTGATCGAACAAATGCTCGTATTCAAATTTGGTATGAAGGAAGTCTTCTACCAAATAGAAATATTTCTTTTGATATGAGTAATACTATGTTTGCTGTTGCAACAGCTTCCGGTGATGTGTATGTTGACAATGGTTATGTTAATTTTCGAGTCGATTATTGGCCAGTAGGTAAAACAACGAGTACACCAATTCTAACAACAAATGGTCGTTGTTTTACGATGTTTATTGATACTTCAAATGCACTTTATTGTTCATTATGGTTATGGCATCGTGTAACGAAGAAATGGTTAAGTGATAACGGAACAACACCGATTCTTATCGCTGGCACAGGTGCTGCAGGATCAACTGCATATCAACTTTATTATCCTTTGGGTATTTTTGTTGATATTAGTTTTAATTTATACGTTTGTGATTGTAACAATGATCGAATCCAACAATTTCAATTAGGTCAAACAAATGCTGTGACAGTAGTCGGAAATGGAGCACCGGGTACGATCACATTAAGTTGTCCACAGGCAGTTGCTCTCGACACAAATGGATACATTTTACTCACTGATCAAAGTAATCGTCTTATAATGTCAGGATCATATGGTTTTCGATGTTTATTGGGATGTTCACAAACTGCTGGAAGTTCATCTAGTCAATTTAATTTACCAGGCACATTTAGTTTCGATAGTTATGGAAATTTATATGTTGTCGATCAAAATAATAATCGAATACAAAAGTTTTTATTAACATCGAATACATGCAGTGAGTAATAAAACTGGTTTTTTTTCTTTTGTCATATAGTTTCGAACTTGTCTTGATGATCTTGTTTTTAGATGCAACAGTAAAACAGAAAAGTTTTTTATCTGCTCAATTATGTTATTCAAATGGTTCGACTTTACTTGCACGTGATACCATTGGTTCAACACCTTATGCCGTTTTTATCGATAGTTTTAACACTCTCTATGTGGCTAGTCTGACCAATAACAATGTTTTGATTTTGACTGAGGAAAGTACAACACCTATTATCAGTTTATCAGGCACTTTTAGTCGACCATATAGTATTTTTGTTTCAATAACTGGTGATATTTATGTCGATAATGGTTATGCAAATAGTCGAGTGGATAAAATTATCAATAGTAGTCTATCAAATGTGGTTTCAGTTATGAATATTCCTGGCAGTTGTTATGGTTTGTTTCTCGATATTAACAGTTACCTTTACTGTTCTCTACGAGATTTTCATCGTGTTATTAAAATATTGGCTGATGGTACTATGAATACGACGATTGTTGTAGCAGGAAATGGTTCAGCTGGTGCATCAGCATATATGTTAAATTCACCACAAGGAATTTATGTTGATAACAGTTTGAACTTGTATGTTGCAGATTGTAAAAATAATCGAATTCAGAAATTCTTACCTGGAATACTCAATGGAACAACTCTGGCTGACAATTCAACAATACCAGCAGTAACACTTAATTGTCCAACAGGAATTGTTATGGATACTAATGGTTATGTATTTATTGTTGATAGTAATAATCATCGAATTCTTGGATTATACATTTATGAAGTTCGATGTATAATTGGATGTTCTGGCTCGAGTGGTTCTTCATCAAGTACATTATCATTTCCACAAAGTATCGCATTTGACAGTTACGGAAATATTTATGTTGCCGATCGAAATAATAGTCGAATTCAAAAATTTGGTTATGTCCTAAGCGATTGTCGTAAGTAACTCTTTCTTATGGCCACGCTTTTTAAGGAACTTCTATTTTCAACAATCCTTGACTATTTGGATGAATCACAGTCAAATTCTATCTTTCGAATAAAAGAAATCTTTTAAGAAGTCCGAGATATTTGTCCTCTGAAGTTGCATAGTTCTCTTGGATAAAGACAAGAAATAATTGAGCTTTTTGTGTTTTAGCAACAACAACTGTTATTTCAACCACATCGTCTTCTACAGTATCTACAACCTCCACAAGTTCTTCGTCCACATCGAGTTCCACATCCTCAACAACCTCATCAAGCTCCACATCGTCCACAAGTTCGTCATCATCTACATCGTCTACAGCCTCCACTTCTTCCACAACTGATACAAGTTCTTCGTCATCATCGAGTTCCACAACATCCACAACCTCTTCGTCTTCGTCAACATCTTCATCAAGCTCCACATCATCCACCACCTCTACGACGTCCACAACCTCTTCGTCTTCGTCAACATCTTCATCAAGCACCACATCATCCACAAGTTCGACATCATCTACGTTGTCTACAACCTCCACTTCTTCCACAACTGATACAAGTTCTTCGTCATCATCGAGTTCCACAACATCCACAACTTCTACGACGTCCACAACCTCTTCGTCTTCGTCAACATTTTCATCAAGCTCCACATCATCCACAAGTTTGACAACATTCATAACTTCTACATCCTCCATAATCTCGTTGCCTTCATCAAATTCCACATCATCCACTTCTTCGACCACTTCCACAACGGATTCGACGTTAACGTCGTCTACCACATCTGTAACGAGCACAAGTTCAACATTATCGACGTCAGTATCACTCTCAACTAGCTCGACTTCATCTACAACCAGCACAACCATGAGCACATTAGAAACAACACAAACACCAGCCATAAATGGAAGTAATAAATTGCAAACCTTTTTCGAAATAAATGAATAACGACATTCATTATTTAGGTTGTTATCCTCCGTCTATCACTCTTATTCCTGGCCAATCATCGTTATCATCTCCATTAGTATACCGTCGAAGTCAAGACTTCTCCATATCTTCCGTACTGAAACTTGCATGTGCAAGTTCCCTTTCAACTACGATACAATGGTCAATAAAAAATTGTACTGTAATTACTTGTGTAACTCCGATAACTTTGAGTACGAAAATTTCCACAACATTAAGTGAAATTTATATTCCATCACGAACTTTGGCACTTGGTGTTTATCAATTCACAATAAATGTTAAAATGACAAAATCACCTCAATATCGATCTTCATCAGTTGCATATATTCGAGTAACTCCATCGGGTATTACAGCAAATCTTGTTGAGTTAGGAACGTCAATGATAACACGAGGTGATAAACAAGATCTTTTCTTCGATCCAGGAACATATTCTGTCGATCCCGATGAAGATTCATTCGACGCATCAGTAAGTATTCAGTCATTCTTCTCAATGACACTTTACAAATCTTTTTCTATTTCATACAGAAATGGAAATATGTTTATTATTGTCGAATTTATCCTCGTTATCAATTTCCTAATCTTCAAGGTATCTTTTTACCAATCGAAGATCTTCGAGTTGATCCTGTCAATCCATCATGTTTATCAGGTAATGGAACACAATTAATCTTTGGAAATTCAAGTTCATCTCCAAAATCATCTTTGACAATTCGTGCTGGTTCACTTCAATCAAATGAAATTTATCAATTTATGGTTTACATGGAAAATCGAAAAAATTCATCTGTTCAAGCGACTGGTTATGTTCTTGTTACAGTCGAAGTGACTCGTCCACAACTGATCATCATCGGGTAAATCAAACCCTTGAAGAAATTCTTAATCAGACCATTTTTCTTTTACTACTTAGTTGTGTAATCTCAACAATGTGTATTCCTAATCTGGAATTTCAATTACTCAATCCAACGACTCAAGTTGCTTTGACCAGTTTTTGTACTGGAATGTGTGGCGATCTTCAAAATATCACATGGAATGTCTATGAAGGATCAACTAATTCATCAGCAAATTCGACAGTTATATGGAAATTATTTCCTTCATCAATCTCTTACGAAAACATTTGGTTTTTCGGGACATATATAAACAATTTTACTGCTGATAATCGATTGTTTATTAATAATCCTCACGTCCAATATTGGCGATTCGAAGCTGTGTATTCATTTCTAAATGCAACAAGTTCAAGTGCATTGAATTTTGTCATGAATCAATCTCCTGTCAATGGTTCTTGTGTGATTTATCCACAGAATGGAACAACAAGTACTTGGTTTAATGTATCATGTCCAAATTGGGCTGATGAAGATGAAGTAAAAGATTATTCTCTATATGGTAATATTTGATAAGAATGAAAAATTCATTGAAAATGTTTTTCTTTTAGCTTGGACAACGGATATTTCACAAAAAGTCATCGTTGTTTATTCACCGGAATCGATATTTCAAGCTCGACTTCCACCAGGTGATAATCAAACTTCATTATTGAACATTGTTATTCATATTAGAGATACACTTGATTGTGTTACAATAGTCAACATGACTCAAATTTCGGTTTTCATAAATCAAAATGAAATCAATGATTTGCAAAATTTAGCAAATCTCTCGAATAATAATCCAATTGTTCAATTATTGTGGAGTGGAAATCAAAATATTGTTGATCAAATTGTCAATTCAGTTTCACAAACACTGAATCAAATGAATACTGAAAGTATCGATAACGCCATTTCAAGTAAAATACTCTCAATAAGACATTCTTTTCCAATGAAACGAATTTCCTCCTTTAGATGGTCTTGTCGCAACAGAAATCTCTGTTTCATCATTAGAAAGTACTTCAACTCCAAAAGTAAGAATATTTTTATCTAAAAGGATCTACGTGTGTTTACATAGACCATCTCAACATCATCAAATAATTCGTTTTCGAGTGGATATGAAAAAGATTTGAATAATCAAGCGAATGTTCGAGATTATCTCGTTAATTTCTACGCAAATCTTCTTATCACAACATCCAATAGTATCATTTTACAAGCATCGTCTTTAGCTCAATTAACTCAAGCAACTAATCAATTAACACGAAATACTTTACAAACTGCATCAGATCGATGTTATCAATTGACCATTGCTTTATATTCATTGAAGACAAAAATCGCTTTTGAAGATATGCAAACAGCCGCAACTCAATTAATTCAATGTGCATCGAATGTGTTAACTGTAAGATTGACGAAAAGTGATGATAATTCGTGTGATGATATGTTGTAGGGAATTAATGGAGTTCTGCAACAACGAATGTTGATACTCGATTCAGATTATTCTCGAGCAAATTCTTTATCAGATGATTATAATACAGATGTCGAATCTGAATGGTCAAATTTGAATTTATTTGCTGATGGAAATGATTTTTCTACTGAAACGATTGAAAAGAATCGAAATATTTATTATCAAAAACAATTAGCAAATGAAATCGTCACACAAACGAATGAAATCATATCTTTATTAACATCTTCATTGAATATTCATATAAATCTCGGGCAAAGTTTAACAATAAATACTTCAAGTACTTTCATGTCATTACAAACCATATCAAGCGATTCATTATCAAATAAAACTATCATTCAACCCGGTAATGGTCAATTTCAAATTCCATCAAATATCACAGCAAACAATTCTTCAATTTTTCTTCGAGTAACACGGATTTTCTTTTGTATTAAACAAAAAACTCTTTTCTTTTATTTGTGTTTAGTCAATGATGACTCCACTTTCATCACTTGGTTCAAGTCAATCTCAATCCAATACAAATCTTTCTCGATCAATTTCATTATCACTTTTTGATAAAAATGGAATTGAAATTTCCGTTGAAACCAATATGATCGATCCCATTCGAATGATCGTACCACGTGATCCAACTATTGTTCTTCCAACGATGTATTTTCAAAATGTAACATCAATCAATTCAACTGATTATCATTATATCTTTCATTTCCATTATATAAACATTACAAATTCTCTTCCAATTTCAGTTCATTTCGAAATTCATCCATTGAATTCAACACTTTCATATTTGTTTATCTATAGATTCGATCAGACGCCATTATTGAACAGTTCGATTAACCTTATCGATGGATGGACAATCTTTTGTCCTTCGCGTAAGTTTGAAATTTCATTGGACAATCAAGTTTTCTTTCGTTTTCATCTTAGATTTAACGAATGAAAGTCTTTATACATATTTTATTGATAACCAACAAACATCAAGTCATCAATCGTTAATCTTCGGTTTTCGAGAATTGAATTCAACAGAAAATATTGAATATTGTTCGAATAATTCTATTGGAAATATTCTTCCAATTACAAACGAATTGTTTCATTTTACATCAAATTATGAACTTCGTATTTACACATCGGGTTGTTATTATCTCGATTCAACTAACAATTGGAAATCCGATGGATTACGCGTGAGTTTCCTCCTCTAATATTTCTTGTTTACGTATTTATCAAATTTCTTCAGGTTGGATCATTGACAAATCATTATGAGACGGAATGTTTTTCAACACATTTAACAACATTCGCAGGTGGTTTTATTGTTTTACCCGCACCAATTAATTGGAATTATGTTTTTGCAAATGCAGATTTTCTGAAAAACAAAACTGTTTACATCACTGTCATATCTGTGACAACAATTTACATCGTCTTACTGATCCTGGCACGTTTTCAAGATCTTTCTAATTTGAAAAAGGTAGGAGTTACACCCTTGTTGGATAATCATGTATCCGATCGATATTATTATCAAATCATTGTGTTGACTGGTCATCGTCAAAATGCGGCAACGAAATCGAAAGTAAAGTCAAATTTGAGATTGAAAATCGAGAAAATCTTCTCATTTAGGTTTATTTCGTTTTATCGGGTGATGATGATCAGACACATGTTCGAACATTTGTTGATCCTCATCGAGAAATCTTTCAACGTGGTGGAATCGATGCATTTATCATGTCAGTTCCCAAATCATTAGGACCCTTAAATTTCATTCGTATTTGGCATGACAATTCTGGTCCAGGTTCATCGGCATCGTGGTTTTTGAAATATATCATCGTTCGAGATTTACAAACGATGGAGAAATTTCATTTTATTTCTCAAAAATGGTTTGCTGTGGAAAAAGAAGATGGACGTATCGAACGTCTCTTACCCGTCGCCAATGATTCGGAAAAACAACAATTTTCGTATTTATTAACCAAAAAAACTTATCATAGCGTGTCCGATAAACATCTCTGGTTTTCGATCTTTTCACGTCCACCAGCAGCAAAATTCACATGTGTTCAACGATGTACATCTTGTTTCGTTCTGCTCTTCTCTTCGATGTTATTGAATATAATGTATTACGATTTATCGAATGCAGCAAAAACATCGAATAGCACATCAAGCTTCGATTTAGCCATTGGTCCATTACACATTACACCGGAACAAGTAAGTGTAGTTGGCATAAATGTATGAGAGATGACTTTGATTTGATAATTTGTCTCAGATTGGAATTGGTGTAATGGTGGAAGTTTTGACGTTAATTCCAAGTATTTTAATTGTTGAATTTTTTCGACGTATTCGATCGCGTCAACAACTGTCGCCATTACGTCAAGCGTTGAATCAAATCAATCCAAATACACCGACGTTCGTACAAATCATTTTCTCACCTTCACTAAAAAGTCTTCTCTCGTTCATTTTAGTGTAACTTCAAAACAGAAACGTCGAACGCATTTGACATTTCCATGGTGGTGTTTATTCATTGCTTATGCTCTTTCAATTCTAATTATTCTTGTTTCGATCTTCTTCATCATTGTTCGAGGAATTGAATTCGGTGATGATAAAGTGAAAAGATGGTTAACATCGGTTCTCACGGCATTTTTCTCTTCGATCTTATTCACTCAACCTATCAAAGTAGAGTTTATCTTTATCTATGCAAGTTGCATTGTCAGATTTTCTTCCAGATTGTTGTCTTCGCTATATTTTTCATTTGTTTCTTTCGAAATACGAATGATGATGCAGAAACGAATGAATATATCGATGAATATCAAATGAATTTCAATGAAGATGACGAAGATTATCTCCAATCGATCAAAGTTTGATTTGTCCATCTGTTGTTTTTCTAATGAAAATGTCTTTTAGAATTATTCGTTAGTAAATGTTCAAACGCGACAACGTGTTAATCGTTTAACTGAAGGTGAAGTTGTACATGCTCGTGATCAACGCGTAAAAGAAATTCAAATGTGGTCAATTATTCGTGAATTCGTTATTTACTTCGTCTTTTTCTTCTTAATCTGTTCGATAACATTTGCGAGTCGCGAACAGAATAGTTTTCTTCAAGTTCAACATTTACGAAAATATTTTCTGAATACTCGTCAATCTACGAATGATTATACTCAGGTTTGCTTTGATTTTTTCAAAGTTTTCTACATAAAATCTTGTCGATTTAGATCACAACTGTCACTCAATTTTGGTTCTGGTCACAAAATAGTTTTATTTTAAATCTTCGTTCTCAACAATGGTACAACAATGACATACCGAAGTATTTAAATGGATATATCAATGATAAATCAAATCGATTGATTGGATGGGCAACAATGAGACAATTACGTGTCAAACCATCAACGTGTTCTGATCAACGAATTATTGAAATTTGTGAAAAAGATTATAATTTCTTCAATGAAGATAAACAATCCTATTCACCAGGATGGACAAATCAAAGTCTCGATGAAACTTACAGTTCATCAATCAAGAATTCATTTCAATATCGCACAAGTGATGAATTAGATACGTATGTATTCGTTGGACAACATGGAACATATAGTGGAAGTGGATATGTTTATGAATTTCGTGGTCGATTCACAGATCTTCAAAGTAATGTGTCAACACTTCATGAACTTCAATGGATTGATAAACAAACAAGAGCAATTCTTATTCAAATAACTTTATATAATCCGAATGTTCAATTATTCACATCTGTGACCTTACTTATCGAAGTTTTATCAACAGGTGAACTTATTCCAACTTCTTATTTTCAACCATTAAACTTTTCCAGTGAGTTCAATTTTCTCTAGTTGAAAATTATTCCTTCGAATTGTGTTTCTAGCATTTACATCAATGTTTCAATTGATTTGTACAATTATTTACATGGGTTTCATAATTTATTTTATGTTTATACAAATACGCGTATTTCTTCGATTGAAACGGAAATATTTTCAACAATTTTGGTCATTAATTGAATTAGGAATCATTGTTTGTTCATGGACAAGTTTAGCAATTTATATTTGGCGTTTCAAAGAAGCTCGTCGTATCAGTTCATTATTTGAACAAACAAATGGTTATGTTAATATTAATTTACAATTAGCTGCATATGTTGATAATCTTCTCACTTATCTTCTTGGCTTTTCTTGTTTTTTCAGTATGGTGAAATTTCTTCAATTACTTCGTTTTGATTCTCGTTTATTATTATTCATTCGAACACTTCAATGTGCACAAAAAGAATTGATCTCATTTTTGATGATGTTCAGCATTGTTTATATGTCATTTGTTTGTTTATTTTATTTCTTATTCGTTTCAAATATGTCATCGTGTTCAAGTTTATTATCCACGACACAAATGTTATTCGAAATGACTTTGATGAAGTTTGATACATCGGAATTGATCGAAGCGGATGCGTTTCTTGGTCCATTTGTATTCGCTATTTTCATGTTCTTAGTTGTTTTCGTTTGTTTAAGTATGTTCCTTTCAATTATCAACGAAAGTTTTCGTAAAGCACGAGAAAATCCAGTGGAGAATTCGGAAATCTTAGAATTTATTATGAGAAGATTTATACGTTGGTCAGGTAAATGAATTCTTCTTGAAATCGAGAAGATTATGAATTGTTTATTGTTTAAGGTTTGAAACGATTAAGTATGGCAACAATTTATGCTCAAAGAGATACACAAATGCGTTCGCAATATTGTGATCCAATCGAAGGGTTTCCTGACAAAGTCGATCAAATGCTCGTCAAACTCGATAAAGTATGTGGAACGTATTCGATCTATTGTAAAACGAAAGTTTCCTTATATTTAGTTGTATATTGACCAGAAATCTGAACTTCGAAAATTGGATAAACTTGAATCTTTGAACTAATTGTTCTTCGCTATTTTTCTATTCACAAATAAATCGTTTCTTCATTATATGACACGTGAACCATTGATATTATCAAGAAAAACAAATGATTCGATATACTCGAGCGCCTTCGATTATTACTCGACTTCATTTACGTTATTTGACATTTGATGTCAAATCTGCATATGAAACTTGAGATGAAATCACTAGTGTATTATTTCTTTTCTTTACAAGATCTTTTAACAAAAAGAAAGAAGAAGAAATGAACGGATGATGAAAGGGAAAATACGAAATATTGTTTTTTTTCTACTTGTAATTACACTAGAATTCAAAAGAGGATGAAAGGATTGAAAATATTTCTACTGTATGACTGGAGGAATGTCTTTCATTTGATGTTTAAATGGATGAATATATGTCGATTTTTACTTTGTTTGTGCAGCAATTTGTCTAAGTTGTTGAAGACAAGATTGTAACGCATCTTGTTCTTGTTTCGCTGTGATTGATTTCTTAACTTCATTTGTTATCCAATTAATCATATTTGATCTTTCGAAATCTTTTCGTGCATTTTGTAAAGCGACTTGATAATCTAATCGACGTTTAACAGCTTCATACATTTGTCTTAATCGATCACGATATGCTGTTTCAAGTGCCATACTAACGATTTCTTTTCGTGCATCACCTAAGATTCCAATATTTTTCGCACGTTCTAATGATTCTTCATATCCATGTAACATTTTTCCAGCCATTGCTTTAGAATTCTGTACGACTGATGTGTATCGATTAACTTCGTCTTGATGCCAACCTCGAAAAACATCACCAACCATTGGACCAATTCTAAAAGATAAACAATTGATTTTATTTTAATGAATAAAAAATGACACCAAATAAAATAATTCTTTACTTTTTAACAACAGTCATAACAGCTGCAGCCAAAATGATATATTCAGTGAAATCATACCAAAGTACAATATATTCTTTGCTAAATCCATAAATGATTAAACCATAAAAGAACATATATGGTCCAGTAACACCAGTTTTTTCATAGAAAAATTTAAACCAAGATTCAGGTACACAATACCAACGAACTGGATTTGGTGTTTCACGAAGTTTATATGGTGGATAATTAACTAAATCACGTTCAGGCCATTGATCGTGTGGCCATAAACGTTTGCCATTGTATTCAGTTCGCCATTGTACCGATGATAAATCTTTTATCGAATCTTCGACACGTAAAACTTTCTCATTTTTATCTTTTTCAACTAAAGATTTTCCATCTGAAAACAAATTTTAATTTAAAATGAAAATCAATGATTTAATTCTAACCTGATTTTGTTGTTGTACTTTGAAAGAATCGATTTGAGATCGATAAAGATCGATTGATAATCAATGACGATGAAATTCCATTCGGTACAATAGGACGAATGAATTTAGTCAACATCTATAAGATAAGAAACACAATCCAACTTTATCAATCAGAATTTCATCTTAGTTTTCTTTTTTTCGTCATATGAAATAAACATACACATATACACACACGTAAACAAATAAGATACAACAGCGACATCTTTTATTTTCATGTACGAATATATTTTCAAGAGAAAATCTACGAACAATTCTCGAAAGAAAGAAATAGACTATTTTCATGCGAAAATAGTCAAATTTCTCTTATTTCATAGGTATGGTAAACTTAAAACCAATCCGATATCAATAAAATCGGAGGTACTTGTAAATTATGATTCATTGTTTCGAATCTTCTTCATCTATTTGACAAAAAGAAAAGATATATGAGAAATAAATCCATTCTGAATTAATCCGAGCGATAAAAGTGCAGAAGAATAAGAATACTTTCTTCATTCATTCTCACGTTTACTATGCATACAAAGATGAATTGATTGCAAATAACGTCCTCTTTCTGCACATGTACGAAAGTGATTATTTTATATTGAAATGATTTCCAAATCCGAAGAAGAATAAATTTATTTCGAAAAACAAAGTTTATAATTGTATCAAAATGAATACTATATGAAAAACAAAGAGACAGATGTTGGAATATTGTCATTTATTATTTTACTTATCTAAAAAATAAAGAGAAATGAAAATTTCTCATTGATAAAAATGAACAATGATACTTTTTGTCAATTCGTTGTTTCATCACATCTTGTAGAGCTTTCGTCCGTTGATGATCAACATCTTTATAACTCGTCATTGGTTGTGTACGACAATCAACAACTGGAATATCAAATGCACGTGTTTTCGTTACTACTGGTTGAGCATATTTTATATGTTGATTATTTGTTTTCATAACATCATTCGAATTTAGATAACAATCAGACATCAAATCTTTTCATGAAAAAAAGAATTTTTAATAAGAGGAAAAAAAAGTCAAACTTTGTCTTACTACGATCTAATGATGATGTTTTATTGTGATCATTGGATTGTTGAGAAAATGCTCCAGACATCATTGGAAAATAATCGACATCTGAATAAGATTGATTTTGTATTGGAATAGTGTCCAATTCATTTAGAGTTGAAGATGATTTCATTGCAATACTTCTCTTTTTCTTCTTTTCTTTTTTCTTTTCATGACTGTTACCATTTAATTCATTATTTGATTGACTTCGATTGATACGATCTTCATCCTTCAAAAAAGAAAAGAAAAGAAAATGAAATTGTTTTCATTTTCGAATCATATGTTCATTACTTGATTCGATTTGATATGTTGAAAATGTTCATCACTTCGATCTTTTGAAGGAAGTCTTTTACGAATAAATGATAACATTAATCCAACAAAAATTGTCCCGTGTGTTTAACTGTGTTGACAGTTGTTACTCATATATTCAATGTTACATTAGTCATTATCAACCAATAGGATTTTATTCCAACTTTTATTCTTTTTAACAAACCGTTAAATAAATGACACATCCAATGTCATATTAAACAGCAATTCGACAATCCTTATGGATTGGAAATGAAGGATAAACACGTATTTTTGTTCTTTTTACGGCAAAAAGAAGATTTCTGTAGGGGAAGAACGATCAATATCAAGAAATATCAGATAGAAGAAAATGATTATGTTATTATCAATCAAAAGAAATGAGTTTGAATGAAAATGTTTAAATCAACAGTTTTTTTGTTCTGTAACAAATTGAATTTTATTCAACAGATGATCATTCGATTTTTACATTTTGTGAAACACGATCCGAAGGAGAGTGTTGAAGTGTTTAAGGGTAAAAATTTTGACCACTCCCCTCCGCCCCCTCACCATCACACTCCGTGAAGAAATTCATACCTCGACCAAAAGATTCAAGGGTCATTATGCATAAGCGGTTCACTACATACAAGTGCGCTGTAATACTCTACCTTATATAGAGAGTAAAGGTCATAAAATGCAAACTACTACCAGTTAAGGTTCATAGGTTTAATACTCTATTTGCAGTAAAAAATCTACAGCGGACGTATTTGCTATTACGCTAACTGTTCCATTCTTTTTGTAAGACAAGACTCACAGAAAGATGTTAAAGAGTTTTGGAAGACAGAGGGATTTTCCGCCCACTAATCCTTATCTCATAGATCTTTACGGAGTCTAACGGGACTTATCGTTGCCGCCTGCCTTGTGGCACGCATGTAACCTGTAACTCATCTGTCCTTGAGTTGTTACTATACATGACCGTAATTCACTGTTTTCTGTAAAGACGTGGACCTGAAAAATGAAGAGTGAGAGCTTGTTAGGAGAAAATCCAAATGAACTGTGTGTCATTGTCTCACAGATCGTGATCGGCTAATGGGAGCGCACTCAGAAGCATCGCATATTTGTGACTAATGAAGCAAAAAGTTCTTAAAAAGCAGCGGACATCGCTATTGGCAATCATATGTTATTTTCAACAGCATAAGTTTAAATGAATAGGAATGCAGACTGAGAAATAAATTGACCAGTATATGTGCTTAAAGTTTCTCCAGGTGGATCGTGTTTCACATTTAATCCCGTTAGAGATTGCGCCGAAAGCTTTTTGATGTTATTTGTGATTGAACGCTATGTTGGATGAATTGATGAGTTATTTCCATTGGATGCTTTTAGAAAATGAATTTCTTTTTTCTTTTAAGGAAAATGAAAAAAAATTTATGACTCTTGACGGTTAATAAAAAAACCTGCCTTTTCTTTGAAAAAGCATCTTTTTCAATGCACTTAGAAAAAAAGAAAATAATTACTGATGAACCATTCTTAGAAAGGAAAAAAGTATTTGAAAAGAAAGAGAATAATGAATTTCATTTATTCTTTGCTTTTTTTCTTCAAAAATTGTTAACTATTTGAATTTCAACAAAATTCGAATATGGATAAATTAACGAACATGAAATCAAAATTTCAAACGATTTTATACGAGAAAAAAGTAATTCATTATCTAGTTAAACTTCTTTTGATAAGTTCAACAGTTATCGTAAGTACTTTAATTTATCAACAAAGAACTTTTATAACTGAAAAATTCGAAAGAAAACAATATCGTATTGCACATTGTATGACAGGAGTTCCTCGAACACTTTATAAAGAAGAAGTTTATGTTGCATATCGTCGACAAGCATTGAATATTCTTCCCGGTGATCTTTTTCTTATTCTTCAAATGACAAATAGAACAGAAGATGTTCATGGAACAATTATTCGTACAAATCAACCTGAAAGATATGAAGCAGCAATAAAATATCTTTCACCGAGAAGAATTGAATGGATTCCTGCTGGAAATCATTTAGGAGCTATTGAAGATATTAGTGGAAATGCAAAATGGAAACGTTGTTTAGATCATATTGAACAAGTTGAAAAAGAAAATCAATTTCAATATGATTTTATTGTTCGAACTCGTCCTGATTTATTTATTGCAAAAGATTTACCAACAGCAGATATTTTACCGCATGATCGAATTTTAATAAATCCATATTATGAATGTATTCAAATCGATATTCTTCAAGGTTATACACAAATCTGGTCTGATATTCCACTTCCTTGTAATAAGAAAAATTATGGTTTATCGGATTTATTTGCGATTTTACCACGAAAATTAGCTCAACCTTATCTGAATGTTGCATTTACACCAAATCTTCCACGTCATGTTTGTGGTCAAGGTTATATGCATGTAGAATGTCCAATACGAGCTGTTCTTTATAAAGCAAATATCACATTTGAACTTTGGCCTTTTGTTATCAAAATTATGCGATCAAATCAATTTTGTCATTTAAACGCTTGGAATCGTTTTAATAGTTGGTGTTAAAATTAGTGTCAATCAAATAAACAATGCGTCAGAGAAGTTCCTTTCAATTCTATTCAAGTTCACAACGTTTTTCTTTCGATTACTTCGAATAATTGTTCATTTCATAGAATAACATGATGAAAAAAGTCATTCAATCACATTGGTTTTTAGACATTTGCAAATTCAAATAATCGATGTCAATTGATATTTTCCCATAGAATCTGTTAACAAGGAAATTCTTTCATAAACTACAAAATAAATAAAAGGTTTTTTTCAATAAATCTTAGTTGAATTTTCAATGAATAGAAAAGATTTCAAAGAGAGTTTTTCTATTTTATTTGAAGAAAAGTCATTTTAATCATGAAAAAAGAAATGTTTGGAAATATTTAATAGAATTGTTGGGAAAATCTTTTCCTAAGAAATCATTTCATCGATGAAGAAAAACGGAACTGATAGTTTGTTCATCATCATATCGATATAAAGATTTCGTTTTTTGTAAAAGATATTTCTCTGTTGAATTGTTTTGAAAGAGAACAAGTAGAAAATGTTAAAACAATGGAGAATTATTTCACTAAAGTTCCATCAATATCAATTTGTTGAGTTATTTTTTGTGCATTTTTAAATAAATATGTTCCATTAATTGATAAAAGACCATTGAAATGAGCAAAATCTTTAAAAAAATTTCATTTCTATTAGATGAATATTAATCAATGATTTCCTAACAATCTAAAACAATTGAAGAAGATTCATAAGATGATCATTCATCATTTAGATTCGTATTTTTGGTGGATAATTGAATTTGTGAGATTTGATAATGAAGAGCATTAATTTATTGATAATAAGAAACGATCCCAATGTTCAAATAAATCAAATGAATGAAAAAGATATTTTCGACAAATGTTTTACCTGCTTATTTTCAATTCCATGTGAAGATCGAATGAAATCTTTAATCAACTAAAACGACATTGATGTCGAGTTTATTTTCTTATTGAACAATTTCCTTTCTATTTACATTGATTTTTTAAAACAAAATCATGATGAGGATTTCGTCGAAAGAAGACTTTAGATGAATAACAACATAATTCATTTTCATCTTCACACGCAACACATTTTGTCCGTGATTCCATCGCTCAATTGAATTGATTTTGAAGAAAAACAAAATGAATCATCGATGGACAAAGTGTTTGAGATCCAACTGTCGTAAATGACAAATGGAAATCGAATCGACACGTAAACCATAGAAAACATTTGAATATAATAAAAGATGGAGTTAATCTTTCTTTGAACAACAAAGAAAATCTTTTTCAATTGAATTTTCATCGCGATGAAATGACAATGAGAAAATAGATTTGATCCATTAGATGTTCATCACTAATCATTCGATATTGAATAAGATTCAATTCTTATAGATCTTTTCAGAAGATTTTCAATGATAAAATCAAATTTCTCGAACATGAAAAAAGATTCTTTTGTCATTCAATATGAGAATTCATTTTTATTTGAAAATCAAAGTAAAAAGAAATCCATAAGAGATGAAATGATTATGTTAAACATTGTTTTTCTATTCATTATTATTATTTGAAGAAAGAGTTTTATCCGAAAATGTTCCAAAAGTATCGAGTTGAATAAGTGAAGATTTTCGAGATCTTCTACTTTCATTTTGCCATTGATTTTGTTTCTTTGCCATTAAGATTTTCTGTTGATTTCGATTACAAATAGATGAACAGATAAAATTAAGAAATTGTCGACGAAATGTTTTTGATGTTAATGTGTAAACATAAAATGATAATGTTGGATATAAATATAAGAGAATTTCTGTAAAATATCGAAGAAATTTTTGAATAATTTGACGATTTGTTGTTATAGATCCCGGATGATATGTCAGAGAAAAATAAAGTATAAAGATCATCCAAGGAATTGTTGTTAAAATGTAAAATGCAACTTGTACAAATAACATCAGAAGAACTTGATGATCACGTGAATATAATAAACGAAATGTTGATGATTTTCTTCGTTGAGAAACATTTCTTTGACGATGTTTTCGTTTTAAAACAAGATTTCGATGAATAAGTTTAATAAAAACAATCATTATCAATGGTGGAAAAAGTCCACCTGTAGAAAATGTAAAGAAACTATGATAAATCGCAAAATTGATTCGTGTAATTGTACATAAACCATCTTTAATATCCAGAAAATAAAGATTATGCAATGGTAAAATAATCCATAAAAGAATTACTATTGTTATTATACGATTTGCTAAACGTTGATTTGTTAAACTTCGTAAATGAGAATTCAATGATGAAGAAAAATAACGATCAATACAAGCCATTGTCATTAACCAACGATACATCATTGTGAAACTTTGAGAGAAATAACCACGGAATTTACAAGGAATTGATTGTTTATCAACTGGATTCGAATAATATGTGGAATATACATGAGGAATTAAACCAAGTAAAAGACCAAACATCATCATTAATGAAGCAAAAAGAAAATCTAAAAAGAAGAAAAAAAAACAGGAATTTTTCAATGATTTGTTTTTTGAGAGATTTACATGTACAACAGGATATGTGACGAAATTGTCGTTGAGAAAAAAGAATTAAATTAAAGAAACATCCAGTAACACCAAATATTAATAAAATTGGAGTAAAATAACGATTCATATGATATTGAACGAGAATTAATGTGGAATTTAATGACATTTTTTCTTCTTTTATTCGAAAAGAAATTCAATTCTAATTGAAAAACTAAAATGAAAATAATTTACTTAATGAAATTGTTTGAAGTTTATTTACAATTTTCCAAATCTAAAATTCAAAAAATAAATGATGAAATTTGTTATTTCGATAAGTAAAATCATCTTTTCTCTACGTGAGAAGTAAGTTGATTAAAGAGATATTTGACGGAAAAACAACGAACACTTTTCTTTCTTTTTCTCAACTTATAATAAAAGCTTTGAAATGATGTTAATCATTATCAATGGATATCTCAAGAAAAACACTGTTAAACATGTCTTTTCTTTCGCAAATCTTCGGATAAAAACTAAGAATTTTCATGATAAACAAAATAATTCGAAGATTTTGTTAATATTTCAAAGATATTTTGTTTTCTTCTTCAAATATTTTCAATAATCAATATGAAATTATTTGAAGAAATGAATTTCTTCTTTTAAGTCGATAATTTGTTAATATAAGATGAAAATAAATTATTGAAAAGATTTTCTAAATGACTAAATATGACACGTGACATCAATGACATGTCGAAGGATTTCTATTAATAAGATAATACCAGATATTTCGTCAGTGAAAAAAACTCATGTACTAACAACTCTTTGACATAGAGAAAAAGAAAATAACTTCTTCTTCTTCTTTATTCAATGTACTTTGATAATCGATTTCAACTATCTCATCATTAAACTAAATTTTGTTTGATTTCTACAGTTAATTCATCGATGAATTTATTAATTTTGGAACAAAATATGAGCAGAAATCGAGAACTAAATCTAATTGAAGGAAAATCATGTGTAAATGTTGATCTTTAAATATAAAATTGTAAAGAAGTCGAGAATGATTTTAAAACAAAGTTTGTTTATCCAATTTGACAATAGTCTCAACAAATGATATCTATGTGTTATGCGCTTCTTTCTTTCAGACTTCAATTCATTGAAGTAATAAACAATTGTTATGGAAGAAAAGAGAAAAGATCTTTCTTTCTGAAGAAAACATCTGTTCATCCCCCCGTTTTGTTTCCTCGAAAACGATTTATTTTGATAAAATGCAGATTCACCAGACATATTTATAAAGAATTGATGATATCTTGAGAAAATGTTCTTCTATTGTATTTCGAGAAAAAAAGACAATTTTTTTAAAAGAAATTGTTCAGATAGAAAAAGATCTTTCGATATAATCTGTATTGATTGTGAATTCAATCAGAGAAGATGAATTTGTTTGGTCATAATAAATTTCTGAATATAATTCAAATCATCAAAAAGAAAATATCTGAATAACATTCACAGATTGAAGGTTTTTTTCCAAATTATAAAGAGTGAAAATCGATTTGAAGTACAATCAAAACAACATAAGAATAAACAAAACTTTGATTATTCAAATATTCCAATGTAAAGAAAGGAAATATTCGATAGAGAAAAAGTTAGTGGAATTGATTTATTAATTCATTTTATTATTATTATGAAATACTTTTGGATAGACAAAATTCTCATCTATGTCATTGTTGCATTTGTTTTAGGTAATTTCTAAAAATAGTTCATAAGTTTTTCAATAAAATTATATCGGAAAATCATCGAATAAACGTGGATTGTGATCCATTTTTAGATATGAATAGAAAGATATGTAGCGCCATCTATACGAATGTGATGGTTCGGTTCGTTTTCTCCAATGATTAAAAATAATCATGAGTGAGTCAATACAATCAAATGAAAAAGAATCTTTATCATATTTCAGTTTTGTTAGGGTTGCGATTGTTATTTGTTTAAAAGAAAAGGTTAAGGATTAATATTAATCTTTGCGAAAAAAAAGATTTTTTCTTCTATCTTGATTTTGATTTTAGTTATAGAAAAATAGAAGAGACATGTCATCTGACAAAGACAAGAAAAGTTCGCCATCTGACGAATTATTAAAATCAATCGATTTATGGTTAAAATGGGATCAATGTGATAAAACACGAAAAGAAATTGAAGAATTAAAAAAGAATTCGAAATGGGATGATTTACAAGTTCGTTTATCTCATCGAATTCAATTTGGTACAGCTGGTCTTCGTGCTAAAATGGGAAGTGGATTTGCATTAATGAATGAATTAACTGTTATTCAAGCAACACAAGGTCTTCTTCGTCATGTACAAACAACATTTGAAAACAAAAAAGATTCTTTAGCTGTTGTCATTGGTTTTGATGCTCGTCATCAATCACATCAATTTGCACGTTTAGCTGCTGCTCTCTTTGCACATGAAGGTATTCATGTTTATCTATTTGATTCGACAACAGTTCCCACACCATTTATTCCATTTACGGTCAAACAACTTCATTGTCAAGCGGGAATTATGGTAACAGCAAGTCATAATCCTAAAGATGATAATGGTTATAAAGTCTATTGGGAAAATGGGGCACAGATTATTTCACCATTAGATGCACAAATTGCACAATCTATTGAACAAAATTTAGAACCATGGAAAGATAAAGCATGGAATTTGGACATTCTTCAAGACAAAAACTCGAAATTAATTTCTGATCCAATTGAAAAGGTTTGTTGATTTTTCTCTTTTTGTCACATCTCAATTTCTTCTTCTTTTTTTTTAAAGATTCGTGATTTATATATGTCAAATTTATCTAAATTATGTTATTTTCCTGAGTTGAACGCATCAACACCATTGAAATTCGTCTATACACCAGTTCACGGTGTTGGACAACCTTATGCTGAACGTGCATTTGCTGCATTCCATTTTCAACCATTCATATCAGTTGATGAACAGAAAAATCCTGATCCGAACTTCTCTACGGTAAAATATCCAAATCCCGAAGAAGGAAAAGAAACATTGGAATGTGCTATTCGAACAGCCAATAAGAATAATGCTGATTTTATCATCGCTACAGATCCTGATGCTGATCGATTTGCACTTGCAGAACGAGATCCAACTGGTTCAACTGAATCAGGATGGAGAATTTTAAGTGGAAATCAATTAGGAGCTTTACTTGGATGGTGGCGTTGGTTTACATGGAGAAATCGAAATCCTCATGTGAATGTCAAAGATGTTTATATGCTTTATTCAACTGTTTCATCACATATTCTCAAATCAATTGGTGAAGTTGAAGGTTTTAATACGATCGATACTCTCACAGGATTCAAATGGCTTGGAAATCGATCAAATGAACTTATTCATCAGAAAAAACATGTTCTCTTTGCTTTCGAAGAAGCCATGTAAGTCAAACATTTGATTTTCTACCGAAAATAAATCATCTTTCGTTTCAATTTAGTGGATTTATGTGTGATCCCGAGAATGTCTTAGATAAAGATGGAATATCTGCATTGGCTATTGGAGCAGAAATGTGTGCTTATCTCAAGTCAATTGGTCGAACATTGTGTGAACAACTTAATCAAATCTCATTACTTTATGGTTATCATATCAATAACAATTCCTATGTCATTTGTAATAAAACTGATGTCATGATGAACATGTTTGATCGACTCAGACATTATGATCAGAAGAAAGATCAGAATGCACAGGTAAATGTTCTCACGTTTCATTTTCTTAGAGAAAAAGAAGACAATGATTTTATTATTCTTTCGAAGAAAACGAACCAAGGAGAAAAAAGTGAAGCAAAGATTCTTGTTCAATATTCAAATAAGATCAAATCTCATCTTGGTGCCAATGAAAACGAATCGAAAAATGGACAAGATGAAGAATATGTTTATCCGAAATCATGTGGAAAATATCAAATAACTGGTATTCGTGATTTAACTGTTGGAATCGAAGCTGATTTTCGTGGTGAAGGAAAAGATGAAAAACCCACTTTACCATGTTCATCAGCAACACAAATGATCACATTTTATTTTGATAACGGTTGTGAAATTACAATTCGAGCAAGTGGAACTGAACCAAAGATTAAATGGTATTCTGAAATACGTAAAAAGAAAGAAATAAAAAATCCATCGGAAGACAATCCAATGATTGACGATGAACAATTTCGAAAAGAAACAAAAGATGAACTTGATGCTTTAGTTGAACAAGTTGTAGAAGAATTTTTACAACCAAAACAAAATCAATTAATTGAAAGAGAAACAACTGCCAAATAAACGAATGATCATTCCAAATTTTCTTCAAGCTTTTCTTTTCTGTGACTTTTCCCCGTGCATACTTTATCTTTGCAATATCATTAATCTATTCATTAGCAAGAACAGTTTTTAACTTTTTCCATTTCATAAACTATAGAATAAACACTTTAATTATATATTAAAAGATCTTCTTCCTACGTATGAATATATGATGAATTTCAAAGAATAATATTGATGTGTAGTTAACAACACGGATTCGATGTAGTTTCTTATGTATACACATGTCTTATAGGTTTTATTCACACGACGATGCAAAATGAGGACTTTTGACTTTTTTAGTCAAACGATGTTTGCACTGAACGATTCAGTTCAAGTGTACTTCTAAGTCTTAGGTATTTCCAAGTATTGAATGGCAGAAGCGTGATAAATTACGTGCTTCTTCTTTCGTATAGAATTTGTTACAATGGTATTGTGATTTTTCAGCCGAAAATAAAAATAAAAATTTACCTTCGCACGAGATTTCTATTCGAATTTCGAAAATCTTGAAACATATGACGACTTGTTTATTAACGAATTCATATTCCGAACAAATGAAGCTGAACTTTGAAATACCAATGATTCATCGTTAAAAATTCTTCTCATAGACGTATGATCATTGCATTGGCATTCTCGAAAAAAGTCGATTTTGGATTAAAAATCTCATTAGAATAGATTTGTATCGCCGGGATAGCTCAGTTGGGAGAGCGTCAGACTGAAGATCTGAAGGTCCCTGGTTCGATCCCGGGTCACGGCATTTCTCTTTTTGTCGATTTATATCAAATCCATTGATTACAAACATTCCGAAAATGCTGTGCACAATATATTCTTTATCATAGAGAAAGACTTTTCCATTCAATACAAATCAATAGACGTCGCTCACATCTAAATCCAATAAACTTTTTCAAATTTCTTCTCAACAAACAAATCGCTAAAGGAAAAAAACCCTGATATTTTTTTTTCGTTTTTTTATCGATATAAAATACGTGATCAATGATATATTTATTAATAATCGATGTACCATCTGTTTCTTTATTAAACATCATTATTGAACAGGACGACGAAAACGAAAGGATACAATTCTCTTGTTTTACTTAGTCATGCATATCTCTCTCTCTCGTTCTCTTCTCTTTCGTTGTATTACATCGATTTACTTGCATAAGTGTTTCGAACAAACTATTAGACAGTTGATTTAATCATTCGAGATATTCAATAGTCATCAAGTGCAAAGTTTTTTCTTCTTTATTTGACGATGAAATTTAACCTTTGTTTATTAATTCTTCTTCTTCTTCATCATTATGTTTCAACAGAAGAATCTCCAAAATTTTGTTTATGCGTATTAAAAAGTATTTTACAAGAATATTCTTTATTAACAACTGATCGACTTCCACCTCGTTATCGTCCATTAAATCCTGCTGATATTGGTTTTTATGTTGTTCCATCACGATGGAAACCAGTTAATAATGCAACATGGTCAGAACTTGCTGCAATGATCAATGCACCAACAGGAATGTATTCACATATAAGTATTAATCGAAAAGATCCATTACAAAATGGTTTACAATTAAATAGTCGTCAAACGGCATATTTAGCTGATATTGTTGCTGATTATCAGTCAATGATGTATAAAGTTGATCTTTATCATGAAAAAATTATTCAAAATCACACAAAATCATGTTCACAAGAAGTTAAATCAAATAGTTTTGATTCAAATCAAAGTTGGCAGAAGTTTTTTGATTAAAAAAAACGAAAACAATGATGAATTCATGTTTTTCATTAGAATTTAGTTTAGCCAGACAAGTTACTTGAGTTTTTTTCTTCTCTCTTTTTTTGTTTAAATATTAACAAAGAATATTTCATATTTCCTTTTTTTCTATTCGAATTAAAAGCAATTTTTCATAATAAATACCATTTTCACCTCCTTAATTATATGATCAAATCTTCATACATTATCTTTTCTGATTATTCGATCAAATGAAATTTTGATGAACTTTCAGTACAAATCGGAGTGTCTTATGTCACAGTCCTTCGTTTCAAAAACCAAATATGTACCAATGAAATTGAATGAAAATTACTCGAACGACATTGTTAAATATTCGATCAACTAATTCACATCGACAATTTCATGTCTAAAATGACGTTCACTACCAATTTTCATAGAATTCATTAACAAAGCGATTCAATTCTGAAGACTGTGTTTCTTCGAAGTGAATATTTCATGAGGAGAATGTCCTTCAGATTAGGGTTTTTCGTTTTCGGCGTATGTGAACACAATTCGACGAGATTACGTTAGCAATGAGTCACTTTCATTCGAAAAACGGTATTTCAAAGAAAGTAAATGTGTTTAAACGAACATTGGTACACACAGAGTGAAAAATAAACAGGGAAAGAAGACTTTACCCACAATTCAGATCAAAGGATTTTGCCAAAACGATGGAATAACATGTTGGAAAGAAAAACAAGGCGTAATTCATTGACACCCGCATATCTGGAGTATAAATATGGTGAGAGAAATCTTTATCTTTTCATTCCAATTGATTGGTGTTCAAACGAATTGGAAAAAGAAAGCAGAAATGGACGCTTCATGTAAATGAGACTGATGTTCACGTGATTGTCTTTGTCGGTGAAAAATTTATTTTTTGAGAACATAAAGGAATTCATCGTGTAGCATTCAATTTCAAACATTGGTGTGTTTATTTATACGTCGAATGTGAAAAACATGAACGACAACGATGGACAGTTGAAAAAGAATTCAAGAAAGACTATGCTGCACAATATCATCAATGTTTTTGGAATAATTGTGTTGTTATGTGGTGTGGGCATTATGATTCGTTTCTTTGTACAGAAAGAGCTCGACGCATAAGTAATCAACCATTGAATGTTGCATATAATATGGCAATCACCTGGTCGAGCAATGGATATAATTTGATGAATGATAATTGTGCGACATTTGCCAACGATTATGATCGTCGATTACCGTTCTAAACACATTTTCAAAGAACTTTTTACAGATAATTTTTCTATTCCCATATCAAATGACATATTTTTACTAATCTTGAAATTGCGATATGATTTTTCACAATAAATAAATCAACTCAAATTTATCGGTCATTTTTAAGTGATGTTTCGAAATAATACGAAGACTTTGATCTTTGCGACATTTAACAGACTGATGAAACCAAATGAAAAAAGGAAATTGGTCGATTGAAGTCATGCGGGTCTGTGAGGCACTATCGTGATAATGTGATGCATTATATTCTTTTCATCAATAAACGTTCATCAAATAAAAAAAGAGAAATGCCGTGACCCGGGATCGAACCAGGGACCTTCAGATCTTCAGTCTGACGCTCTCCCAACTGAGCTATCCCGGCGATACAAATCTTTGTCAAGAGATATCACATTCCTCATATTCGATTTCTTATTAAAACTACGTCTTTACTTATTTCTTCCTGTCAAGAATAGTATCTTCTACATATTTTCTCAAAATAATTCATAGTTCTATCAGCGTTTCAGTTATAAAACACCACGAAATCAACTTCGAATATCAGAATGGTCTCGAATGTTGACTTCTTATGTAACAGATTTTCAAATGATATTAATAATGAGAACGACAATATTGGATTCTTCGTATGCATTCGAGACTTCGTTGAAAGTTTTATATCTTTACGATCTCGTCAGTTTCTGGTTGAATTACGTTCACCGAGCGAATCAATCATGAAGAACTCATCTATTGCTCGAATATTTCTTGCGTAGTCACAGATCGAACTCTGCTAAAATCGACAGAAATCAAATATTGAGGATATTTAGATTCCACACACGGTCATATCTATTTTTACACAAATACAGAATAAAATATTTTTATTTTGTCCCATAATGAATAATTATTTATTCGAATTTACTTTAATAACAAATGAACGGAAGAGAAAAAAACTCTTTTTCTCGCAAACAATACATAGAACTCCTACGTCAGATTGATGAAAGTTAAGGTATAATATTTGCAATAACAATCAAATCAATGATATTTCATCAGTAAAATGAAGATTTTTCTTAGAATAAAAAATGAAATTAACAAGACGAAGAAAAAACAACAACTTAGCAAATGTATGTTGATAAAAAGAATATGACATTGTTTTTTGAGATAACATAATGAATATAAATCTCGAAAAGGAACTACAAAGTTTGCTAATAAGAGAGAGAGAGAGAGAGAGAGAGAGAGAGAAATGTTGTTTTTAATCTATCATTGACATTTCACAAGATCATAAAGGAGAGTCTATTTTATTTCCAGATAAGAGTTACGTTAGATCATTGAGTAACGATTATCGTGAAGAAAAAACTCTTTGATTATTTGATTTCTTTAATTTGAAAATAATGAAATAAGAATGATACCTTTCAAAGCATTTTATCATGAAACAATTCGACGAATTCGAGATTATAATATTTTCATAAGAGAAGAAAACGATTATGATGATGAAAATCCAACAAATGAAAGAGAAATTGTGAAAGAACAAAAATATGCAACTTGGCTTTACATTCTTCTTCTTTTCAGTAAGATTTAAATGATGAAATGAAAAAGATCTTTTCAATTTTTCTAGTTTCAATTTACATTCTTTTCTTTGCAAATTTAATTCAACATCAACAACATACAATTGTTATTTCTAATATAACTTTAAATATGTTTAAGAAACTTTCTTTTGAATATGACAAAACTCTGTTATGTCCATGTTCAAATATAAATATTCCACAGAAGAATTTCATTGATCACATAATTAAATTTCATCCTGTGTGTTCGAGTATCTTTGTAAGTGAACAATGGATAAATTCATTGTATTTAAGAAATGCGAGTATTTATGGAACAAATGATTTTCGATCAACAGCATATTCCCAAGTAAGATAAAGATTCTCGATACGTTTCATGCAGATCTTTGAGAAGATCTTTCGACAATTTGTTCACTTTTTATTTTAGTTTCGACTTTTATCAGATCTTTGTTCATTTTCTCGCGAAATAACTGATGAAATTGAAAAGAATTTTAATAATGATGAAATCATCACAGATTATCTTCTTTCGGAAAATCAACTCGAATCAAAAGTGAATAAAACAATTGAATTTCTTCGAAAAAGTCTATCAGTTCGAATAAATTTATTTCTTAATTATCTACGTTCAATAATTCTTGGAAATTTTCTCGTATCTGCTCTAAATACCAATTATCTTCTGACAATTGTTAATTCATTAACTGATCCAAGATTAGCGAGTACAGATACATGTTATGTCTTCAGAAATGATCTTGAAAAACACTTAATAGGTTGTAGTCATTTCAATTCAGTAGGTAAAGTTTCTTTTGACAATCTTTCGGATGTGACAATGTCGATGTATTATGACTATTTGGAATGGCGTGAAAACGATTCAAATGATTCGATGGTTGATGGATTTTATACAAGTTGTTTACCTTTCGAAGGTCTTCTTCAAAGTACATTAGATTGTTTATATGAATATCAATGTATTGAATTGTTAATGAAAAGATTTCGAAATATTATCAAAGTAAACATCGAATTGTAAAATATTTTCTTCATATTTGTTGTTTTCAGATGAATATCAATTGGAACAATTCATTGTTGATTTCAGATAAAGAAAAGAAATCAATTTCTCATTATCTTAATGATTTATTTGTTGAAGAATGGTTAACAAAAAAGAATTATACTGAATATTTTCATAAATGTTCACCATCATTATGTTCATATACAATTTCGAATCGAACAAATTTTTCTTATTCAATTACTTTATTAATTAGTCTTTATGGTGGTTTAATTCTTATTTTACGATTATTTACGCCATTTCTCGTCAAGATTTTCTTTAAATTCAAACATTTTATTATTAATCATCATAATTACAATTGTAATCATTTGAATTCAAATAGAATTTTTCAAAATATTCTTTTATTTAGTTTTAACTTCATTGAAAAATAATATTCAATTCTTTATTGAACATATGAAAAAGTTAAATTTATTCAAACAAACTAATCGACGAACAGAAATTCATCTAAAACAACAAAAGATCAGCACACGTGTTTATTTTATTTTCTTTCTCGGTAGAAATCTTTCTTCATAGAAAGAAAATCTCGTAGAAAAGTATGTCAAATATCTAAAAGATTTCGTTTTTTTATTTGTTAAGGTTTAAGTACAACATTGATTATTTACAATTTGATAAATACCGAAATAATCCAAATAACAAAAATGAATCCAACATTAAATGATTATGATGAATTACAAAAGATTTCTTCATCAACATGTCAATGTCCATGTTCAAATGTTATTATATCTTATGAGAAATTCATTTCTTTTTCTCCAAAATTTCATGAAATTTGTCGAAGTGAATTGATAAGTGAAGAATGGCTGATGATTTTAGAACAAACTCGAATGGGATATGAATTTTCTGATTGGCGAAATGTTGCTTTTTCTCATTTGAAATTCATATCTGAAATGTGTCAAATATCAAAGAAAACAATTGATGATGCCATTGATCGTTTTCTTTCGAATCCATTTATTGTTTTAAATCTATTAAGTCAAGAAATGTTTTATAAACAAATCAATGCAACATTTGATGAATTTTCTCGATCAATTATTAAATATTTTCATTTATTTATCAAAATAACCCAAATACAAAACCAAGTCGATCAACCATATTTTGGACCAATTAGAAAAATAGGAATGCGACCAGAAAATTCAAATCCTGTTGCAACTTTTACAAGAAAAACAGGATCTGATCATATTCATGTCGAAGTATTTCTTCTCAACTCAATTTTTTTTATCGTATCGACATTTTTTTTGATCTTTTCAGATAAATTTTCAATTACGTGGTCCACGTTATTCAAATTCTTCGAATTGTATTTGTGCTATTGATGCAAATTGTCAAATTCCTGTTAATATTTTTGATTTTGATCGTGGTTCAACACGCAATCCAATTAGTATTCATCGTTATACAGCATATGGAATAGTTCAGGGATGTTCAACTATTAATTCAGTGATGTTATCAACATTTGAATGTTATTATAATCATTCGGGTTGTTTATCAAGTCTCTTGAATTATAGTAAAAAAACTTATATTGGGATGGTTGAAAATCCATCAAGGTTTTCTGTTTCACCATTGATTTATCATTCAGAAACAAGTCGTTTTCCGCCAAATACTTCAATATCGAGAATAATCGATGAAATCATGGTTGAACAATGGAATCCTTTGTCATCATATGAACAATTTTATCGATCATGTTCACCGAAATCTTGTTCTTATCTGGAAAAAGTTCGTGCGAAGAATGTTGTCGAAGTAATCATTACATTTATTTCAACAATTAGTGGTCTTCGCTTTATTTTACGAATAATTATACCTCAAATGATCAGATTGATTTATTATTTAATCGATAAATTCAAAAGACGAAGAGAACAACAAGAACAAAGTATGAAAATTGTTTTTCTTTTGAGAGAATAAAGAAAATATTTGTTGATTTATAGATCGATTGAAAAGATGCGATCGTTTGAGAAAATTAATAATAAAATTATTTAAATCTTCATCGAATCATTTAACAAATTTCAATATCTTCTATTTCCGAGATTTTAGTAATAAAATTGATCAAAGAACAGCAAAACAATTAGGTCGATATGCAACTCGTTTATATCTCATCTTATTCATAGGAATTCTTCTTCTTCTTACTCTTTATAATTTTGTTGAAAAACAAAAATTCACAAAAATATTTGAAAATTTATCTTTAAATTTAACAAAAGAACTCTTTCTATTTTATAAAGATGATATTAAATGTCCATGTTCATCAATTGCTTCATCATACAATTGGTCTGTTGAAATAGATACAAAATTTCATCAGGTAAAATGAAATTGAATAGACACATTTGATCTTAAAATGACGTGTAATTCGACAATTACAATTGTTTGTCGAATTCAATTGTCATAGAATGATTAAGAGAATCTTTTTTTTTAAGATTTGTTCAAGTCCATTTGCATCGAAAGAAGGTCGAAATAATTTAACATTAAATCTCATTTCAAATCTTTCTTCATATTCTTTATATGATTATCGTCGATATTTGTCTGCTCATTTACAATATCTTGAAGAATTATGTCAACTTTCTCAAGAAACAGTTCAAATATCTATTCAACAATTGAATTCTTCATTATTTTTCACACCTGAACTTTTAATTGAAGAAAAATTTGATCGACATATTGAAAGAATTCTTGAACAAATCAAATTTAACACAGCGAAAACACTTTTTTCTTATTTTTATCTAATTCGAAGTGTTCATCATGGAAATGGAATGATCACAACTTATGGAACAAATTATAAATATTTTAATCCTTGGAATTTTCTTCTTCAAATTCATATTTTAACATTACCATTGATTTATGATGATCAATGTTCTTGTGCATTATCTTCAAATTGTACAACTCAAGCAAAATTTATTGAAGAAAATTCCTATGAAATTCCAGGACTTAAAATTGGTTGTTTACCTACTGAATCATTTCGTTTATCAACTCTCGAATGTTTTTATAATCAAACATGTTTAAATTTTATTGGATTTTATGTCAAATCACCTTCATTCAATGCACTTCGTTTCGATAAGACAAGTCGATTTGCATTAAATACAACTATTGATTATTTCATAAATGAACTCTTTATTGAACAATGGAAAGTAACAAAGAATTATTCGGCGTATTTTCATCAATGTTTACCATTCATTTGTTTACGTACAATTGTGAAACGATTCAATTTTCTTCATTCGATCACTATTCTTCTTGCTTTTCAAGGTGGTTTAACAATTGTTCTCAAATGGATTTGTCCGAAATTAATTGAAATTTTCTATAAAATAGAAAAATATCGAAGACACAGAAGAAATACAATTCGACCAGTGAGAAATATCAATAACAAATGCAATACTGATCGAGATTTTCTATCGACCAATGACACATCTTCGTATGTTAATTAACAAAATCTCTTTTGTATATTTATTCTTTTCAACTTTAGAAGAAATGTTAATAATTCTATTCGATGTTCTTTCAAACTAATTTCTTTATTTGGATTATTAATTCTTCTTATAACAATTGTTGTTATCTATTCAATACGAATTATTCAAACACAATTTACACAAACAAGTGAGAAGATTTTTATCACAAATCAAATCTTCTTTTTCTTTTCATAGTATTTACAACTATTGATATTACTAAACATATATCAACAGATACAACGAGCAATACGATCAAAACAACAACAACAACAACGACGAGAACAAGAAGAACTACACTGAGTAGATAAAGATCTGCTTATTTCAATGATAAATATCAAATAATATTTGCATTTTAGAATCAAAATGTCCATTCGAATTCGACTTCGTCGTAACTAATCGAAATAGTTCATCAATATCCCTGGATTCACATATAATTAATGATTTTAATGGTGATCAAAATCTCGATATTGCTTTCCTTGACAACAAAAAACGATTTGTAAAAGTTTTACTTGGATATGGAAATGGAAGTTTTAGGGAAACAATCGCAATTGGAAAAATTTTACCTTTGGAACATGGAACAATTGCAAGTGGATATTTTGATAATGATAATCATCTTGATATTATCGTCTTAGATCTCTCACTCGCTTTTATGTTAATTTTCTTTGGCAATGGAACTGGATTATTTTCCAAAAGATTTCCAAAAATCTTTATAAAAGATTTTCAAAATCCACTTGATATGGCAATTGGAGATTTTAATGAAGATAAACATGATGATATTGCATTGGCAATGGGTGTAGAAAACAGTGTGGCCATATTTATTGGTAATGGGGATGGAAGATTTTCTACTCAAAAAGATTTTTATACTGGATTAAATAGTTTTACAACAAAAATAACAATTGTTGATTTGAATAATGATAATCATCAAGATATTTCTGTTCTCAATGAACTTAATCGAGAAATTGGAGTTTTTCTTGGTTTTGGAAATGGATCATTTCAAGAATTAATAACATCGTTTACAGGTGGTCGATATTATGGATATTCTTTTGCTTTTGGTCATTTTAATCATGATGATTTGATTGATGTAGTTGTACAATATTCTCATTCGAATTTTATTATTGTTATGTTTGGTTTTGGAAATGGAAGTTTTAGTGAACGAAAGAAAATTTCAACGGGAAAATTGTCAAATAATCGTCAAATTTATGCGAAAGATTTCAATGGTGATCAAATTGTAGATATTGGATTTGGTTTAGATGATAAAAAAACAAGAAATATTTTAATTGGAGATGGTTTTGGTGATTTTGACATTGAACCAATATTTTCATCTCATTTTAAATATGAAGTATCTATTTGGATTGGTATAGGTGATTTTAATAATGATGAATATATTGATATTATCGAAGTTGATATCAGTTCAGAAAAACAAGAAATTTTTCTAAATAAATGTCAATGATATAGTCACAGAGATTTCTTGTAGAAATATTAACATCCTCTAGGTGACATATTGGAATAATCAAATATTATCGAAGGACACAATGTTTCAGATATTCCTCCATTATTCGAATAAGTTCGTATTGTATCATTGTCATAATAAACATTGATCGATCCACCATCTGATAAACTTATTTGACTATTCGTCTTCAAATATGCAATCACAGATCCACAATTACTTAATGTTAACTTTGCACCTGATTCCAAATAAGCTGTAACAGGTCCACTATTTGAAGATATTACTTGAGAATTGATTCCTAAATAGAGTGTCATTGCATTACCATTCATTGTTGTTAATGTTGCATTCGATTCAAGATAAACTTTCAATGCACCATCATTCCCAGCAGATAAATGAGAATTTGCTTCTAAATACGCTGTTATATCTGCGTTGTTATTAGCTGGAACAAACAGATTTTGTTTTATATATAATTTTAAAATACCACCGTTATTTATCGTTGAACTCGTATTGACACATGTCCATGTTGTACTTATAGAAGGAATTATTGCGATACAAGATGGATTTACACTAATTGTTGTTGTTGAAATTACAGAAGAATTGACGAATGTTGAATTTTTTCCTTTAAATATTCAAGAAAATAATTTCATCGACATCGATGTTAAATCTTACTTTTATATTCAAAAGTTATTATTTAATTATCTTGGAGAAACCAAGATCTATTTCACTTAATAATGAACAAAGATGACTCGTTCGATTAAATAGAACCATTTGACACATTGAATACTTTTTTCTATAATAATTTGAATGATATTGATAAAAACTTTTCTCATAAACTTTCATCTTTGCTTCTCTCAAATAACTATAAATGAAATCATTTGAGATTAAGAAAATAATCGAGAGTTGGAATAAACAACATAACTGTTGATTTGCCATTTTTGATTTAAATCAAAATAATGACGTTCTCAGTTGATTTAGTAAAAAGCAATGACTTAGAATATTGTAGAAGATACTTGAAGATTTCTTTTCATTGTTCAAAACTCATTTGTTTCAATGAGAAAATTGCGTCTATGTCTGTAGGTGTGAAATTAATTTATTTAATCTTTTAACGAACTCTTATAAAGTATAAAACGAAACATTTTTCTTATTAAATTCAGATAATTGATGTTCAATTAAAATTTTATAAATAAAACATTATTTGAATTTTATCATTTGTTTCTAATTGAAATAATTCATAAACTAGTTGACTCTTTCATCCTTTTATATTATTTCGGTTAATTGATTCTTTACTTACAAAAAAAGATTTCTATTTATAAATTCGCAGTTTATATTATTCGATATCAAACATCGAATTTTCAATTGAATGTAAATTGACTTGAAAATGACATGTTTGAGTATTTGAATAATGAAAGAAAAAAAAGAAAATTTCTCTTCTCGATGACCTGAGAAGATGAAATCTAATCAAATCTTTTGTATCCATCTTACTTCTGTCCTTAATATCATGTTGATTGCATCATTGACAGAAAGATTCGAAATGCACTTTTAACTTCTATGAAGATATCGATCAAGATTAGATGAAATTAAAAAATAGAATATTTATTAATCTGCTTCGTTACACAACGCATTCATTATGTCATTCATGTGAATATAAAAGATTAATTATGAATATGAAAGTCTTCATAAGATAATTTAAGAAAAACCTCAATGTTTTATTTTGAGAAGAATTTCATTGTGTGAATTAAATCTAATGATCAACTTAGAAAAAGTTCTTTCCTCGAAAATTACAATGAAGAATGGAAAATCCTTAACTTTTCTTTTTTAAGATTGATTTTCATTTGAGATTTTCTCTGAATAGTTGATTAATATCTGTTAGTGACAAGAATATATAAGAAAATCTTTTCTGAATATTCTTTTCCATTTATTTTCTCATGTCAACAAATCTTCTCAGTGGAATTCAAGTTGGAATGATTCGTATTGGTTTACCAATATGTCTCACAATTGGAAATTTATCATCAATTCTTGGTTTATTTGTATTTTTTCAAAAATCAATGAGAAATAATCCGTGTATTATTTATTTAATCTTTTATTTGATTACAAATTTAATTTATATTGATTTTACAATACTTTCCACGATATTTTCTGGTTATGGAATGGATTTTTCCATCAAATCTCCGATCGCTTGTTGTTTTCGAATGTATTTCAGTTATGTGTTCACTGCAATTCCATCATATTTACTTATAATGGCATCATTAGATCGAATGTTTGTTTCTTCATCGAATGTTCACATGCGTCATCGAAGTAACAAACGTTTTGTTTTATTCATAATTGTATTTCTCATTATATTTTGGTCTTTATTTCATCTTCATGCATTTTTCACTTCGGAAATTCAAATAAATTATGGAAATCGATTGACATGTACAACTCGTTCAGGTATTTCAACAAGTTTTGTGTCATATTATGGATTGATCAATGCCATTATTCCCATCATTTCTATGAGTTTATTTGGAATTGAAACATTGAGAAATATTTCCAAAGCTCACGCACAAATTGGTCAACGATCATTAGATAAACGTCTAATTATTCTTTTAATTATTCAAATAAGTCTTTATATATTTCTTCGTTTACCAATGTCAACTTATTTAATTTATTCTCAAACAACAAAATATATGATTAAATCTTCAAATCAAACTTTAATTGAACAATTTGTATATTTTATCGTGATCTTTTGTCAATTTGTTCAAGTAAATCTTTCGCCATTGATGAATTTAATCAGCAAAAGTTTCCGATTGGAATTGAAACGTACTTTTTATAGAGTTATCCATCAAGAACATCAAATTCACAGATCTTTGGTACAAACCAGAAATGGGAATACAATTCAAATTCAAGAAATGATGACACGTCAAAACAATACACTTGACAAACATCAATTAGTTGTCAGAAACGCTTAAACTAGTTTTTCTTCGTACTTCTTCTTTTTTACAGAAGAAAATGATTTCATTATTTTATTACAAAATAAAAACATCAAAGCATTGGATCCGAATTGATCAAAATAACATTTCTTGAATTTGTATCAATTCATCAAGGGTTTCTCAACGCATTTTCTATAAGATCTAATCGAATTCATCTACCTGATTATCAAATTTAAAATTTCAATCGGAATTTAATGAAATTCGTTCAGCTTTCTCTCGAGAAATTGGTTTTTAAAGATTTTCGTTCAATTTCAAATGATTAATAAACAAAGATGAGCTGATGTCAGATGAAAATCAGAATCGATGATCGTGTTTTTGCAAAATCAATTATATGAAAAATATTCTTTCGTACATTGACAAAATCATGGTGGTTTTTATTTTCGTTAAAATTAATCAATAGATGATGAAATCTGATTCGAAAATATGAGAATTTCGATCATTTTAAATAGGTAGAATCATCATTGAATATGTAGAGTTTCAATTTCCGATTAATTCCAATCATTGACTAATTATATAAATAATGAATATCTTGAACATCATTATCTGAAAAAAGGATTGAGTCGGTTTCTCGAATAATTGTTCCTTCTTATAAACAATGATATTTTTGTCATGATTTTTACCAAGAGTATTCATTTCTTCATCAGACTTTTTAAGGACATTTTCATTTCCGTATAAAATACTAATTATCAATGTCAGAATATTTTCTTCGAAGTTTAATTTCAAGATAACATTATTTATCTTTGATTGTAGAACATTAATAACATACAATGAATATTAACGATTCATTTTACACATTGAACCCATAGTGAAATAAAACATTGGCTTTTTAGAAGAATTTCTCTGATAAAACATGACATGACAAAGTGATATTGTAAATACTGCGTTTTATAATGAAGTTTCAATGTCATCAACATTTCAAAATATGTGACACAAATACTTAACGATAAAAATATTCTCAGTGGAATTCAAGTTGGAATGATTCGTATTGGTTTACCAATATGTCTCATAATTGGGAATTTATCATCAATTCAGATGGAATATTCGTTTCTTTATTGAAGTGAAGAAGTAACAAAAGTATCGTTCTATCACTGATCATTATATATTTTAGTTTTTATTATTTCATTTTCATGAATTTTTCTCTTATAAGATCCAAGTGAATTATTGAACTTATCTTAGTTGTAAAACAATTGTACAAATTTCATCAGATATGATTCATTTAATGATAGAAGATCGTCAATAATCTGTATGAATATATTTGGAATTGAAACATTGAGAGATCTTCATAAAGCTCATCAATCGTTGGATAAACGTCTGTCATTACTCCAATCCAATCTGTTTATTATCATTCATTTTGAAATAACAAAAACAACGACAAAATCTTCTTCATTCGTTTTCACTGAGCAATTTGTGTATTTCTCATCGTGTAATCTTTTGTCAATTTATTCAAATAAGTGTCTCTAAATTTGACTGCAAAAAAACTTTCTCAAATGATAAATTTGTAAAAGAAAGAAGAAAGAATTTAATTGTATATGGAAAATAAGAGTCATTTACCTATTAGAAAACATTTGAATGAACTTTTAACAGAAATTGATTTTCAAAGGAAAACTATGCGAAACGAGTGAATGACATGTGGTGACATCTAATTTTGCTCATAATAGGATTTTCAATGATTGATAAAAAGAAGAGCACATTAAGAAAAAAACATTCGTTCTTTTCTAATGTCTTTCGATGAACATCGCATTACTAAACAATGTTTTTTTAATCGTTTTATCGATTGATTTTGATATTGATGAGAAATGATTTGATTTCTTCTCTTTTGTTTTACATTATCGAAAGTAAGAAAATCAACCATTTATTTTTCGATATTGAAGATAAATATCGATGATTAATTTGTCAATAAAAAACACCATTTAGTATTGTCAAACGACGATTCAGTTTCGATAAAATTGAATAACGAAGCAAAGAAATGAGTTCGAAAAGAGAGAAAAATGTTGGTGAATTTATTGGAACTGCATTTGTTTCGTATTTGGCAACAAATATTGATGATTTGGTTATTTTAATGAACTTTTTTACTGAAGCATCATTATCAAATTCATCATTGAAAATTCAACACATATTTCTTGGTCAATATTTAGGATTTCTTCTTCTATTAGGAATTAGTCTTATTGGATATGGAATATCATATGCTCTACCTGTAGAAATGCTCGGATTTCTTGGTTTTATTCCAATTGTTTTAGGTTTGAAAAGTTTAATCGAAATTATTCGAGAACTTTATAAAAAAAGTGATGAAAATCTCGATGATATTCTTCCAAATGACGACATATCAACAATTGAACTTGAAACAATTCGATATCGTCGTGATACAAATGAAGAAATATCTTCTGAGATTATCAATCAATCATCTGAATTTCCATCAATTGTTAATCCATCATCAAGAAAATCTCATTGGAAAAAGCAACTTCTAAATATTTTCTCTTTTTGTTTTAATATTCAAACATTAAAAATTGCGAGTATAACAATTGCAAATAGTGGTGATAATGTCGCTATTTATACACCTTTATTCGCTCAAGCATCAACTTGGCAAATAGTTGTTTATATGGCGATATTTCTCGTCATGGTCTTTGTTTGGTTAATGTTCTCGTATTTATTTATTAATTTTCGACCAATTTTATCAATTGCACAAGAATATGCAGAATATCTCGTTCCGATTGTTTTTATTGGAATTGGAATTTATATAATCATTACATCGGATTGTTTTCCTTGGTTAGATCGAGCGATTCGAACTAAAAATTTTCAAAATGGTTAAAACTGAACGAGAAAAACTTTTTTTGATGAATGAAAAGAAAGAAAAGAGAGAAAAAGATTTTTTTCTTCATGTCATTTGGATGAGAAATGTTATCAATATCATTTGATCTTTATTATTATGATGATGATGATGAAATAGATGTTTTATGCAGATAGGAATCGATCACCTCGTTTTTATGTCATTTTTTTGAAAAATTTCTCAAATGTTAAATGAAATTTTGCAACTTTTTTCCAAAGTTGTTATTACATTTCTTCTAACAAATATTCAAGATGTTGTCATTTTAATGAATTTCTTTTTGGAAACATCGAAAAAAGAGAGTTTATTACGAAGTGAACATGTAATTCTTGGACAATATCTCGGTTTTAGTACCTTGTTAATCTTAAGTTTACTTGGATATACAATTTCGTATATTTTACCTGTAAAATTATTTGGTTTTCTCGGATTTGTTATTATTGCTTTTGGTTTAAATGGTCTTAAAACATTAATAGAACAAAGACGAAGTGGAAATGAATTGAAATCGGTAAAGAAACACGAAAAGAAACATTTCTCATTCGTATTGATTTTGTTTTTAGATTGAAAATGTCATTTTGAATGAAAATGAAAGTTTTTGTGAAGATTTAAAACGAATTGTAAAAGTAAGTTTAGTAACAATTGCGAATGGAAATGATAATATTTCAATTTATGTTCCAATATTTGTTCAATCAACTGATTGGCAAATCGTTGCGTATGGATTAGGATTTTTATTTATGGTTGGAATTTTATGTTTATTTTCTTATTGTTTTATTCATTTTCCACCGATATTTCAATTCGCTCGAAAATACGCTCAATTCATTAGTCCGTTTGTGTTCATCGCTCTCGGAATTTACATTTTAATTAGTTCACAATGTTTTCCTTGGTTATTGAAACTTATTCGAACAGGACAATGGATCGAATCTTAATCATTTGTTCTCTTCAAAATTGACTAATCAATTATTGAAATATGAACATATATTCATTGACTTCTCTTCGTAAGAAATACGGATTTGGATAGTGAAAGCGATAAAAATAGCTTTTCTTCAAAGCCTGCAGTAAATAAAGTCTTTTCTTGTTACTTATGAAAAACATTTACGAAAAAAAAACCTTTTGGATTATGAATTCGTTCGAAACTCATCGAATGTCAGATACTTTTCAGATTTGTGTTGATTAAAAACGAAATGATTTATTAACACCTTTTTTTCTGATTGATTTCAACTATGTTAAGCTGAGATAATGGAATATTGTTGCTTCTCAGGTCATATGATACTCCGTATACGAGATCCTCTGTATATACTGAACGATCTTTTTTATTTTATCGGAGACTTACAGATGTTTTTCCAACGAACACGAAGAAAAGAACATTCGATAGGCGTGACAGATAACAAGTTGTGCTAAGGCTGTTTCTTTGTCACATCGACATTCGATTATTGGAGAAATTTTTGAGTCAACGCTTTATTCGATGATAAACAATCAGATTACAAGAACGAAAAAGAAGAACGGAAAGAGAAGAAGAGAGACAACGGACAAACTGATCATAAAGCTGGCAGAGAAGAAAAGGAGACACATGATTTATGTCTTGTAGAGAAAAGAAGAACAAAACAGATATTCCGTTATCTTTTCTTTGTTCATTAAAGAAGTGTTAATGATGTTCTTTTATGTTTTATTCGCGTTTTCATTCATATTTTCCGGATTAGCGAATAGTAATTCTACTATAATACCAATGAATTTATATCGATGTGCTATTTACTCGTTGTACTATGATTTTGAAATATTATCTTAGTTGTTTAAGTACCTATTTCGATGAATATCAGGAATGTTTCTTGATTGGAACAATTCTAAAAGTTTCACTCTACTTGTTCATGCGCCAATGCCGAAATTGACTCAAGGTTTTTTCTAAAACATTTTGAATACGTCAAGAATAACTCGTTGACGATCTGTGAAGAAGAAGATTGACTCGTTCGTCTATTCGCTATATGAAATCAAATCCTGTAGTATAACGACGATCATATTATAGAGTTATTTTCTGAATAGGGAAAGAAGTGAAAATTGTCCAAGTCCGTACACAGGGTCGAACACACTTTCAATGATATTGTTCTTTCAATAGTATGTGACATTTATATCGAATCATCATAAAATACTTTTCACTATTATCTTATTTAGACATCTACAGCAGTATTTTTATTCTTTTATAATGACTCGAGACAATTGTTTTTTATCATACAGAAAAAGCGCTTTCGATAACAAATGTATATTAATAAAGTTGTTATTGATTATTAACCCAATGCAAACGTTGCGGCAATTTCGTCGCTTGTTCGTGCAAATGGATAAAACCATAATTCATCGATACAACCATTAAAACTTAAATTAGAGCTTGGAGAGTAAAGAGCAACATTTCCAATTTCCAGTCGATATGGTACTGCTTGAGTAGGCCCATGAGAAGTTCCCGATGTATCAAGAACTCCATTAATATATAAAGATACTCTTGTTTCTGTTAGATTATAAACAGACGCGATATGAAACCAAGTATTATTCGATAATATTCGACTACCTATTTGTGTGTCTGAATAGAAAAGTGTACCCAAAATGGCATTACCACTGATCGATGTTCTCATACAAGAACGAGTAGCTAAACTTGAACATTGACCAAAAATGACATGTTCAATTCCATCACGAATTCGTGTTGGATAAATCCATGCTTCTATTGAATATGAAATTGAACGTAAGTCAATCAACGGTGTCTGATTTATTACAACAGATTGTTGAAGTGCATAGGATAAATTTACACACTTTCCACATCCATTTCGACCCAAACTGTATGATAATGGACCATTTCGAGCAGTTCCATTGTAAATACGAAATTTATCATTGAGATCATTCTGAAAATACCAACCCATTGTTGGTGCTAGAACAAAATGACTTCTAAATATCAAAAGAAACAAAATAGAAAAAGAGTTAACTTTACATCGTCCCGTTGGAAATATTTCTGCATTGACACATGAACTAGACGTCATGGGTAATGTCGATTGTACAGTTGTCATTGATATAATACTGGACTCTTGTGAAGTCACTGCTGCACTTGTTGATGTTGAGATCAATTCATTCGAAGTGATGGAAATAGGAATATCAGTTGTTGTTTTAGTGGATTCTATCGATACAGATAAACAGAGAAAATGACAAATTCTACATAAGGAGATCTTTACAAATGTCCTTAAATTGTTCATCGCACAAGAAATTCTTTTACTTAATGTAATTTGTTGAGTTATTGTGCATTTTAACAAATCAAAATAATTTAAGAAAAGAAGTTAAACAATGTTCAGACTTTAGTGTTAATATGGAAAAAACTAAACTTTTCAAATGTCGAAATTTTGACAAACTATGCACATGTTATTCCTTTCTAAACTATAATTTCTTATTATTCATTGATTATTTCATTTGATTAATTTCAATCTTTTCTCTACTTACTATTAACGACAAGTGAATTATCAATAATAACCATAGTGACAACATCATTTTGTGCAATAAGATTACCATATTCATATGGAGTATCATTAAATAAATGACATTGATCAATTGATTGATAAAAACTCATTGTACGACATGTCATTGTTAAACATATAGATTGACAATGAAGTAAATCTCTTACGTATATGACATTCGACGATGAACAATATGGACTAATACATTGAAATTTCACATTATCAATTCGAGACATATATTGGGAACGAATATTTTGTGAAATTAATTGACCAGTTATACAAAAGATGAACAATAGCATTTGATACAACATCATTGTTGCTCATTGAAAGTCAACAAAATAAGAACTAAAAGCATTTCTTTCTTTTTTTAAACATTTCCTCGACAAAAGTCATCTTTTCAATTATTATAAATGCGATGAATGGAAGATGGATTTTACACGATGAACTTTATATGGGTATAAATAGTTGACGGGAAAATATTTTGAAAAGAAACTGATTTCATTATGAAATTGATTTACAGTTGTATACGGAGTAAAACGAATTCGGATTCGATAATTGATAAAGATCGTTCAAGAAAATTCGATTTGACGTCTTTGTTATTTTCGGAGGAAAAAGTCAAATTTTGAAAACGTCAGGAATATTTAATAATTAATTCATGGGAAGGAAAAGGTTCTACGTATCAGTAAATGACTTTCAATTTAATAAGGAAAGAATAAAAATAAAAACAAATGGTAAAAAGTTCAACCCTCGTTTCTGTTTCAATAAAAACATGATTATTTAGATTTGATCTGTTTTTGCAAACTTCATTTTTCGTGCTAACTACTTTGTCTAGCTTCACACTGATACATACTTTATCATCCTAATAAACGAGAAAACAATATCATCAATATTCGATTTACTCGTGGAATCATTGCAATTGAAATGAACAATTTATGTGTTGATCGATCATTTTTGAAAGAGATTAGATGTCGCTGATTGTCAACTATTGACATAATTATTTACAAAAAGTAAAATTTCATTTCTTTTCTTGAAGAAAAAACATGAAAATGACTTCATCAATCGAAAGATTATCAATTGAATTAATTTATCGAATTTTATCTCATATTGATGATGTGACAATTGTTTTATCTTGTCGAAATGTTTGTCAAAGATTAAATTCAATAATTGAAACATATGAAAGATATCGAGTAAAGTTTTCTCTTTCGAAATTCTTCGATTTTATTTTTCTATTTTAATTTAAATAGAAATTGAATTTTATTCATTTGACATCGAATCGAATTTCATCAAATTGTCTTCTTTGTTTGGGAAATATTTTACGAAGAAATCAAGTGAAATGGACTTCTTTTTATGTTTCACTCATTTTCTTTTTATGAAAAGGTTTTAAAAATATTGAAAATCGATTGTGTTCAATTGAATACACAAGCTGAACAAGATTTATTCGAAGAATTATTAAAAAATCAAGTAAAATCTTTGTAAATTCGATGAAAATCGCATCAAATTGTCATATTTAGACTTTAACAACACTTTATCTTTGTTGGAATCGAATAAGTTCTCAAGGAATTCAAAGTTTAGCAAATGTTATCTTACATAATCAAGTAAATATCATTTCATTTTCAAATTTTTCATCAAAATTACCGTGAAATTAGACACTTATCGAACTTCATATCGAAGGAAATCATCTCGATTCTGAAGGAATTAAACATTTGAGTTCTTCTCTTCAATTAAATCAAGTAAATCAACAACTAATCCAATGTTGATTTCATTCGATTGATTTGAATAGACACTCACAATTCTTCATTTGAAATTTAATCAAATTGGTTCTCAAAATATTAAAGATTTGGCGAAATCTTTGGAAAAGAATCAAGTAGAACAATTTGTGTGTTTTTTTTGAAAAATCTTTGAAAATTTTCTTTAGACTTTGATAAAATTGTATTTGGGATTTAATAAATTAGGATATGAAGGATCGAATTACTTAACGAATTGTCTTGGAAATAATCGAGTAAATTTTCGAATTACTTTTCTTATTTGAATTGATTTTCTTATTAAAATAGACAATAAAAATAATGAATTTAGAAAATAATCAAATCAGCGATCGAGGAATCGAATATTTTCATGATTTTCTTCAATTAAATCAAACATTGACAACACTTGATCTTTCTCTTAATGATATTGGAGTTAAAGGAGCAAAGTCTCTTTCCAATATACTTTTCCAAAACAAAACAATAACAACATTAAATCTAAATTTCAATCATATCGGTGTCCAAGGAATTCAATCAATTGCAATGTCTCTCAGCAAAAACCAAGTCTCTTTTTCTCCACGTTTCTCACAAGTTTCACATTTCATTCTCTTCAAAGACACTTTTAACATTACAATTGAAACATAATCAAATATTCGATCAAGGTACTTTTTTCATTGCTGATGCTTTAATGAAAAATCATGTAAATATTCTTTTGTTTTATTCGAATATTTATCGATTTTGTGAATATAAGACACTCACTGTACTTCATCTCGAAGAAAATTCTATTGGAATCGAAGGTGCACAATATTTAGCAAATGCTTTGAAACGAAATCAAGTAAAATCTTCATTTCTCTTTCTCATCCGCATTAAAATTCTTATAGACATTAAGTGAACTTCATCTTGGAATGAATTCAATTGAGTTTCAAGGAGTAAAATACTTTGTCAATGCTCTTTTAATCAATCAAGTTCTGCTATATCAGGTTTTTTCTCTCGGAAAATCAAATAGAATTATTTTGTAGACTTTGAAAGAATTGTATTTCGAAAAGAATAACATTGGTTTGAAAGGAATTCAAGCATTTGCAGAACTTTTACGAAAGAATCAAGTGATAGTTCCAATTAATCTGATGTATTTCGAGATATTTTTATATTTGAATAGACATTAAAGACACTTGATTTGTCGAATAATGGAATAACTGATCGAGGAATTGAATGTTTGATTTCTATGCTTGCAGAAAATCAAGTAAATATTCTCTTTTCAAGATTTGTCAATCATCACATGATTTTTCGATCTTCATAGGCATTGACAACACTAAATCTTCGATCAAACTACATCACTGTTCATGGAGCGATGCATTTTTTTCAAAATCTACGAGATAATAATGTAAATGTTTCTTTCTTCGTTTGCTTCTTCTTATATTTTTCTTTTTAGATTTTAAATACAATTGATCTTTCTGATAATCGAATCGTTACTGATGGTCATGAACATCTTTTAAGTGTTTATGAAAATACCCGAAATCTTAATGTTATATTTTAATTTTGATATTTATCGTCAATATTTTTTCTAAAACTCAAAAATAGACCAGAAAAAATAACATATTTGATTTTCTTGAAATTCTTCACAGTTTCAAAGTACATTTCTACATCGTATCCTATGGAAAATAAAAACGATAAAACATGGACTTATTACTAATCTATGTCTTCATCATGACTCACATTCCGTATTCATTTTTATTTGAAATTATACTCATTCGTAAACTATACTCTATTAATATGATGGGTGTGAGAGTGTTTGTATTATCTTTTATTTCTCATTCTCACTCTAAGTGCCATAAATTACATAAATGGTTAGAAATGGAATTTAAAATATTTTCATCTGATGTTTATTTTAATAAATACAAAAGAATAAATATTTCCAAAATCTATATTTGAAATATCTTTTTTCATTAAAATTATTTATTCTTTTTAAAAATAAATTCTACAAAATATTTTGTCTTACTATTCTATGGTACAAGAACACCTACTGATAAAAGTAGAACGACCTTTGACATAATAAGTGATCGATTTCTTTTCTCCAATGATTCGTACTTTGTAACGACTCAGTAAATTTATAATTAATAAATAATCGAGTTGTAATTGAGGATAGTATCTTCAAATCATCCATATCATTCACATCACTAAAATCATACAGAATCTTTTGTTTTGTATGCAAACCACGCGTAAGAATAATTCCATGCTTCAATGATTTCTCGTCTGTATATAAACACGTTCTAAACTTTGTAAGCCTTATCTATATACACTTCTATTAATTAAACAAAATCAACAGCAACAAACAAACATGTACAACATGGGTTTTGGTCAAAACATGAATCCTTGCTGTGGTCCTCCAGCTCCAGTTTGTCCTCCTCCTGTTCAAATGTGTCCTCCTCCTGTTCCAATGTGCCCTCCTCCTGTCCCAATGTGTCCTCCTCCTGTTCAAATGTGCCCTCCAGCTCCAGTTTATCTCCCTCCTGTTCCAATGTGTCCTCCACCACAACCAGTATATGTTCCAGTTTGTCCCCCTCCTGTTCCAGTTTGTCCCCCTCCGGTTCCAGTTTGTCCTCCACCACAACCAGTATATGTCCCAGTTTGCTGCTGTGTTGAACAAATCTGCTGCGATCCTTGTTTAGGACCACGTCGTGTTACTCAAGTTATTCAAACGATGGTTCGAGTACAATAAATGCTCACAGTTTTCTAGAAGAATTTAATATGATATTCTCAATAAACAAGACTGAAAGTTGATTAGATTGTGTTTCTTAACTTACAAAACATATAGAAATGATCTTGACCAATACATGATTTTCGAGAAGTACCCAGACGAACAAAATCGATAAAAAAAAGCGTTTTTACGCATAAGAAATTAAAATACATATTTTAACGTGTTATTACTTATGAAAATGTGTGGTTTTGACGTCATCGAAACGGCGTGAAATAGGTTTTGTCTGTCTGAGTTGATGCAAACATGATTTACACTCGTATCCTCCTACATTACCACAGCAGCGGGCGGAAATATTTTGTTTATGATATGTGAAAAGTGTATAGAGAAAGATATTGATTTCGTATCGTCTTTCCATTTAATTGTTTGATAAAAACAACAGAATTCTTTATATGAATGAAGAAATACATATCTGTGATCTATTTGAAAATTTTGTAAGTTTTTGTTTTTAAATATCCGTATGACTCCATTCACTAAAACCAAAACCATTAAGATCTTCTTCTAAAACGATCCATGTTTGATTTTGTTTTTCATAAAGAACAACTTGATAAAAAGAAATTTGTTCGAAAACTTTTAAACCCAAACCTCTTCCACCTGGATTATTATCACTAACTTTTGCTTTGTAATCAATATCGATTTTATATTGTTGATTAAAAGCTTCAATTTGATTGTGAATCGAATATTTTCTTCCATCAACAATTTGCCATTCTAATGGTTTCAAATGAAATTGATCTTCACAAAGAGTTCCAATTTTAATTCGTAAATTTCTCNATGTCTATAAAATTGTATTTGGGATTTAATAAATTAGGATATGAAGGATCGAAGTACTTAACGAATTGTCTTGGAAATAATCGAGTAAATCTTCGAATTAGTTTTCTTATTTAAATTGATTTTCTTATTAAAATAGACAATAAAATTAATGAATTTAGAAAATAATCAAATCAGTGATCGAGGAATCGAATATTTTCATGATTTTCTTCAATTAAATCAAACATTGACAACACTTGATCTTTCTCTTAATGATATTGGAGTTAAAGGAGCAAAATCTCTTTCAAATATACTTTTCCAAAACAAAACAATAACAACATTAAATCTAAATTTTAATCATATCGGTGTCCAAGGAATTCAATCAATTGCAATGTCTCTCAGCAAAAATCAAGTCTCTTGTTTTTTCACTTTTCTTACACTTTTCAGATTTAATTCTCTTCAAAGACACTTTTAACATTACAATTGAAACATAATCAAATATTCGATCAAGGTACATTTTTCATTGCCGATGCTTTAATGAAAAATCATGTAAATATTCTTTTGTTTTATTCAAATATTTGTCGATTTTGTGAATATTAGACACTCACTGTACTTCATCTCGAAGAAAATTCTATTGGAATCGAAGGTGCACAATATTTAGCAAATGCTTTAAAACAAAATCAAGTAAAATCTTCATTTCTCTTTCTCATCTATATTAAAATTCTTATAGACATTAATTGAACTTCATCTTGGAATGAATTCAATTGAATTTCAAGGAGTAAAATACTTTGTTAAAGCTCTTTTAATCAATCAAGTTATACTATATGATGTTTTTTTTTCTCTCGAAAAATCAAATAGGATTATTTTGTAGACATTGAAAGAATTATATTTCGAAAAGAATAACATTGGTTTGAAAGGAATTCAAGCATTTACAGAACTTTTACGAAAGAATCAAGTGATAGTTTCAGGAATCTGATGTATTTAGAAATATTTTTATATTTGAATAGACATTAAGTACACTTGATTTGTCTAATAATGGAATAACTGATCGAGGAATTGAATGTTTGATTTCTATGCTTGCAGAAAATCAAGTAAATATTCTCTTTTCAAGATTTATTAATCATCACACGGTTTTTCGATCTTCATAGGCATTAACAACACTAAATCTTCGATCAAACTACATTACTGTTCATGGAGCAATGCATTTTTTTCAAAATTTACGAGATAATTATGTAAATGTTTCTTTTTTTCTTTTGGTTCTTCTTATATTTTTGTTTTTAGGTTTTGAATACAATTGATCTTTCTGATAATCGAATCGTTACCGATGGCCATGAACATTTTTTAAGTGTTTACGAAAATATTCGAAATCTTAATGTTATATTTTAATTTCAATTTTTATCATCAATATTTTTTCTAAAACTCAAAAATAAATCATAAAGAATAATACATTTGATTTTCTTGAAATTCTTCATAGTGAAAATTTGAGATTTTCAAAGTACATTTCTACATCGTATTCTATGAAAAACAAAAATAATTAAACATAGATTTATTTTTAGTCCATGTTTCAATCATGACTCACGCCTTCTATTTATTGTAATTTTAGATTATATTCATTCGTAAACTATACACATCAATATGATGAGTGTAGGAGTATTTGTATTACCTTTTATTTCTCATTTTCACTCTGAGTGTCATAAATTAGATAAATAGTTATAAATGATATAGAAAATATTTTCATCTGATGTTTATTTTAATAAATATAAAAGAATAAATATTTCGATAATCTATGTTTGAAATATCTTTTTCATCAAAATTATTTATTCTTTTTAAAAATAAATTCTACAAAATGTTGTCTTACTATACTATGGTGCAAGAACATCAATTGATAAAAGTAGAACGGCCTTTAACATAATAAGTGTTTGATTTCTTTTCTCTGATGACTTGTACATAATAATGAATCAGTAAATTCATAATTAATAAATAATCAATTCTTACACAATCGACTTGTAATTAAGGATAGTAGCTTGAAATCACCCACATCATTCACGTCACTAAAATTATGCAAGATGTTTTGTTTTATACGCAAACCACCCATGAGTATAATTCAATGCTTCAATGATTTCTTGTCTTTATATAAACACGTTCTAAACTTTGTAAGTCTCATCTGTACACACTTCTATTCATTAAACAAAATCAACAACAACAAATAAAAATGCACAACATGGCTTTCGGTCAAAACATGAATCCTTGCTGTCGTCCCCCTGTTCCAGTTTGTCCTCCCGCTCCAGTTTGTCCCCCTCCTGTTCCAGTTTGTCCTCCACCACAACCAGTATGTGTTCCAGTTTGCTGCTGTGTTGAACGAATCTGCTGCGATCCTTGTTTAGGACCACGTCGAGTTACTCAATGTTTTCAAACGATGGTTCGAGTACGATAAATGTTCGCGGTTTTTTAGAAGAATTTTTTCCGATATTCTCAATAAACAAGACTTAAAATTGATTAGATTGTCTTTCGTAACTTATAAAATATATAGAAATGATCTTGATCAATACATGATTTTCGAGATGTACCCACACAAACAAAATCGATAAAAAAATGCATTTTTACGCATGCGCAAGCGCGTTAAAATATCGTGTAATACCTCAACAGGAGAAAATCGATTTTCAATGTTCGAATACTAATAGAAATATTTTTTCCCAAAACAGGCCTTTTTTTTCAACGTTAAGATTCATATTTTAACGTGTTATTACTTATGGAAATGTGTGGTTTTGACGTCATCGAAACGCCGTAAAAGAAGTTTTGTCTGTCTGGGTTGATGCAAACATGATTTACACTCGTATCCTCCCACATTACCACAGTAGTGGGCGGAAATATTTTGTTTATGATATCTGAAAAAGTGTAATTACAGAGTAAAATATTCATTTCGTGTCGTCTTTCCTTTTATTTGTCCAATAAAAACAACAGCATTCTTTATATAAACGAAGAAATACGTATCTGTCATCTATTTGAAAATTTTGCAAGTTTTTTTTTTAAATATCCGCATGACTCCATTCACTAAAACCAAAACCATTAAGATCTTCTTCTAAAACTACCCATGTTTGATTTTGTTTTTCATAAAGAATAACTTGATAAAAAGAAATTTGTTCAAAAACTTTTAAACCCAAACCTCTTCCGCCTGGATTATTATCACTAACTTTTGCTTTGTAATCAATATCGATTTTATATTGTTGATTAAAAGCTTCAATTTGATTGTGAATTGAATATTTTCTTCCATCAACAATTTGCCATTCTAATGGTTTCAAATGAAATTGATCTTCACAAAGAGTTCCAATTTTAATTCGTAAATTTCTCCAACGAATAAAAATATATCCAATATAAATATCTTCAGTTAGTGGAATATGATAACTACCTAAAACTAATGAAAATTGTTTGTCAACACGATGAAATTGTGCCCAAATCCAATTAAAAAGATTCGTTGGCCAAGCTCCATAATTATGATCATGATAAGCAGTTGTATTAATTGAATAAGTTCTATTTTCATATTGAATTGTTCCAAATACAAAAGCACTTGGCATATAAGATATCCAATCGAGTTCAAGTAATTCAGGTATATCTAATCCTTGTTGACATGGATAAGACATTTGTTGAAAAGATAAATTCCAATTGATTTGATTATCTAAAGATTTTCCTCTTAATTCATATGTTGTTGGATTTAAAACTTTAAGGAAATTGGAATTTCCAATCGATACAGTTGCATTTTCTTTATAAGCAGAGAATTGTGAATATTCATAAGAATCTAAAATATTTATTAAATTGTTTTTCGAATTGTTTTTTGTTGATGTCCATAACATTCCAGCAATACCAGCCATTTGTAAATGAAATGTTTTCGCTGGATCTGCAACACTATAACCAACACAAAAGCCAATATCAATTTTTGGATCATATAATGCAAAGAACCACCATTCTCGATATAAAACAGAAATTAATGGATCTTTTTTGTGAAGATATCGATAACCATCACTTTCCATATTATACGTTTCATTATCTGGACAGTTAATTGATGCATTTGAAATAAATATCAATGAAAAAAAGAATATTAAAAGATCAACCAACATACTCAAAGTTCTTTTATTTAATATAAAAATACTTTCACTGTTTATATACAAACAGAGATAACACAAAAGAAATGTTTTCAAATTATCATATTTATATCAACAATGAAAAAGAAGATTACACTTATTATTAGGTTCTTCTCTTCATGTTAACTTTTCATTTTATTTGTGAAATAATTAATTGTAAAACCTTTTATTACACAAAATTTTCCAAAAGGATAAAATGAAATCTTTTATTTAATTATCAGATAAACATTATCAATGTTCTCTATTGGAAAAAAAGTTGTCTTAATAGATTAAACTGACGTCATTTTAATATAAATTTATATTTAAAAGAGAAAAACGAAAATCTTTGTTTGACAACCATCTCACAAAAAGAAAAGATAAAGTCTTTTCAAATCATCGGACTTTTATATTGAAATAAGAAAAAGATGAATTATAGCGAAGAATATTCCAGGACTTTCTGCATTTCGTTATTGAAATTCTTTTGCACAATCTCAATTAACTATGATCGTAAAAGTTTGTTTTGTGAAGAGAAAACTATTGAATATAAATCCATTTCACATTCTTTTCTAAGATTATTTTCATGTAAAAGAAACAAAAACGAAATCGAAGTCAATTTTTTGTTCAAAATCTCTTTTTTCATTCTTTTCTCTTCTGTGGTCTTTTTCCGAAAAAAAAGTTCCAATCAACAATTCTACTGAAACAGATCGAAAACATAATTCCCAAAGTGTTTAATTTCTTGTAAAGATTCTTTGTCAATCGAATTGTTCAGTAGAAAAACAATTCTATCGTTTATTCCAATTCTTGATGAAAATCAATTCTTGAAAGTCTACGTATTTAATACAACATTGTCATTGATCTAATAAAACACGAACAAAATCAAGAGAAATTTTGTTAAAGCAAAAAATTCTATTTTTCAGATTGATTTTCTTTTATTCGGATAAATCAATTTCCGACGAACACCATCATTTCTGTTGTTGAATACTTTGTCCATATGTCAGACTATGTGGATAATTCACAGGAATCATCTTATAGGGAAAATACCGATAAGAACTTCTCAGAGTTGTATTCAACAGAACGAAAGAAACACATATGATTATATTCAGAGAGAAGAAGCAGGGAAAAGACTCATATCAGATTAGATAAATTTCTCACAAACGATAAGGAATTAAGAGAAATTAATGGAAAACGAAGGCTTTTCCCCTACATAAGATGTTGGAATATCTTTTATAGATGATACATAATAACACATAGTTTTGTTTGAGTATTTGTATCTTCTTAGTCGAGTGTTAAGTCAAAACATTGTGAATGTCCAAAACTTCAAATAAGGAATCAATAAATTCGAAACCAGTAACATGTACAGATGGTGTATTTTCAACGACAAAAAATTCGATAACGTATGAATACAATACATGTCAAGGTATTGATGAATGTGATATTCAAAAATTATCGTGTCGAACCAAAGATCAAGATTTGAAGAAACTGTTCAAATCAACATTATTTATTGGTTCTGATGGTTCATCAGTTGTTGATTGCAAATTGCCGAGAAAAACTGGATTGAAAAAAGTCTTTTTGATTTACAAAAAACAAAAAGGCAAATATTATATTGTTTATGGTCGAGCAACACAAACGAAAGGAACTCATTGGGGAAGAGTTGGTATTTTCACAGGAATTGGTGCTTTTACTGGAGGAGCAATCAGTGGAACACTTCTCTTCATTCCAGGTATTAACATAGCAGTAGCTCCGTTTATTTTAGGAGGAGTTCTTATTGGTTTAAGTGTTGGTGGTGTCAGTGCTCGTGCAACAATTAAAACTAAACAACAAATTCATTTCAATGATGTTATGCGACATATCAAAGACGAAATAGCAAATGGAAAACATTCACAATTGATTAATCTTTAAATAATTACATAATCATATCACATCGAGTTATAAGAACTTTTTTTTTCTTATTCAAGAGAACCATAGTTTTTTACCTGTATCTATGTACACATTCAATCTATTTTCTAATAGAAAGTTGTTGTTTGACATACGCGTAGTATTTCTTTTTGAAAATAACACAAAAGGTGTAAGTATAGTTACATATTAGTAGAACATCGCTCCCATCAGCCAACCGTACGGATTGGTCTCATTTATCTTTTGCATTTCTATTAGTTGTGTTTCTTATCATCACATACCGTTTGTACTAATCAAATAAAGAGTAAAGCGGTAAAACAGGTAGATACGTAGTAACAGATTCTAACATGTGACCACTTGGAATAAAAAAGTATAGTCTGAAAGTATAAAGCCTTTGTATGTATGCAGTGATAAGATATTTTTTTTATCATGTCTTCTACTGTTGCACGTGTGGAAAGTCCAGATGGAGATGTCGAGTCAAGTTTAACAAATAATGATCCCGCTTTGGCGGACGCTTTTCCAGAAGAACTAGCCAGTTGGCATGGGTGGGTAGACATTTTTCCAAATGTAGGATCAATATTAATATCGAGAGTTATGCGTGTATACACAAAGACCATATGCGTACTGAAAATTCTGAATTCAATAGAAACAGAAATATTTTCTAAACTATTTTTATCAGGGTGTTATAAATTATCGTTTTTCGATTACAGGTATATCGAATGGCAAAATTATCCTGAACGTCGAAAGAAAGCACATGACATCTTGGCGGCTTACAAGGACAAGTTTACACCGATTCCTGAATTTCAAGTAATATTTGTGACCAGGTTCTCGGATTTAGTGGGAGAAATTCTTTTATAGCTCAAACCATTGCCTGAAACGAATCCAATTCTAGTTGGGCATCGATGGAAAGAGTAAGTTTGTGTATATTTATGAGAAGCAGATTTCCTCAGTAAGGATTAAAGTTCAAAAGGCATCGAAGATAGTTGTCTATGACGCTACTAGACTTGAGAATAATTTTTCAAAATGACTGATAGATATCATGCTGTGCTCGGTCCAACACTCAAAGATATACCGGCTGAATCATGGGCACTCGTACAAAAAGAAAAGGCAGCTGACATGGTTCACGTACTCGATTTCCCGTACAATGGAGAACCGCCACGGGATAAACTGATGCAGGGTAAAATAACACCAAACAAAGTATATTGTGTTTTGATCATGTAGATATCATGTTGATCTATTGACTATTCTAGTACCATTTCGTGCGTAATCATGGAGGCATTCCAACGATTGACAAAGCTGCTTTCAGACTAAATATCGGTGGGTTGGTAAACAAGCCGCAAACATTGACATTGGCTGATCTTCAAGATCCAAACAAATTCGAACCCGTCGAAGTAACGGTCACTCTGCAAGTATGTCAAACTGCGAGTTCGTCATACGACATCTACAGAATTTCGTGTTAATATTCTTTCTTTCGATCGTTAGTGTTCGGGTACGCGTCGTATCGAACAGATTCATGAATATCCTGGAGATGGCGACGAATTGATTAACGCACCATGGGGCGAAGGAGCCATTGGTACAGCTCGTTATCGCGGAGTGTCTCTTAAGAAAGTCCTGAAATATTGTGGTGGCATGAAAGATAATGCTCGTCATATAGAATTCCTAGGCGCCGATACGTATTTCAAGAAACTAGAAGTATACAACTATGCTGTTAGTGTGCCTCGCCGAAAAGTAGAAGCAGTTAATGAAGTTCTACTCGCATGGGAAATGAATGGTGAACCATTACCGGCTATTCATGGAGCCCCACTTCGCATGGTTGTCACAGGTTTCATCGGAGCAAGATCATGTAAGTGGGTGTATCAAATCAATGTTCTCGATGAACCATCGCATGGTCCTGTACAACGAAAAGAGTATCTCTACTACGGACCTCAAACAGGAAAACAGAATGTTCAGTTTTCTAATGGATTTTCTATTCAAGAAATGCCTGTTTCTTCGGCCATCATGACTCCGAAGGACAGGGAGGTCGTCGTGCATCGAGGCCAGATTGAAATCACTGGATGGGCATATTCAGGTGGTGGAAGATGGATAGAAAGAGTTGATGTATCAGCTGACGGTGGACATATCTGGTAGGATAAGATTCTCTTTGTAGATTGAATCATATTAATTTCTTCTTAGGTATCAATGCAAACCTGATGACATGACAGAAAAGTAAGTAAATGTTGTCTTAATCTACGTAACACGTTCATCGATCTTGTTCTGTCAGACACTATCATGCTTGGCGATTGTGGAAAATTACTTTACCCTTGCACGCCGAAGGTTGGCTTGAATTGTGTGTTCGAGCTTTTGATAATGCCTGTAATACGCAACCTACATTTGTACGCAGTACCTGGAATTGGGATTTGCATGTGACAAGTTCGGCTCATCGCATCAAAATTTATTCGGTGAATGCATCACATGAAGATACTGCTCGACGACTACGTGAATTGAAAGAAAACGGCGATTCTCTCGAACCAATTACTCGTCCACTCATGTTTCATATCGAAAGCGATGAACACTACAATGAAATGGTTAAAAAACATCCACGTGAACCTGAAGAATAAGACTAATCGATAAATAAGCAAAAACTGTTCTTTGAAGTTTAAAACGAAGTTAAAGTCGAATCTGGTGGTTGATTTTCTTTATATACCTGTAGAATCTAACTGATTTTTCTTCATTGATTATACTTTTATCTACAACGAAAAGAAAGTGAATAAAAAAGAATGATGATCACTCGTATGATATCTTTACTGCGCTTAGTTGTATCTTGTTTTTAGCTATACACAATAGGAGACAGAATTCTTGTATTGGCGCATCATAGCCATCGTAAGATTCTCATTAAACTGATAAATGCGATAAATGATGACTTTTTTCCGAGATAGGGCGAAGGTGTGACTCGTCAGTATCAACCATCACCCTAATTCTACTCGAAATATCCTTAATACCATACTAGTTGAATATTGATTAAATAGTTTAGGAAAATAGAGCTTCATTCTACGAAAAAAAAGAATTTTTTTCTCGATTACGTAATAAAGAGATAACGTACCACCGCCATTACTTTTGATTTTGGACATACCTGAGTAAATTAACTCTAAAAGTCCATTTGATGTAGCGTAGCTTTTATTTTCACCTGTATGAGTTATAAATCTTGCATGTGATTTTTCTATACGTGCATCACCAAGTATAACAATAAGACAATGAAATATACGTCATATAAAAATTTTCTACATTTATATTTTCTTTTGTAACTATAAAAAGAAAGGATCATAATATTAAAACGTACATAAGTACAATGATGCATAATATGGACTTGAAATTTATATCACTCGCGTTTATTTCATTATTTTATGTTTATGGATCTCCCATTGAATTACACTCTAACTCAATCAATACGCTTAGTACAGTTTTAAATGATATCATTCAAGGTAATGTGGCAAATATACAAACAGCTGATCAAATACTCAATGCATTGCTATTGGCAATAGGCAATACTCTCTCACCTCCATCGACAAGGGAACAAATTATTGATGCAGCTGCTAATGCATCAAATGCAAAAACAAATTCGTCACCACCTAATCTCATAGAATATGCTGTGAATTTGCTTATTTTAGGTATAGATCCAAATAATGTTCATACGAACATTGCTTCTTTAACGACATTCAATAGTATGACAAATAACAATCCTCATTTATTGAATGTAATCAAAGCTGAAGATCCACAATTCTCAGCGGATGAAAATATTCTTCGAGCCGCAATGTATTTTCCCACTACATTCAATATATTGAATAGCTCAGATATCCCTGCAATCATCATGATCCCTGCGACTGCCATTCCGGGTGGTCAATCATGGGCTTCAAATTATGCTAAAAAGTTTGCTGAAGAAAAAATTGCTAATCCTATGTGGCTCAACATACCCTCATTTACTCTCCAAGATGCACAAATTTCTGCTGAATATGTGGCATATGCTATTAATTATGTTTCACAATATACAGGAAATGGTAACGTATCAGTGATTGCTTGGAGTCAGGGCACGGTGAATACTCAATGGGCTTTAAAATATTTTCGTTCGACACGAAAAATAGTTTCAGATTTTATTGCAATTTCACCAGATTTTCGCGGCACAGTTCTAGCTGAAGTCCTATGTCCGAAATTCCCACGGCTTCCTTGTGCACCCAGTATTTTACAACAAATTGATAGCTCAACTTTTATAAAAGTATTGAGACAAAACGGAGGTGACTCTGAAATTGTACCCACCACCACCGTATACAGCGCTACTGATGAAGTCGTACAACCTCAAAGTGGACCACAAGCATCGGGACTTCTTTTGAATGCAAGTAATAATCTCATTCAAGATATTTGTCCTTTACAACCAGCAGGTTTAATATATACGCATGAAGGAATGTTATATAATCCACTAGGATACGCTTTAGCTGTCGATGCGCTCACACATGAAGGACATGCCGATGTAAATAGAATGCTAAGACAGAATCCTGCTATCTGTCTGTTACTAACTACACCTGGTTTAACTGTCGAGGATGTACTAATAGCTGAAACTACAATTATTACTTTTGCACTCAATATTATCACCTATTCTCCAAAGCAATTTAATGAACCATCTATTAAAAAATATGCTTTATCTAATGCTAATTGACATTTATATTTTCATTCCATGCCAGTTTTTTTCATTTCCGTGTTCTTTTACTTTATTAAATATACAAGGACACATAAAATAAACTAAGCTCTTCTTTGTGGTATATTTGAAATAACTGTTAAGCTTATAAGGGAGCCATCTAAGATGATACCTCCCGTTTGAGCTAATATTTTGTTCGCAGGTATAGCTCACAATATGAGTCATCATCTTGAAACGGTTATTTCCCATATACCCTGTTTTTGTTGAAGTAATGTAATTATAAGATATGGGAGGACTCTACCTTTGAGTTCCCTCCGAACAATATCGAAACGACTTATTTTCCAACTGAGTTTTGAAATTTTGTCTAGATGAAGTTGTCAAGATAAGTTGTTCATTTTACGAATTCTTTAGTTATAAACGAAAGTGCTATTGTATTACCCTTTATATGTGTTTACACGATAACTCTCGGTAGAAGAATCAAATTGAGCTGAAATTATCAACATGGTGTCATCTCATCAATATCTCAGTCCAGTCTGAAGATGATTTCAGTCAGTTGTGATATAGCTGACTTGAGAGTGAAATTTTCTCCAGCCTTTACATATACAATTCAATGCCTGCACACTTTTTCATGATAAGGATCTGTTGAATGATCTGAGTGTATTTCACCCGGATGACCTGTCTATTAGTCATAACTCTTTCCTGTAGGTACAGTTGTCAAACTTGGTAAGATGAGTTTCGGTTCAGTGAAAGGTGAAGGGAAACCACGAGGGTCAGCGTGACCCGAATCATCACTCTGTTTGTTAGCGCCAAGGAAATCATTCTAGATGTGTTGGATGCTGTAAAATGCAGATATCCATTCACAAACAAGTCTTATCTTAATTATATTTGAACTTTAATTTAACATAAAGAAAGTACTAATAAAATATTACTAAGAACAGATTTGAAACATCTCATCGTTATCAAATATTAACAGAAATGATCAGGCTTCTAGAGTCAGTCAATGTTCTTCATCCGTTTATTCATACGATAACTCTGGAATGACTAATGCGATTGAGATGAGGTTTGGAATGGTATATTATTACACGAAAATCTCGCTGGTAAAATTCGACGATGAAACTGATCAAACGAGTGACTTATGGATTATCAAAAGAAGAAATAATATATCTTTGTAAGTGGTTATGTCTTCCTCATGATACACTTCTCCTAGTAAACATAACTCTCGGATAAAATCTGAATCTTCCGCATTGATTATCTTACAACATGACAAGTTTACTGAATTAGAATAATGGAATTCAAGGCGAATAAAGCAAAGGCATTCACGAAAAACATTTATTTTTCGTTTCATGATTATGAATATCCAACTTTTAACATCCAAACATCTGTCTGCTATTCATTACCACCCAGATTTGTCCTCCAGCATCTAATCCGATTCGGTATTATCAAGTCGATCACCAATTCACGTTTAACAAGTGTTCGAAACGCTTTGGCATCTGCATCTGTCTTCCACATGTTTTTTTTTCTAAGAAATGAAAGAATATGTTCAATAAGTAAATCTGGTCATTTCTGTCCTTGATATTCATCTTAAATTTTTGTTAAAAGATTTTGACATTGTTCATAACTAATTAATGATAAATCTCTTATGGATAAAGCATCAATTGGATGTGTGGGAGAGACAATGAAAAAAAAACTTGATGAATGTACGACGACGAGCAATCGAAGTTGCATTTCTCATCGAACAAAATCGATGTGGTAACTTATTATCAAAAACAACGGTTGTATTCGTTTTTCGCATCAGATAACGATTGATCTCAATATGATAAATGTTCGTATAAGTTTTGTCTGGCGTTATCCTTGGACGAAATTTAAGCGCACTACCTTCAAGTTTATCATCAATCTGTAAATAATAAACACCAATTGCTTGAATATTTTCTGTACGACCTTCTATTTGCCAATGACCAGAATATTTAACATCTAAATTAAACACAAATATTATGGTAAACAATGACTGAATGACATGATTTACCCGCTGGAAGATTGTAACATTGTACTTTGACAATAACTTGTAATCGAGTGTCGTTAGTTGTTTTGTCGAAATCGAGAATTTCTCCAAACATTGATACCAGTTTAACAAAGAGTTTCTCTAAGTTCCTTTATGTATTTGCATATTGTTCATTCATGGGTAACCATCTTGAGGGTGTGGGTGTTATTTTATCTTTACTTTATAAAACCACAATAATAAAAAAGAATAACTGTATTTGAGAGAAAACGGCTTATCGAAAGATGGACTAATGGTAAAAAGGAGAACCAAATATTATTATTTCGATTTCTTCCAAACGCGTGGCTGAGGTTTTGTAGGAAGGATGAAGATCTTGACGAAGCGATTTGCATTCAATACACATCTGATTGAATGATTGGGGTGAGTTACTGAGATCAGTATATCCCATTTAGATACAAACTCCGTGTTTGTCAGGTTAACACGTTTTGATCTCCTCGTGACGGTTAGTTACTTCCTTTCATGTCCCCAGGTGGTTTCAATGCACGAAGATACACTGAAAGGTATGACTGAGGAATCAAATATTATCATGTTTTACTATTCCTTCTATCGGTGAGAGGCGTTTTTTTATCATCTTAGTTGGATTAAATAAATTAATGATTCAACATAAAATGAGAACCTAAAATCAGAAGAATGAGTAGGAAATGGAGAAAAAAGTGTTTATAAATGACTGTGCCGTGTTCGAAATTTCATCATCACTTTCCACATCTTCCTTTCATTTGTAAACAAGACGATGTTGTGTTGATTTCGTCATTACGGGCCATGTTTGATGAAAAGAAAATACCAAGCAAATATTGTGTCAAAATAAAGTTCTCGATTTCTGTAAATTAGAATATGAAAAACAATTGATCACTCGTAATTAAGTAATTATTAAAATAGGAAATCTATACGAGCGAGTAGACAAATGTTGATGGAAAACATTCGGAGAAGTGTGATTCCAGATTCTCACGACTTGCAAAACAAAGTAAATATTAAACAATGGTGAATAACAATATTTGATCCTTCTGGCGACGACTGAAATCGTTTAATATACATCATCACATTCTTCTCATAATCACATTTGCAACTTTAAGATGAAATACTTAGTCACAATATGTATTCTCATGCCTATCATGTGGATTGACCTTCTGATAATTCCAACAAGTAAGATTTGTTTTTCTTTTTACAATAGAAGTCATATTGAGAGAATGTTAAGTTTGAACCAAAATACGAGAGATCTCGTCAAAAGCTGAAATTTATGCAGAGATAACGGTGTTCTACATTTGTATGAACAAACAAACAAATATACAAAAGGAAACCATTATATACTTTGAGAGATTTGTTGTATTCCTCATAGTTATTGATACTTACAGAGAGTGCGGGAAAAATAACAATCTCTTCACTGAGTATTTTAGAAAGCGCTGAATCGTGTCATGGTGCAGTTGCTCAACATAAAAATGAGTTTATCGTTGATGCAGAAAATAACACATGGCAGATTCACCAGAATGGAAAATTTTATAAATTCAATGGCGACAAGTGTAAGTCCGAAATCACCAAATTAGTGTACTGGAACCACATTGTCTACCGTCTTCTTGGATCCGCAGATTGGCAAAAATGGATCAATGATGACTGGAAAAGAGAAACATATCATCCTTTAAAGAGAAAACTAAAATCTTTAAAAGGATGTGAATCTCCGTTAGAGTCAGGTAATTCTTTCAATTTTTTTAGAACTCATTTCTGTTTAGTAGTTGATATTGTCAATTTTTCTGCTAAATTATCTAGTGGGTAAACTATGTTTCGTACTACCCATTTTCAACATTTGACATTCTCGAACTCTTCTAAGAAATTGGTGAGAATGAGTTTTCGTTTTGAGTATGTTGACATGTTGCCAGATGATTGAAATGGAAGGTTCAAAACATAGTTCATTCGCTACAGAGATACTGTGAATTGATAAGAGCTATTCGGCTGATTGCGATACCTTATAGAAGAAAAAGCGATTTGTAGATTGTTTTCTTATTTTAGAATATTTTGTGTGACATTAATCTGTTTTACGATATAAATAGATCTTTAGAAGAGACAAAAAAGATTAAATTAGATGCATATTCTCATTAGTTTTGTATAATAGTCCATAGAATTTATAAGTTACTGAACAAATTAGAAAAGAAAATAACAGAATCGTTTATTCCTTTTGATATGAGAAGTGACAACAACATTTTCGGAAAATGTTTTATTTCACGAATTGCGTTTTTCTTAATTTTTTAAATTAAATTACCTTTCGCATTGCATATACGTCTATTTAGAAAAAACGACAACTACAAAATCCACAACAACAGCATTTAAAATAGTACCCGCAACAACATCACCACTCACAACAGCGAAACCCCCCGCAACAACATCACCACTCACAACAACATCACCCCCCACAACAGCGAAACCCCCCACAACAACATCACCACTCACAACGTCACATGTATCAACAATTGAACAATCGTTAACTACGATGAATACACCATCAGGATCCCGTTCTGGTAATTTCATTTCATTGATTATCTTCTTATACTAATACTTCAACTAGAAGAAAATCCTCGTACATTTAAATTAAGATAGATTTGCATTTTTTGTCCTCATGAATGAGTGTCTGACTCATAAATATTCCTAAAATGGATCATCATCAGTATAACAAACGAGAAAAACTTTTCTACTTTGTATTTCTATTTTTATGATTAGTAAACGAATCTTCATTGAATTATTTTCTTCCTGAAAATTGTAATAATTCAAAATACATTGGTGATTATTGTAATATTTCAACAAATCCTTGTGATATCAATCCATGTCAAAATATGGGCAATTGTACAATTCATCCACAATTTCCACATGTTTCGCAATGCAAATGTTTACCAGACTTCACCGGCACTCTTTGTGAAAGAAATATTCGTCCGTGCAAGTTGAACATATGTTTATATCAAGGTTTGAATTCATTTCAACTTGTTCACATATGTTAAAAGAACTATATTTCAGGTATTTGCATAGAATTAAATGAAACAAGTTTTAAATGTAATTGTACTGAAGGACATACAGGGATTCATTGTGAACACACGATCAATTTCTGCGAAAATGTGACATGTTTGAACAAAGGCGTTTGTCGATCAATATTTCTTAATTATAAATGCGAATGTTTATATGGCACATCGGGAAAACATTGTGAAAATACGGAATTTAGTATTGTTCTTCGTCAGAATATCGCCAAGAGTCTTGCATACATTGCTATCATCGCTATCTCGATCGTTATTACTTTTATTCTTAGCCTTGATATATTGAAATATGTATTTGGGATAGATGTCACTCAAAAAGAACGTGAAGAAATTCGACGTGAAATAATTTCAAAGAAAAAATGTATTCGAAAGACAAACAAGAAGATGTTTCATCCTAAACAACGTATGAACAAAATAATTCCTCTACGTCAATTTCCATAGTTGCACAAACGGCGTCAAAAAACATATCTTTTTATAGAAAGTTTGTGTTTACCCTACGTCCTCTGATGTTTCGTCGATTTAGTTTTTTCAATAAAATATTGATCTTCTTCTCTCGTCATTGTTGTACACAGAACAGAGTATTATTTCAAAAATTGGCCATAACTTATGATATTTGCGTAATGACATAGGAATTATAAAATCAGATAAAAACATTCTCAGTCTCTTAATCCTGATATTGTAGTTCTGTTAGAAGAATATCATGTTTCAAATTCAAAATATTATCTGCAAATAATAATTACTCATTGAATTTGATTCTATTCTTTTTCACGTATATACGCAATCTTTGTGCAAGTGGTTATTCTTACACGCGCATGATGACCTTGACGAAGAACGAAGGAAAACAAATGTCGATATAAAGAAAGTAAATGTGTGGAGAAATGGGAAGGCTCTATTTTTTTTTGAGTGTTCCCGGAGACGGAAGTGAGTCGTGCTACTTTATATTTGTTACTTCTTGTAGAATAACAAAATATTGTCATAAAAATATGAATGAATACGATAAAAATCATCAAGAAATCTCTTCTGAGTCTCTTGAGTCGAAGTTAAATCAACTGAATTTATCTTCATCATCATTTGATGTGAATTCTAACGATGATGATGAAGAACAGATTCCAGTATCGATTGATTCTCCAACAATCCCTCAACCATTAAATGCATCACACCAAACCGAGTACGATTCATTCGCTGAGCAAAAAGTAAATATTTGTTTTTGATTTCTTAGTTGTAAATCGACTTCATCGTCAGAATTTGGAGTTGATTGGAGCAATCGCGCATGTCCTACATCACATTGTTGGTTTCCTGTTGATTCGAATGGTTCATCGACAAACATATCTGAGTCTAATTCAAATCTAAAATCAAAACTTTTGTGTTGTGAAACATGTGGTTTGACTGTACATTCGCATCGATTAACAAATTCAAAAGTAATAACAAGTGATTTTCCTTCACCTTGTCGTCCATCATTTGTCGATGTTAATTCGAATTCATCGGACTATGACAAACATTTCTGGTGTCAAGAGAACACTCTTCCAACCCCATGTCTCATTTGTCAACGAACATCGGTCACAGCGACATTATTCGCACATGGAATCGATCAGTTATCTTCAATGTCTGCTTCAGATATTGCTAATGAATTTACATCGATTTTCAGTTCGAAACCAGGAAATTTTATGCAGAAATTATCTGAATCATCTGGTGGAATTGTTTGTCTTTGGTGTTCACGGAGTTATCATCATTCATGTTGGGAACGTGTTACTAATAAAGATGATCAAGTTCATTGTGATTATGGAATATTTCGGTAAATTTTTCGGAAAAATATCTTTGAATTTCTCGTACTTGTTCTATTTTAAAGAAATATTATTGTTCGTCCACAATGGTTGACTCGTTCTCTTCAATCTCCTCTTGGTTTTCGAGCTCGATTACCTGATAATCTATCGTCAGATTCGTTCCCGTACACACCTGTTCTTTTCTTTATCAATAAACGTTCAGGTGGACAAGTTGGTGAGAAAATTTATCGGGAACTTCTACGAAAATTCAATCCACGTCAAATATTTCTTCTCGAAAACAATGATACCATCACTCGAGCACTCGACATGTATTCTGCATTACCAAATACTCGTATTTGTGTTTTTGGTGGTGATGGTACAGTCGGATGGATTCTCAATCGTCTAGCCGAGATTTATCCTGAGAGAAAGAATCCACCCGTAGGCATTTGTCCCTTAGGAACAGGTAATGATCTTTCACGTGTCTTAAATTGGGGTGGTGAATACGAAGCAAAACAACTCGTACAAACATTAATCAATCTTCCTCAATCGAAAGTAGTGACACTTGATCGATGGAAAGTCGAATTAGAACAATTCGATATGTCAAGACAGAATTTATCGACAAATAACGATCGTGGAAATGATTCTCCTATTACTCGCGTGTTTCAAACTTTATTTAAACAACCACCGAGATTTGCACTTGAAATTCATCGAGATTCTTATGAACAATATCATGCATTACCAAATTCACGGTTCATTAATTATATGAGCTTTGGTTTTGATGCTGCCATTGCTCTGAATTTTCATGATCAACGTACGCGCAATCCGGAAAAGTTTTCTTCGCCCTTGAAAAATAAATTCATGTATTTAAACGAAAGTTGTAAATATTTAGATGAATTTACTCGAGCGAATTTGTGGAATCTTAGTTCATATATTCGTTTGATATGTGATGGTCAAAATTTGACAAATGCAATGCGTGATTGTCATACATTAGTCATACTCAATATTTCTGGATATGCAGCGGGTGCAAATCCATGGGGAAATACAGGATCAACTATGTCAAGTGATTTATTCGATCGACAAGATTTTGGTGATCGGAAAATCGAAATTGTCGGATTGACTACTGCACATATGGCTGCTATACACATGGGTTTTCGTGGTAATCGAATCGCTCAATGTAATCAAGTACGTATTGAACTTTGTTATCCAATGACAGCACAAATGGATGGTGAACCATTTTATCTACCCGCTTCGACAGCTGTTAACATTAGTCATGCTGGTCAAGTACTTGTATTAAGTAATGACAACAAATAAATCATCGACATGTAATCACTTGTGTGTACGGTTTATTTATATTCTTCTTTGCACACACTCCACTGAACATGTGACTTTGCTTTCTATTTATTTTTTATCTAAGATAATCAAATATCGAGTTTATTTTGCTTTTGCATGTGTTTTTCATAGTTTATTACCGAAAAGAAAAACCTATCGAAGGAATAGATACGCTTGAGAAAAAAAAACCAATTAATTCAGTGATATTCTATAGGTACATCAAGCGATGAATAATAAACGATGAGTAAATATTCCGATGAATAAAAACAAGCATAATCATCGAAAAGACAATGCTCAGTTGATGATTGTTTTTTACATTGATGGATACTGAGATTGTGATTTGCACAAAGAAACAGAAATGCATGAAATTTATTAATAAAAATGACGACAGTTTTGTTATCTAATGTTCACGAAAAATCACAGCTTATGAGAATTCATACGTTCATTTGTAATAACTCAAACAAGAAAAAAGAAATCTTCCGTTTTTTTTAATTTAAAACGTGAAGCGACTGAATAAATAAATGGAGTTTATGAGATTTTCTTGAATTAAATTGACAAGATATGAATTCAACGATTTATTTATTCAAACAAATTTCAGATTAATCGAAAGAAAATCTTCTATTTAATATTTTAATATCTCAATGATTGATTTATTTCCTCGACAAAAACATTTCTACACAAATAAATAACATTTCGTTTCATTATGACTTAATCTCTAAAAGAATAATAGTGTAACGAAATATCTTCTTACCAATGTCTCATGTAATCACTCATTGACATCACCCATAGATGATCTTTTCCATTCACCGCATTCTTATTCGACAGTTCTTCAGTCATTTGCATATTATAAGACACTTGAAAATGCTTTTAATTTATTGATTTAATGAAGTAACATTCATATCTAATACAATAATGATAACAAATAAATATTGGAGTTTGTTGTTTGTTATCAATCGTATAATTATCACTCTGATACTTTTTATCCTTTTAGGAAAATTTTTGAAATACAAATAGATAATCAACAAATAATTCGATGAATTGGATTGTTATTCTCGACATGAATTTCTTCTTCTCATTGAATATTCCAATTACTCAATTAAATGTACTTCAGAAAAAAAAGAATATGATCGATACAAATGATTTGAAGAAGAGATAGTAAATCAATTCAAAGATAATCATAACATATTTATAATAGTTGTTTCTCTTGTTGATGATTGTCTTCAAAACGGATCTTATTTTCACATAGAATGGAAACAAAACAGATTCGCCACTAAATTTCAATTGATAATAAATAGCAGAACAGTTGACTAAAACACATCTATGGAAGGAAAAAAAGGATTTTTTTGTATTTTTTTTGAATAACGGAATTTTAGGAATGAAAAAAAAGATAAACAGCATTTGAGAACCCATCACCTACTAATTAGAAAGAGGAAAAGTAAATTTTCTATTGAGAAAGTGTCACATTGAATATCGATGAAATTCGAATATTTTTCTTTCAAAAGATCGATATTATTATCCACTGCATGAAGTTGGAAGAACATTTTGAGGAAATTGACCAGCAACATTTCCAGCAGAGATATAATTAGCAACAGCAATACATGTTGTACCGGCTGATGTACAACAAACACCAATACCAAATGAAGTTGTCGATTTCCAAACTAATTGAGTAAAATGTCCTGTTGCTGACGAGAAACCAGGTGAAGCAAAATTGTAAGAACTTATTTCACTATACCATGCAGCAACTGGATCGGCACCTAAAATAAAAAATGACATTTCTATTTTGAATTATTTCTTTATTTACCATTTAAAGAACTTGTAGTCATTGGACTTGATGAACTAATTTGCCATAAGTTTTCTCCTAATGCTTGTCCTTGATACGTATTTCCGCTATGAGCAAAAGTATTTGTATCGCATAATTTCTGAGCATAAGTTTGTGCGATTTTTTTCAAATTTTGATCATAGGTCAATGCAGGAGCACAATGAGATGTACGATATGTATTTGTTGCATCTAATGCTTGTTGTTCGAATGTAGTAAGTGAAGTACTACTACTACTACTTTTTGTACCTATGAGAACAAGAATGATCTCAATATTCAATAGAAAAAAACAATAAAACATGTTTTTATTTGAATATGTCGATCAGAATCAGTTGATTATAAAAAAGAAATTATTCATTACTGTCTCGTATGTTGTATCTATTCTGATTTGAATCTTGTAGAACTAAAATGTTAAGATGTCGGTGAAACAACTGCTTATACATGTTGACTCTCTCTCATGACGTCACATTTATAATGAGAGAGAACCAACATGTACAAGCAGTTGTTTGATCAACATCTTAATACTAATTTGTTTCTGATTTGATGACTTTGTTTTTAACAATAAAACATGTCTAATTAGACCGTGATACAATTTGTAACATTCTGTCGTCCGGAAGTTTTTCCATTTTGTTATGATGACCAAAAATTATTACATAGTTGCTTTCATTGGCAAATAGAGTGACTGTTACGGTTAGTTTTTGATGATTGATTTAGAAAAGAGCGACTTATTGTGATCGTTTTTTTTCCTATGTTTATTTTCTTTGAGGAAATCTCAAACCTTTCGTCTATTGTTTATGTGTTCACTGAAAAGTGGATTTCTGCATTTCCATAACTTGTATAACTGACTAATAGTTTACTTTATTCGCTTTTGTTTGCAAATGTTTGCAAAAGAGAATCACGGAGAGCTCGTGATTGGATCACAAAGCATAATATCGGTACTAAAACCGATAAAAAATGTATAGGTAACATTCCAAATTTAAAAAATACTAAAAGTACTCATTTCATCGGTGTAGTTATGAAAAGAAAGAGTAACTATGATTCCTATCGAATTAGAATTCAATTTGAAGTAAATGATGACCTACCGTCTACTGCATTGTTGCTCAAATAGAGAGGAACCAAAGAAACGACGAGTACAACTGGAATTGATACTAAAGCCAAGCAGAGGAATGCCCCAACGCCTATCATAGCTTCTTTTGTTCCAAATATCCTGAAAAAAAAGGAAAAAACACGAAATACAGCATAGAATTTTGTGATTAGTTTGAAAAGGCATCATAATATTAGTTGTAGTGAATAGACGAAAGTGATCGGCGATCTTACGAGGGTACTTGCATTGTATCACGTTGTGCATTAAGATTTGTCATGTTTTACTGTTTGCAACTTCTATAGTACAGTTTTTCTTGTCGGAAAAGAGGGCAATGAGTGAAGAAATATAATTTTGGACGGTTCTTCCGAGACCCTTTATTTTCTAAAGGTGAAATCAACATTTCTGCTCTATTATATATGACTGACATGTTTTAATTAACATAATTGTTGTGTTCCACGAGTTTCTATCTCAACAAAAATGTTTACTTTTACAGTTATTATTGATATTCTCGATTTTTATTGTATAACAGGCTGAATTAGCAGTGAGAAACTTTGTTTAACGATCCCACTCGTCACTAACTCATCTGGAACACTTTCTTAAAGACCTTTTATAAATAAAATCCTATTCATTTCATAAATCTCGTTTCTTTTTATCACATTTGCAGGCAGTTTCATGATTAATCAACTCAATTGGAGTTATCCAATGGATAAATATTGAATAGATAAATGCTAATCATCATTTAATTGTTTATTAATCTCTAAAATGAAACATCTTTCATTTCTATATCGATTTCGAGCGAAAGTCGTTGTTATTTTTCATCGGAGTAAGTATTATTGTGTAGATCTTCTCTTTCTGAACTTGAAATTTTTCGTTTCTAAGTAAATTCAACGATCCAACACAACGTTAAACTTCAATTGCTGTTCATTCATTGAGTTCATTTGAATATGAGTTACATATTGTCACGTCTAAAACAAATACTTCCTCTTTTTGGAGAACTCAAGAAGGTGAGAATTGAAAAGATATTCAATTACAACGAGTATCAAAGTTTTGTTTATCAGACGTCAAAAAAAGAATTCATTGTTCTATTTGAAAAGTTTATTGTTGAAAATGTTACACACCACGACATCAAACGTTAACACGTCAGAGCGAGATCTTTTTATCTTTTTTCTTCAGATTTCTGTACATCGATGGTCAACAAGCAAAGTACAATGTGTTACTTGTGCAAAAGACAAAGGTACAGTTCAATGTCACGGATGTTCACAATCATTCTGTTTCAAACATTTAACTGATCATCGACAACAACTCAGTCAACAATTCGATGAAATTCAAATGACACGAGATCTTCTTCGTCAAACACTCACAGAATATTCCAACAACTCACAAAAACATCCACTCATCAACGAAATCGACCGATGGGAACAACACTCGATCAATCTCATTAGAAAAACAGCTGAAGAAGCGAGACAAAAGATGAAAAAACATACAACTGAGCACTTATCGAAGATGGAGAAGAATCTAAATGACTTAACAAAACGGCTGAGAGAAGGTCGAGGAAATGATGACTTTGTGGAAATAGATCTTCAACAATGGAATCAACAACTGACTCAAATTAATGAAGAATTGATGAAACCAACAAATATCAAAGTGAAACAAAGTTCAACACCGCTGATAACAATGATCAATGTTGAAATATTTGATAAGAGTGAGGATAAAATACTTCTTTTTCATCGTTCGATGATTCTCTTACAGATCTGAGTTCACATAAAAATATTGTTTCGCTTTTTGTAGACATGACAAATATCAGCGCAAAGACGAAATGGATGCAGAATGATGTGACAGCCAATTAACATGTGCAATGATGGGAATCAGACCATCTACGTTGTGTTGCTGATACTGATAATCATCGTGTAGTGGAATGGAAGAAAGGTGCAACGACTGGTCGGATAGTGGCTGGTGAAAATGAAAAAGAACAGGAAATAGATCAAGTGTTGAATCCATTGAGTTTGTCATTTGATGAAGAAAATAACTTCTATGTGAATGATCTTTCTAATAATCGAATTGAAAAGTAAAATGTTGATGTGAAATGAATGATAAGTGATGAGAATGAGAATTACATACACAGACAATATTTGTGTATTTCTGATCATTTCTTCTTTGATCTCATTGACATATATGATTGGAGAAAAGCGTTTTGTTTTATCCAAAAAGTATAATCAACGTTCTTTCACCTTTGCAAATCACAGTGGTTCAATGAGAACACAATGGAAACAGAAAAAGATTAATTTGAAAGAAAAGTAAGGATCGAATGAGTACAGAAAATCTTCATAAGAAGATTTGAGATATCCTTGAAAATTCCATTCCCTATATGTAAAATCGCTTTAAGTACAAAACTTGTATTTCATTTAATTTCAAATCTAATGGAATAACTTTGTACTTTACGAATGTTATTATTTGAAACATATTTTATTAAAATAAGAGATCTACTCCCATCACAGGTCTATGAATATTAAACTTGTTGAATGAGAAACGGATAACTCGGGAGTTTGAGTTGCCCATATTTGGTTTGAATGAAAATGAAAAGTTGAAATTGATGTTAAAGATGAACTCATAATAGAAATATTTGAGAAATATAATTATAAAGAAAAGACTTGAACATACATCGATTATGAAAACAAAAGAAAAAAGCAGAAGTTTGAAAAATATTTAATAAAATTCTAAGCTAAAAGAAAATATGAAGAATAACAACATTCATTTTTATTTGATTTTCTTCAAAATATGAAATTGATTTTTCCATCACATTGATATTTATTTTTAAAACATCAATCAATAACTTTTCATGTTTTTCGTAACTTCTATTTTATGATAAATCCAAATTCAACGATATTTTTTCTGATAAATTGTAATTTTATCAAAAATATCCAATACTTTTTTTTCGAAATAAATTCATAGAATTCTCTGGATGATGTACATAATTCTTGATCGATTCGTTACAAAAAAGAAACGTTTAGAAGTATTTTCAAAAGAAAAGTATTCGTATTGAAATCAAATAGATTTTTCTTCGTTTAGAAATTCAAGTGAAATTATATATAATTATAACGATTTCATTTCTTTCTCAACAAAATCTTACCGAATAATTTCATCAATCATTTGTGGTATAAAAATATAAAATTTCTCCGAGAATCTTATCTTCATTTTAATAACAATCAATTAATGTGGAAGTTCATAATTATACATTGAAATGAATGGAAATATATCGTTTTACTTGAATATACACATGACTATAAATAAATCTATTCATAACAAGTCTCATTTTCTAAAAAGAAATAAAGAAATGCATTTCATTTTGACATTTCTTCAAGTTTGACTTGTGGTTTTTCTTATGAAACGATGACAAACAAGAGAATTTGTATTCAAAATCTGCTAAAACAACATCTGAATTTTGATTGAGAAAATGTGAAATAAAGAAATAATTCTCATTGTAAATCGATGTACATTTTTAACATATTCTTATCGATATAATTGAAATCTTTGATATTTATTCGTTGTGTATTGATAAGAAAATGTCTCGAATAAAATAGAACACTTTTCGTTTTCTTTTTTTTCTTCTCTGACATTCCATCACGTACACAAAGAAATTCTCTTCTGTATCATTTCGTATATAACAAATTTCTTTTTCGATTTCATTTTTATTGATCCACAGATTCGTCGATTAATTAATGTACAAAAACATTTCGAAAAATATTTATTTGTGTAACAACTTGAAATAAAAAGGCAAAAGTCAATGTGCTTTCGATCTGTTGAGAGTTGACAAACCTTTTGATGATTCTCTTTACAAAAAAGGAAGTTGATCCAAAATAAAGAGACGAGTAATTGTCAAGTTAACTTCCTCTATTTTGCAGATATTTACTTAATGTTGATGTTGAAGAATACAGAACTCGACATGAAAATGCAACAGATGAGAAATATTATTCTGATATAATTTATAGGCCCATCAACATTGTAAAAAGAATCATATGATCACAGTAGGGGGTAAAGATATGTTTGTATCTTCAGTTACACAAAGATATAGACAAATAAAAAACAAGAACTCAAATTACTAAACAAAACCAACAAAGGAATTGAGCGAATTGAATACAAAACAATGATGTTTTGAAATACGAACTATAATTGCAAATGACAGATATGTACGTAAGAATGTGTCATTGATTGAATTAAAACAATAAAAAAAGGAAAAACAAAAGCGATCGAATACAAAAAAGAATGAAGATGACATTGATTGATAGAAAAGGGTAAATCTTAATGTCATCGACAAAGATAACACAATGTGTAGACAAGGAATAGAATAATGATGAAGAATTTTTTGTCATTGTAGAATTCCAATGGGAAAAAATATTTGAAAAAAAAAGCTCTAAGAATGTGTTCGTATAGCGAAAGAACTTAGAAAATGACTAATACGATAAAAATAATAAGCAAATCCATCGATGCATCGTCTGAAGTTGATTCACTTGTGTTGTTCAGTGAAGAAAATCATCAACTCTGAAAAAAACACAAATCTTCTTTACATATTTCTCAATCTCGAAACAACATTCAATGAGAATCAATATGATCGACACTGTGAATATGTAAAGAGAAAAACAGAACGATTAATCAGCGTTCTTTTACGATCGGATGAGATGTACTTTCACATATCTGAATAGACACTTTTCTCATTCATTCGAGTGATTCAGATAAAGAAATTCTGATGTTTGACGTCGAAATAAGTTGTTTACTTATAACATTTTACGGTATTTATTGTCTGATAAATGATAAAGTATTAGAAAATTAACGTCCTATTCCAATCTTCCACTAAAAATACGATTTATTTTGAAAAAGATTATTATTTGAAATTCAAATCAAACTGTATCGTCATTCTGTTTAACAATCTGATAAGGTTTCTTTTCAGGTAATTGAACATCACCATCTTGATGATCATGTGATTCATGTTTTGCTAAATATAAATACCAATATAAAAATCCAACAAAAAATCCACCACCGACTATATTTCCCAATGTCACTGGTAATAAAACACGTAAAATATATTTTCCAACCGAAAGCTTTGCACCGAGTATCATTCCCATTTGAACTGTGAACATATTTGCGATTGAATGTTCAAAACCAACGGCAATGAAAAGACTAATTGGTAAATAAATTGCAAGAATTTTTGAACTAACTTCTCGTGCACTTGTCGCTAAACATACAGCAAGACAAACGAGCCAATTTCCTCCAATACCTCGGATAAACATTTCATGCCATTCAGTATTACCCTTCGCTTCGGCATAATGTTGGGCATATGAACGATATGGATCATATTTGAGAAGACCGGCATAATACACAAAGACAAATTGAAAGATTATGCAACCGAGCATATTTCCACAATATGAAACGACCCAAGATTTTAAAAGTTGAAGCCATGTAGTTTTTTTATTTAATGTTGAAACGATAAAAATCATTGTATTACCAGTAAATAATTCTACACTAGTAAGAAGAACTAAAACTAAACCCACGGGGAATACTAAGGCTTGAATTGTTTTATGAATACTTGTACCAAATTGATCACGTAGCGGAAGACTTCCACCGCCAATAGTTAATAAAAATAAACCGGCAAATGAAAGTAACATACCGGCTAGAATTGATTTGATTATTGTGTGGTCGATTCTCTGTTTGGCTTTTTTTATTCCAATATTGGATAAATTCTCAAAAGTTTCATAAATATTATAACAGTCCGACATTATTTTATGAAAATTTTGTATTCAAATGTGTAGAGAAGAGTCCAAACGAAAATCGCTTTATTTATCTATATGTGTAAAGAGCGATGTTTATCTGTTTTCCTATGTATAGAATTACATGCGTACGCTATCTCTCGGAGGTCAAGGCAAGAACGTTTGTAGACGGGCGTCTCTTTTCTTTTTCTTCTTCTTCTTCTTTTTTTTGCGGATCTATATATGACGACAAAACACATACAAGCGTGTTTTTCTCTCTTGCTTTCTGTGTCCTTTGTCTCTCGTGTTTCATTTTTTCTCCGAATATATCCGCCGAAATCGATTTGCAATATAACGGCCGTTCTAGAACAAAGCCCATACTCATACATATAGAAATAGACAAGAATAGATTTGATCCGAGTTCTATAGATCGACGTCTTAATATGAGATTAGGAAAAGAGAATAAGATGTCGTTCTATTTAGTATGAGTAGATACTCGAACCGATTTTACATGTAAATGACGATTTCATTACCAATGTTAACGATAGATTATCTTTCGAACGATCTTTCTGTGAAAGATAATTAATAAATTATCAGTTAACGATTAATTAACAAAAAAAAGATAATAATCAACTGAAATGGTCTAACGATACGATCTGATCATCCTAGTAGAACTTCTGTTCGTAGGCGTAGAAGAAAAAAGACATCGTTGATTCAAAAATGCCATATTATCATTACACATCCTCAATCAAATCCTCGTGATATGAAACTCGCTCAAGTGCTCGCCTTTTCTTTTTTCTGTTCATCGACGCACAATCCTTGACTCATATATAATCAAACACATCGTGTGCTTAATTCATGGCACACACACATTCTATCTCTTTTTCTGCTTTTTTTTCAGTGTAAATATTAACATAGAGCAAAGAATGAGACAAGGTCGTTTTCCATCGTCTTTTTTTCCCGTTCTTTCGGTTACTGTTAAGGACAGCTGCAAGTATATCGTTTCTATTTAGAATAAGATGCGTTTGGAGATTGCTAACCATTGAGAGAATACAATCGTTTTTCTGACAATAAATGAAGAAAACGTATTAATACCAAAAAAAAAACCC